AACTGTAGGAAAAGTATAATGTGCAACTCGAGTTCAAAGTACAATTGCCTCACTCGAGAAACCATTCCTCACTCGCCTACGGCTCTTGAGTAAGGATTTCTCTCGAGTGAGTCAATTGCTCACTTTTCTCACTAGTTGCACAAATAACTATAGTTCACATTTTTAAATATATGTGTGTGTGTCCGTAAAGACGATAACTTAAATAATTTTTGTCTGATTTTGATAAAATTTTGTTTTACGGTGTAAGGCGGCATAAACTTGAATGAGTTCGCGAACCAGAATGATCGGACCATGGGAGCAGGCTTTGACGAGGGGTAAAATGGGGTTTTCTCATTTTTCCCCCTTAAAACACAAAAATTTCAATTTGTCGCCAGACCTTTTTAAACAGCTTAAAAAAACAAAAATTTAGTTTGTCAAAGTGTTTTTGTACGGTCATTGGTTACGGAGAAAATTCAAAAAAATTGTTATTTTAAAATTCCCATGTTATTCTTATGGAGAATATTGTAAAATGTTGTAGTTGGCTTGTTTATGGATATATGTTGATCAAATGAACATTAACTGGGCAGTTTATTTATTTTATACTAAGCTATTAATATTTCGATAAAAACACACTTTATTAGTTTCCCTGTAGCAGCAAACCTAGGTACTTGTTAAACTTAAATGTTAATTTAAAAGATTAATTGAAAATCAATCCAGGCAAAAATGGAAATTCGCTTAGTCGGCAGGTTTGCTAAGGTTTGCCTCAGGTTAGTGAGGGTATTTTTGTTTTGAAATCAGTTTTAAATAATTTTGAAATATTGTTTATATTGCTGAATTTTTACTTCAGAATTGGTTTTTCCAACAGTGTCATTTGGAGGCTGGGGGAATCAGCCGACGGTGACGGTGTAGCTACATCGGCCTCGGTGGTCTAGTGTATAAGCGAGCCGGGTCTGATAATCTAAAGGTGCCGGGATCGAATCATACCGGAAGCACTAACATTTTGTCTAAGATTTTTGCATTATCAGCAAGTTTGGTTGGTTTGGTTAGGTTGTGACATTTTAATTTTATAATTAAAAAATTGAATTTGAGCCTTTCATAGTTTTATTTTATGAACAGAACTATTTTTTCGATTTAACCTTCATTCAATTTTTTCATTATCAGCAAGTTTGGTTGGTTTGGTTAGGTTATGACAGTTTAATTTTATAATAAAAAAATTATAAAAATGAATTTGAGACATTTATACGGTAATTTTATTTCATGAACAGAACTATTTTTTTCGATTAGTAAACCTTAATTAGATTTTTTAAATATCATCAGCAAGTAGGTTATGAGTTTAATTTTATAATAAAAAAATTTAATTTGAGGCGTTTATGAAACAGAGAACTATTTTTTCGATTAGTTTTTCATTATAGTCAATCAGAAGCCTCCAAATGACACTTAAAGAATGATGACTTACCCTTCTTATGATGCACAATATATTTTGTTTTGGTTGGTTGTTGGTTCTATGTGTGGTACCAAATAGTGTAAAAATATGTTTTAAAACACTATATATTCAGAAATCTTCTCGGGGAAGGCCCCAGACGTTTGTTATCCTGGTATAATCTTTGACTATTGATAGAACTTCAGTATCTAAAAGTCGAAAAGTCAATGGTATAGTGGCAAGATTCCATATTTTTTAACTGATTAATATAGTAACACTTTTTTATTAAACTCCAGGAGTAACCCTTTTTTCAAGGATGGTCAAATTCTGACCACAAACTCCAGTTACTGTGTCATAGTGACGTCTTCACTGCCCACATGGGGGGGGATCCGATTCTAGTGGTGTGAGTCTGTGATTTCCACTATGTAATAATAGTACTGATGAAAAGCATTTAATCATTGTTAAATAAAATAATTGCTTTCTAATTTGTCATAAAAAAACCCCAGCCAAAAGGCAATTTTAAGATTTATTTCCATCCAGTGTACTAGAACCAGAGTGTTATTCTGATGTCTAATATTTGTATATTGTTAATTTAGCAAATAAAAAAAAATACTAATAAAACAATAAATCTGCCCCAAAAAATAGTTTGAATACCTACAGTAGCCTACATAAGTTACTTAGCTCCTTCATTCACCACTGAAATTATTTCAATTTATCACCCCCATTGATTAAAGAGCAAAATATTTTAGGTAGCCTATAGGTATTTATTGTAAAAATGGTGTTTACCATGTGAATAAATAAATAAATTAGTGCTTTCTTTGGATAAATAATAATAACTCTCATACATTTTTCCTGGCGATTGAACACTGAATATTTTAATCAATTTTAAAGGCCTCAGTGTGAAGTGATTATTTGAACAGTATGGAGAATATCTGATATTCAACTAATATAATTCAGATAAAACAATAAAATATTAGTAGATTAATTTGTCATATCATTAATCAAATTTGCGAGTAAAGTACCTTTATAATGTGTCAGCCTCGCTTGATCAAGTGTCAGCCTCGCTTACTCTGAATGTAGAATTTTGAAAATATTAGGCCTATATATTTTATGGTATGCTAACACACTTATATGATAAAAATTTAAGAGTAACAAACTTGAAATTTTTTATTGTGCATTCACAATCAATCACAGGTTCCATCATTCAACATTTTTAGATTCTCAAAACCTACAGTAGTTGATCAGTATTACTGAATGTACAAATAAATTCAAAATGGCTTAAGCAACTATTTTGGTATCCAATTTTTCAGGTTTGTAGATTACCACAATGGCAGCAGCAATGTGAAACTGAATACATAATCAACTGATAGAGAAATCAATTTACAAGACAACCAAGAATTCAAACTGTAAAAAATGAAATTTTCTTTTTCCTAATCCATGTAAAACATAATACCAACACTATTCATAAAAACAAAATATCCTATATATTAATAATTGGAGGCAAGCATGTTTCTTGAAACCCTTTTTTAACAGCTCGCACAGGGAAAACCAATGCATACCGTTAGAAAGATATTTTCCTGTTAATGTGCAGAATCCTTTTATAAAAAATAAACAGAAAATCAAAACAAATGGAAGAAATTCCAATCACATATTTTATTTACTGTGTGGGGTTAAATTGAGAAGTCTGCACATTAATATTTAGTTTTCGACTACTGCACGACCTCTAGTCAAACTTAAAAAACAAAATATTAGTGACAATAGGTAGTAAAACACCAGTTCAGGTTTTAATATATGTAATATATTTTTTAATAGTAGACACAAAAGTATCTGGGATCGGCTATTTATAAGCTGCGAGTATTTAGGTATAAAAATATACACAACATAAAATTACAATAATTAATATCTGAATCACAATAAAATTACGCGACTCTTATTGAAATAGGAATCAACATAATAAGTACAAAGATTAAAAATATTTACAAAATTATTACACAATTCTTCGTTAAAACGGAAGAAGTAAGAACTGGCAAAATGTCATGAAAATTAAAATTACAAAAAACTGTCATTGCAAAAGTTTACTAGTAATAAGCTCCCATAATACTGTTAATATCCATACTCTTATAAAACCTGTTAATAAAAAGAGCGTTAAGAACCTTACTGTACATTGCCTAATAAAATAAAATACAACCTGTCATAGTCTCATCTAATAATACTTGGATAATTTGTTAAAAACAAGACGTATGTTCATTCATGTAGGTATGTTAATTATTAGCTTTTGCATTTTTATTTAAACAATAGTGGCAGTTAAAAAAAATAGACAGAAAAGGAACACAAACCTATGAGTATTCTTAGCTTGGGTATACAATATAACATAATAATACCATAATGAAATGAGGCAAATTTTACATTAAACAATGGGGTTTGATCAAGTTGAGCATTGAATATTGTGTGAGACCTAATTTTCCCATAAATAAGATAAAATTTATTGTACAAAAATTTAATTTTTATTATAGATTTCTTAATTGTGTATAGACATCTAACTCAGACCCCTTTTGCTTTCATATCTGCCCATCATAATTTCAGTGATGCGGTATTACTGTAATTAAATATTTTTATATTTAGAAAATTAAATTTTGTATTCAAGGTAGCTCTTGATAAACATTTTATTTAGAATCTTGTAATTTATTGCTGAGCTAAAAATTCATATATTAAATTGTTTTAGCTACCGGTACGTAAATGCAACTTAAAAAAATAAAGTTTTTTATTATTATAAGGTTGGATAACACAAACAATTAAAAATGGGTATTTTAATTAAACTTGAGTTAACTGAGTTTGAAAAACTTTCAATGCTCAACATAATATGAAGTACTTTTTGAAGATAATACAAAACAAGAATCACTAGACCATTGTAAGTCACAAGTAATTACATAAAAATAAAAGAAAGTTACAAATACGGTAGTATTTAAACCAGCATTATGTTTTCAAATACATTAAAGGAGAAAAATTATACTAACATGTCTATGAAAGTTAACTTTTCAACAAATTTATCACGCTTAAGGAACCTGGGAATTTGATAACTTAAAAAAACATGGAACATTGTTGGTTAATTAATATAGGCCCTACCATGTGTACCACGAAGAGGAAGACATTGCTATTTTTGTCTTAATATACTGCATCAAACACGCTACAAACTTAAAACTATGCAGCTGCAACAAGTAAGCCTACTTTCTATATATAGTATGGTATAGGGGGAGAAAGTAAGTCTTTCCGATTATATAGTTATTTTACGTCTCCGGTAAAAAAAATTCCCTCTAAAATAAGTGGATTCCGGATAAAACCAAAGTACCAAAAAACCCTGGGTCACACTTAATCTTTTACTTAACAGAACTAAATTATTGAACATCGAAAAAATGGAGTTTTTTAGTTGAAAAGGCCATTTTATTTGCAAAACCATTTCAAATTAATTATTGGTTCTTTACTAAGTTGTCACTTTAACAAATGAAACTAATGAATTAAAGAGATACGAAAGAGGTAAGCCAAAATATTAAATTAGGCTATATTAATTTGATTAATAACCTTTCATTCAAAATCTTGTCTTTTAATCACCATGCAGTGTAGTTTTTCCCACATTTGTTTTTTGCTAATTTTGGTGTTCTGTCATTTTGTTTTGATTATAAGAGTCAAATGTGACTCGGTGGTATTTTTCACAAGTCGTAGGCCTCTGTATATTACTAGTGTCTAGAGTTTCAAATTTGTAGTAGGTTTAATTTGTCAGGTACAGTATATTAATAAAAAAATAGCAAGATCTTTAAGGTACGCCTATTTCCAACATAACAAAATCATTCTTCAATCTTCGCCAAACTCAATTTTAATAATAACATTGGAAAGCAGAAACATGTGATTGCAGTAAAAAGGAATCAAACAAACTTACACAATTAACGTATGAATGAGATTGAAATGAGATCTTTTACTCAACAAACCCTGTAGTTAAGTTGTCAACGTTGACCAATCAAATTGGTTGTTGACCAGCCGAATAGTTTATAGAGGCATAGCCTACTGTATTGTTGTCATTGGTTTTACTATGTTACACTAGTTGTTAAAAATAATAAAGTTTGGACTTCTGTTTAGGCCTACCTATTCTAATATACCAATGATATATTTTAGATTCCCAATGATATTATTAAAATGAGTCACGTATGTAATTTATTTCTTACAAGGCTTATGCCACTTTACTTATAGAATTATACATAATATTGCAAACATCAATTATTGCTCAACTATTAAGGAATAAGGACGCACAATTTGTTATACTTCAATTGAAAACATATACCTACAAACATTGTATAAGAACTTAGCAAATCATTAAAAAAAATATCAACCCGAAGTTTCTACCTAATGTTCTTAGGATATAAAAAAATAATTTCAATTTTGTATTTAGCACATAAGTATATATATAAAAAAAATAACATGAACTGTGATTCTAAACTTTGTTCAACTAAATCTGTGGGAAACTGGAATTAAACTTATTATGTTAAATTCAAAACTGTTATGTGCGAACAAATTTTCATAACTCCATAAATTACCATAATCACAAACTTTTTAACAATCTTCAATTTATGGAAGAATAATAAACCTGCCTCTCTCAAATTAAAATTAAAAACCACTTTTTTCTACTTGAAACACATTATATACCTATAGGTACATAACTTATATTACAAGGTTTTGACAGTTTAAATCAATTTACTAGAATGTATCATAAGGTGCAGAGTGCAAAATATCTTCTATCGTGTGCTTCTACAGGAACATTGTTATATTAGGCTAAACAATTAACATGAGTTAAAGTAATACTATAACTGTATTGAATGAATATTACCTCGTGAAAGATCAGCTACAGTAACGGATTTAAACTTAAAATGTCTAACTCAATTATTAGTAAAGCTTTTGTCAGTCTGAATTAAACCTAGATTGTTCAAGACTATTCACATTTTTTTTAACAGTATTGAGTTGTATTTCTCTTACGTTTGGTAGGTCTGGGTGTGTGTGTGTGTGTGTAGCCTATTATATACTGTAATTACCATTCAGCCATGTCTTAGAAGGTGATTAAAATGTAATACTTCCTTTAAATTGAACATATCCTATCCTGTTAATTAAAATTTAGGGGTGTCCAAAGTCCAAGTATTTGAAAAGTTTGTAGGCACAAGTCCCACAACTCAAAATCTAAATAATCATCCAATGAATTTTTTTTCATTTAGGTTATATAGGTAATTAACATATCAGAAGTGCTTAAATAGTTACTGTCTTTCAACTAGGCCATATTATTCTAAACAATTTTTGAGTTTTATTTAAGTATGTGATTTAAAATATTTTATTATAAAGAAATTCAAGCATTGGCACAATATTTAAAAAATCTGCTCCTAGTATTAAAATGCAAAAATACTTGCCAGTTCTCTTAATAAAAATGATTAGCCCTAAATAAATATTAAAGCTACCTATACAGTTTGTAAAATATAACGTCGTAAATGTATAATAAGAGTCAAAAAAACACACTTTAAAAAATTGAGATTTGGTAGAAATTACAAATATTTAGTTACGTGGTAAATAACTATAAAAAGAGGTTTTAAAGGGAGATTCAGAACTATCATTTAAATGGCGAAAGCCTTCACGGAGTTAATAAAATTACTGCAAGCAGTAGACAATATAAATGGGATTTCAAAACAGTTCTAAAAATGGAAATCTTTAAAGGCTCAAGATATATTATTTTCAAACAATTTTATAATGTTTAAGAACATAAATTCTCATTCCTCAGCTCTCTCAAAAATATCCACTAGTTGTAAGTTAGGCCTATTGTAGGCCAGTTATCATTAAGGGATTTAAACATTAGACAATAAGACCAACTACCGGGAAGGCTGTGTCGATGGCAAAGGAGTCGGCTGTGTTAAGTTTGTCCTGTGTGTAAAAACTTTTTGTTTGAGTCATGGGATGGAAAACAGTCAAGTGTTAGAAATATTTTATTTAGGCTAGCTTAAACAGCAATTAATTTGATCCTCATGCTTATGGTGAGGTTGAACTATCACTTCATGTTGTTTCTTGTCTCAGGATTACTGTTTTAGATTATAAAAGGTATAATGTTACCTGGATCTGCCAGAGTAATCCAAATTGTTGTCTAACGACTACGCGTATCACCACTACACGGTATCACCTTTAATGATATTAATTATTATCTGCCTTTGTCTATTTAATGATGAATTATGTTCATTTTTTATTGATAGTTAACCTAGCCTAGTTCATGAGGATTAATATTATTATCGTCATATTTCTTTTTATAAATAACTGTTTAAATGGTGAATACCGTGGAGATAGTAAAAATATAAATGGTCTTATGATTAACTACCCGCCTTGGATCATTTATTAGAATAGGCCTAATGGTGATTTCAGCTGCACTGGGAGCCACAAAGTTTATAAGGACAATTTTAAAATCATGTTTAATTTTTGAAACAAAAACTTGATTAGGCCTGGTTTTATTTCAAACCTTAATACAATTGTAGTAAAACTAATTCCAGGATTACATTGACCTAGAACCCTTTTTAGAAAATATAAATATCTTGAGCCAAATGTTTATTTATAGCCTAGGTAAAGTATTAAAATGCTGAGTTAAATAATGTATTAAGTTAGTCACAATTGTTGTACATGTTCTATTTGTATAAGCCTAATAAATATATTATATATATTTATAATTTGGACAGATCATTTACAATGGTAAATAGGCTATTTGATTAGTTGGGATTCGTCCCACAACCAAAGATTTCTATGTACACGATTTAAGGAAAGGAAGAGTACTCGAAAAATAAAATCTACAAAATCTACAGATCAACGTTCCTTATAAAACGTTTTGCCACTTTGAAGAAACGCCTTAAAATCTAATAAAAAATACTGAAACCGTAGGCTTTACTATTAAACTATAGCAGCCCTTAGTAGTCTTACATTTTAAATAGGCCTATAAAATTATTAACTAAGCTTTGATTATAAAAAAAAGCTAACGTAGATCGAATCGAGTAAAAACCTAATTACACTAGCGGGCAATAAGACTGCACTAAAAACACTGTACTAGAGGAACATCTAATCCGGAAATTTACGGCCGGAAGTTATCGCAAATTACAAAAAATATAGTCCAAAATTGTTTATACGTTTAACTCACGTAAAATCTTCTCTAGGATGAACCATACTGGGCTGTGTGAATGAATCTTCTGGTTGTTCTCCGTCTGCTAGAGATCGGAAGCGTACGAAGCCATTCTCTGCTACCAGCATGGATGGTGAAGGCTGAAGCCGCCTCTCAAAGGGAACCAGAGTCCCACATATGGATTTGCTCATGTCGTGATCGTCAGCTGGATGTTTCTTCAACGATCTCCTCTCAGTGGTGTTGTGTAGAAACATGTGCGGTCCAGCGTGCAGATTGTTTAGAGGGAAGGTATCGTCATACACCTGTTTGCCAGTTCTAAGAGAGTAGTTATGTATTGCTTGGTTTGAGCTGCAGATTGCTGGATAAATATCATCACCCGCTCCCCCTTCACTTCCTCTAGGAGTTGCTGCACCGCATGAAAACAATGCAAAGCCAGTGGCAGAGTTATGACTTTGAGTTTCTTTTTCCGCCTCACATCTCAGTGGCTGAACTCCAGCCCAAGACATTAAAAAGCACATGGAGATTTCAATAACTCTTACTGAAAATTGAAAACCCCACCATAACCAAACATGAGGAGATTCTTCTCCCAGGAACTCGTACACTCCGAACATTCCATAGAGCTGAACTGCAGCCATCAGTAGACTAAGCATTGCAGTTGCTAATGTAACACGAACAGCGTGAGCGAGGGTGGGACGATGAGAATCTGAGAACACCGATCCAAATATGTTACCTTGCTTCCGAAGAGAAGAATGAGATAGAGACTTATACAAATACAGATAAGAAAGGCCAAGTGCGACACACAGAATAACAAAAAGACATTGACATATCACTGGCAGAAGAGTAGAAAATCTAGTGGTGTTTGCCCATAGGTCTACACTTATACTCAAAATTAAGTGGGCTATGATGAACAAAGCTAGAACTGAAGCTCTTTGAAGTTTGTGACTCACCATTTTTACTTCACCTGCCAACAACAGGAACAAAAATAAAATAGCAAAAGATGATGTGAGCAAGGGGAATGCGATGTTTAGAAGTAAATGTGATACAGGATCAGGAAGAGAGTGATTGATATTGTAAGCATCGTAGAATAAAAACACACTCCGAGTTGTTCCAATGATAAGCAAGATGCCATGAAGAGTTAAAAAGTAACCTCTAGTAAGTAAACGTTTGAATGAACTTATCCTGATGATGTTTAGTAGAGAGCAAACTGCTAGTATAGCGAACAATGTGGCAATAAGGTACACGTGAATGTCCCATGCCACACCAAGAACATATCTTATTCTCGGTTCTGGTAGTTCTGGTAAATGAGCAACCTCGGGTGGATCTCTCGCTGCTAAGGGTGGTTCTGTCACTTCAATGCGCAGTTCTTCTTCTGTTACCTCTGGCGGTCGGGTCTGGGGTGGCCTAGTTGTTTGTGTGCTCACTTCTTCTCTAGATTGTGCTGGAGTGAGTTTTTTCTCAGTCACCTGAGGAGGTTTCATACTAGGAGGAATTAATGTTTTCACAACTCCTTGTTCTTGTTTAATAGTACGAGATGCTTTAGATTCAGATTCAAACCTGGGTCTTTCGAGAATGTCTTGAAGGATATCATGTTTTCGTCCACTTCCTCCTGATAATATGCGAGAAACACTCGGATAGGGTAAAATTGGTACAAAATCAAAAGACTCGTTGACTGCTCTAGAATTGGTTGTAGTTGTGCTTGTTGTCTCGGAGTAAGGAATTTCAGCCAATTTTTTGAAACTGGGGGTGTTGAGGGTTTTTTTCCTTGTATCTTGCACTGGGAGATCAGGAGGTCTAATGGGAATAAGTTCTATTTCTGAAGGAAGCCTTGGTGGTGGTGGAGGAATAGGCCTTTTATTGGAAACACTGGCACCATCAGAATTACTATCTCTCAGTGTTGGTTTTTCTGCAAAAGGATTTAAATACTCAGGTGGTAAAGGGGGAGTGAAAAAGGCTCTGTTGGGAGGAGAATATGAAGGCATCTCCCTCCCTGTAGGGCTTGTTGGAGGTGGTAAAGTTGGGTGGGATGGATAGGCTAGTGTGGGTGGTGTCCTTGCACTTCGCGCACCAAGTAAACTTGATTTTGACACACCATGTTTGGACGCTAAAGTCTTGTTAAATACGTCACCACCAAACAATAACCGCCTGTCCGTTACACTGTCAGGGTTATTGTCCGCATGAATGGCATTTCGGGAAAATGCCATTAAAACTATTAAAAGTCTTAACTGAATGAACATCTTGAAAAATAGCAGGCTTGGTACAAATCCAGAAGCCCGGCCCATTTTGCTTGTTTACATTTTAATAAAATTAAAGTTGTAAGTCAGCTTCCCATGACCCTGTACAATCTTCAGATACAAATATTACATAAATAATCATTTTTAAGGCTGGATGAGCAAGGAGAAGTTTTTCAATTATGACAGTTTAGGCCAAAAAGTAAGCAAGTAAGTAGCCTATCTAAGTTTAAGTCCTAGGACTCTTAATGGTGTTGTATAAAAACATTTTAAATTTAAAACAAAGAAGGAATAGTTATCACAGTCAACACATAATATAGCTTTGGATATAGTCTATGTAAATCCAAACAGTCTTAATAGTCACTAGGCCTATGTGTGAACAGTCCATTGTCCCTATGGAATATATCAGACTTTACCTTCATACTTTGCCACATTTCCAAGGTGTTAGAATATTGTTAGGCATGTTAACTTCGTCTTCAACATTGAGAATAATACAACAAACTTATTTCAATGATAGATTTGTGATCAAGTAGGTCGCATTACAATGTTCTTCACAATGAAAATAGGTTTAACCTACTTGTCATTCCAAAGGCTGTGCGCTATTTACTACAGTACCACAACGAGCAACACCCATAGTTTTCACAGAAGATAATGTCGTGCACGTTCAACAATAGTTGTGATTCGTATCCATAAAACACTTAAAACCAATTCACTTTTCTTTCAACAACTTTTCACAGCACTGAAACGAGGATTTTGTCGAACAATGAACAAAACAATGAGAAAGTCGTGAAATCTCGCTTGCGGCCATTTGCATTACATGTTACTGACACTGAACAGAACAGAACAGAACGGAGAAAAGAAAGAACAAGTTCTTCTATCATTGGTAAACATTCCATTATCCTGTTGAAGCCAGCAACATTTTCCACATACTATATGTATAAAAGTATTGCTAACACTGTCCGAATTTGAGAAAATGTGAAAGATTAAGAGGTTTTAGCATTGGTTTTGAATAGTAAAAGGAATTCGAACTCTCATACTATCGTAAAATCTGAAGCTGGAGCCTTTCATGATTGACTATTGGAAACAGGAAACTGTAGTTGAAGTTGTATTACTGTAATAGCAAAAGCTTTCATGTTTGTTTGGTTTTGTTTCGTGTTGGTGCCGTTTAAGCACTAGTTTAGACGAAATGTCTTTATCATATTTTGGTGTATAATTTATCATTTGTGCTTTACTACTTGGTTATAAAACGAGAGGATAATCTAGAATAGAATTAGCTTGTTTATTTTTGGTTAAATAGTTTTCATAATTTCAATGAGTTGAAGGACACAACTACCAATGAATACAAAACCTTTTGTATTCATTGCAACTCATTGACTTTTGCAGAACGCTCAACTCCTTCCCCACGTCTACCATCAAATTTTTAAACAGATTCCCTCCCAGCATGTATGGACGACTGGAAGTTCAAGACTGCTGTGAAAGACTTGATGATGAAAAGACCATACTAAAAGGTTTCTGACTTCTTTGAAGATAATCTGGAGCGGAACAGTTAGCTTTTTGTTTTTGTACTCATAACTCATAACTCATTTATTGAACCAAAATAACAGATACAAAATTTGCATTGGTCATGTCAAATAATAGAACTAAACAAGTACTAAATAGAACTAAACTAAACAGTACTGTCTGCTGCCTGCCCACCATGTAAGCAGTCTACAGCAATATACAGTCTTAATTTATGTGTGCGTGTAGTTTTTTCGTTTTTTATGTACCTACCGTAATAACCAGACGCAGTCTATTCCCTCTACTAGAGGGTCAACGAAGAAGGAAAATACAAATGCAAATTTACCCTCTCCATGGCCCGGTCGGAACGGGAACAACTAACTTTAAAATTGTCTTCGCCTGATCCATTGGAAGTGTGTTTGAAATCTAATTATCTGAGAGCCCTTCTGACGTGTTTCTTCGTGTTGTTAAAAACATTAGAAGGCACGAGACAAATCTGTTGCTATCTTTTGCAGTTTTAAATTAAAATTCTGTTGGTGAAAGAAAAAAAGGAGAGGGCATACATAAACCTTTTGTGGCTTGTGGATGAGCAAGCAAAACAGGGGAATTAGAACACATTTTTTGAGATGTGTTGATTTGATAGAGTTGAGGTAAAGGTAAATACCCCCGCCGCAGCAAACCTGCAGACTTAGCGAATTTCCATCTGCCTGATTAGATTTAAACTAAATTGTCTCCTTAAAAATATCACATTTTTATTCCCTATTTAAACAGAATTAGTTTAATGAGTACTTAGGTTTGCTGCAACAGGGAGGGTAAAAAAGTTTTTTTTATGAAAAATATTAAAAGGTACTATGGTTTAGTAAGAAATTAATGTATTTTCCAAATTTGATCAAAATATGTTCATAAACAAGCAAACTACAACAGTTGACTTATTCTCCATAAGAATAACATGGGAATTTTAAAATTATAATTTTTTTGAATTTTCTCCGTAACAATTAGGCGCATAATAACGCTTCAATATACTAAATTATTTGTTTTTTTAAGCTCTACAAAATGGTTTAAGAAGAAATTGTGAAATTTTGTGTTTTTAGGGTCAAAAATGGGAAAAACCTATTTTTACCCCATAAAACCCCCCATAAACCCCCGTTCCCATAGTCCGAACATGCTGGTTCGCGAACTCATTCAAGTTTTCCTGCCTTACACCTTCAAACCAAATTTTATCAAAGTCGGACAAAAATTACTCAAGTTATCGTGCGGATGGACACACACACATATATATATATATATATATAAATTTGAACGAATGGTGTTTTTGGCCTCTGGGGACATCAAAATGAAAAAGTAAATCGGTCCCGGGCTTAGGTCTTACCATGAGACCTACGGTAATAGCTACTTCCCTATAGGGAAATTCGCTAAAATCATTGAAACTTGCTGTGCTTGAAATGAAGTAGAATAAGAAGTGATAGGTTTCTGTTGAAATGTTGTTGTATGGTTGTCCTTACTTGTAGCAGACCTAGCATGTAACTGATAGAGTGTCTTCAATTTGGTCTTGATTTAAGAACTTGACTATTTCAAACTACTTCAGGTATAGAAAATGTTTCACACTTACACTTAAGATAGTTTCTAAAAGCCATCTAGTTGTTTGAGAAGGTCGCTATCAGTGGCGTAGCCTGGTTTGGAGCACCCTATATGGAGCATGGATGGCCCAAGCCACACTTCCCCGTACCAGGGGGTCAGAGGGGCTATGTGGTCCGGGTGTCCTCCCCCGGGGAAAAGGTTGAAAAAATAATAAACTGTAAAACATGAATTGGTATTTTAATTAGGTTTATTATATTTAACATATTATATTAGGGCGTTCGAAATTAAAACATTAATTTGTATTAAGTGCATTGGACGGAACTTATAATAATTACTTATAAATCTCCTCAAAACAGGATAGCTTTACTGAGTGCACGTGCAAAGGACGCGAATATACAAATGGTGGGTAGATGTCGGTGACGTTTAAGCACTTAGTTTGAAAATATTGCCCGTTTGGCGAAAAAAATCCTAGCCTGGCGCCGCCCCCGCCCACTAGTGCTTGTCACCCTGGAGCGACTGCGCTTACCCATTGTAGAGGAGAACCATTAAAGCGATCAGGTCTAGTTTCGGGAATCTTACGTGAACAGAAGATGAAGCTGAGATGTCACTAATTTTTCCCCCCAAACAAATTCCAGACGTCTAGACGATCTTTTGAGAATAGAAACTACCTCCACAATAGTGACTTCAATTTCTCTGTGAATATTCAAAGCTGGAAGTCCACTCAGTCTAAAAACACAGCTTGACTTAACAACATCACAACAAACACTGTACTTACCACTACAATCACTGTACTCAAATCAAAAATTCAACGATTGTCCACTACACACAGAACACAGGGCGAGCGCGTCAAGGTCAAGTGAGCATTGGTGCAACCGGGAGCAGCTACGGCGCTATAGTGTCGACGGTACGTTCACGTAGTCACTATCGCCAGTCGCCAGTCGCCACTATCACTATGAGGCAGGTGTTCGAAATGTTAACATGTAGTCGTGCTTTCTCTGTCCATCTGCATGGTCTGCATAGGCCTAAAAATACTCGTTACAAAACGAGTGCTCCTTGCTGTCTTTAATTTAAATATGTTGTAAGAATAGTTTTAAAGTTAATGATATTTTAAAAATTAGTGAAAAATGTACGTATATACAGCTGACTCCTGACCCTCGTAAAGAGTCAACCCTAGGTCCTTGGGGGGGGGGCTTAAGCCCACGAAGCCCCCCCCCCTGGGTGCGCCACTGGTTGTAACAATGTAACAAAAACATCGGTAACCTACCATCGATGTAAAAAACCATCGAACGATCGAACATTGATAGGAAAACGATGTTTCGAAAACATCGACTATCGATGCTTATCCCTTTCTTTCACAAAACCTTGCTCGCTGCGACTGACCAAGTGAAGCCTTGGATACTCGCGTGAAGTTGGCCCCACCAAAATGAGCACAAATTATAAAAACTAAAACATATCCATAATTTAGTGCTGAATTTGTGCTTCTCAAAGGTATATATAATATATAAATTTGTGCTCAACAATAACACACCAAAAAATTCTAAAAACTGTTGGCGGGGGTAACTTCACGTTCATCTATCAACTCGCCCGTTGCTCGACTCGCCTGCATGTCTACACCATGCGAGTTAGAGAGCGAGTGGCAACTCGTACACTGACTCGCCCACCGTACTCGACCCGTGTAAACCAGGCTTTAGGCTCTGGCTCTACGCTCTACTACACTACTTCATCTGTCATCTACACTCTACAGAAACAGAACAGAAACAGAGAACAGCAACAGCAGCAACAGAAAAACACTAAACAGAACGCAGAACGGTACAGTTACAGAAACAGAAGTAATCAAATATCAAAATCATATGTTCTTCCTAAATCCCATTAAAAATAAATTGTGGAACAATGAACAGTTGAAATGAATAATAATTAATTTTGTAGAGATTTTACACAGTATTTATTAATAGTATTATTCATAATCATTTTTGTTTAAGTTTGTAAAACGTAGGCTATTTGTAAAATGAAATGTATTCAGTTCGTGCTATTTAGTGATATTTAAATCTAGTAATAAGAACTTAATATTTTAATTTCCTGAAAAAAAATCAAAGAAAATTATTTAGGCAGGGTTAGGTGCAGGCAGAGCAGAGCAGACTATCTTCTTAACTTCAAAGTTAATAAGGTAAGCGCAAGTTTAGTAAAATATTGTAGGATAACCTAGACTAGTCTAGGCCTATATGCCTAGTTAATTTCTATTTTAGATTATGCCTAGGTTATATCCACTTATTTTTAATTTGTTAAAATTCAGGTTTTAAAATCCTAATTAGGTAACAAAAATTGGTTTAAAATGAGGCTGTTGCTTAGTTGTATATATATGTTTTGTGTTTAAATGTTTTTAATGTAAATAAGACGCAATCAATCCAACTTTGTTGGTCAAAGATGAAGTAACCAAGTACAAGTAAGTATAAGTATTTTTACTTCTTTTGCACATAGCCTAAGTTATAAATAAGCATATCAACCTAGCCTAAAGGGTTGAGTTTTAGATTGTTGCATAAAGATAAAGTGCATAGCCTAGGATTTAAGAAATGATTTAACTTAGCCTATGCGGGTACAGTTTCTTAACTGGTCTACTTATGCTAATATTGATTGAGGCTGCACTTTACTTTAGGTCCTACACTCATTCGAATGAAAGTATCGATTATTTGATTAATCGATTATTCGATTAATCGATATATCGATTAATCGATATATCGATATATCGATCGATATTTTCATTCGAATGAGTGTAGGACCTAAAGTAAAGTGCAGCCTTGATTGAAACTATCGAATTGAAAATATTGATTAATAATCGATATTTTTAAATATATCTATTATATAATAAAACTATCATAACCTAACCTAACCAACCAAACTTGCTGATGGTGAAAAAAATCGCATGAAGGTTTACCAATCGAATCGATAGTTTCAATAAATATTAACTTAGCATACTTAGCCCAGTTAAGAAACTGTACCCATTAAATCTTAGTGAAGGTTTACCAATCAAATCGATAGTTTCAATCTAGCTTCAAGCCCAATCCTAACTCTAGGCTCAGGCCTATTATCCCACTCAATGTGGCTAATCCAGTAGGTTGTGTACTTCCTGCCGATCTAGTCCGGTTAAACCAATGTGCTGATAAAAATTTTCCGGTTAAAGAGATGTCATTACCGCTGAGTGTAGTCCGGTTAAACCGATGTCCTGTTAGAAGGTGCCCGTATAAGAGGGAGTCTTACTGTAAGTTAATAATGATTAAGTTAAAAGTGGACGAAACAATTAGCCTAAGTTAATTTTATAATCCTATATGCATTTATAATGTTAACGTAAGTTAAGTTAACTTATTGAATACTGCGTTGATTTTCTAAAAGAAGAATAACTTTCTGATCCTATAAAAAAAAAAAATCATAAGCTTTAGTTTTTGTTTATCATACTTAGTTTGTGGCCTGGTTTTAGTTGTTGTTTTTAGCGAATTTCCCCTATAACTTAGGGAATAAGCTATTACGTAGTACTCATGGTAAGACCTGGACCTGGGACCAATTTACTTTTTCGTTTTGAGGTCCCTAGAGACCAAAAACACAAACCGTTCAAATTCATATATATTTATATATGTGTCCGTTAGCGCAATAACTCGAGCAAATGATTTTGATGAAATTTGGTACAAACGTGTAAACCTACGTTTATTCAAACGAGTTCGCGATCCAGCATGATCGGACTATGGGAACAGGGATTTAAGGGGGGTTTTATCGGGTAAAAATTGGGTTTTCCCATTTTTGACCCTAAAAACTTAAAATTTAGCATTTTCTTTCCAAAGCATTTTGTAGAGCTAAATAAACAAATAATTTAGTATATTGAAGCGTTATTATGCGCCTAAGCTTAATGGTTACGGAGAAAAAAAAAACAAAAAAAAACTGTAAATTAAAAATTCCAATGTTATTCTTATGGAGAATAAGTAAACTGTTGTAGTTGGCTTGTTTATTATCATATTTTGATCAAATTTGGAAAATCCATTCATTTCAAACTATTATTTTAGTAACTTTTTTACTAACATTTTACAAAAAAACACCTTTTTGCCCCAAACACCCTGTTGCAGCAAACCAGTTTATTTTCAGGCCACAAGCTCAATTTTTGTTTCAAATTTATTCTTTCCTAAATAAATTTCCTAAAGCATCTTTTGTAGTTTGAACTAGTCTCGAGGAACATAGGGCCTTTATCAATCAATGTTTGGTTAGGTAATCACTCTTTTCTTGTTGTCATTCTAGTGGCTTAGATTTTCTTAAATTATGTATGATCATATTCTTTAACTTTTGTTATAGTGGTTGTCACCACTGTTAGATTAGAAACTAAAATCATATTAAAAGCAAAGTGAACTGGAAGTTAACTTACTGTAATTTATTCTAACATCTCCATTCATAAATAAACAACACCCAAGCTATTTAATCAGTATGATCAAATCAACATAAGTACCTGTAATAACATACATAAAATATCAATCACAGCAATTATTATTGTCAATTATTTTATAGGTATGTCAAACCGTGGACGAGGGAGAGGAAGAGGCTTTGGGAGAGGAAAATATAATGAATTCAGACAGAATGAGAGCTCTTGTAAGTAAAATCGAAATTTCACAAAATTCAGTATGGAGTGTAACTTAATTGTTTATCACATTTAGGCAGCCCTTTACAATTTAAAGAAGAGATTACGTCACATTTGGCACTTATTTGTTAAGCCTAGAAGTTACTGGTATAGGTCGGCCGCTTAGAAAACGACCTCCTCGTAGCATTGGTGCGAGAGAGAGATACCGAGCTGTGGGAGTGAGACAGACTATGGCTCTTCACCCACTTCGCTGCTGCCCCACCCTTCCCGAACACACGCCCCCTTAAATTGCAACTAAAATATTAACAACAATTAAATTATTCAGCCATGTCCCGATTTTTCCCTAACCTAAGGTGGCAACCCTGCCTCTCAGCGCCCTAGGCCCAACTTATAGTAGCGCATCTTTGCAATATGTACAGGGTGTCATGCAACCTTATGAAAAAACTTTGTCTCGTTACTCAACATGTCAAAAGAAACAAAAAATGTAAATAACATTTGTCCTATCCCTTTCCGTTTTCTGTCTATCTGTATGTGATTTTTACAAACACATTCATAACACCTTAATTGTTTGAGCTACAGCATTAAAACTCTGTAAAAATGTTTATCTTATTGACCACTGTGTTTGTCCAAAATATGAATAAAAACTCATGAAACGTTAAAAATGGCGGCTTTAAAAAATATTTGATGCCTATTCCATGAATACCGTAAATTTTACAAAATATTTGGAAGACGTAAAATTTTGTACATTTTATACAGATTACAACGTTATCTTGTAAGCTTAGTTTGGACATAGAATAACTGAGAAATTGAAATTGGTTTTTTTCTTGTTATACTTTCAGTTTACTCCATTTAAATAATGTTAAAAAGTAGTTTGAAAAATTTAACGTTTTTTAAAAAATTGTGTGCGGCCATTCCCGATCTGGTACGGTGCCAATGCCTTTCGTCTTTGATTATGCTCTAGCGTCGGTCGAAGGCGGACCTATACCACGTTAGCGTGTAGTGTGCGACTTGCTTTTTGTTGTAGTGTAGGTTGGTAGTAAATTTCTCTATAAAATCCCCGTCTGGCAAGCTTGAAAATCAACTTGTTGGCCTGTCATTTTCCCTCCAATTGGCAATACAATGTGACCGGCTAAGTTCCAAGCAGTGCTGCTATCTGTGGGTGTTTTATCTGTGGGTAAAGCAGGATACCGCCACACGTTATTTGCTATTCGTCAGAACGAAATTTGAAAGCCAACATCCCGGCAAACGGGTTTGTTCGACGCTGCAGGCTGCGTCACACTAGGGCTACGCCTGCCATTTGACGGGCCGCAGCGAAGGCGTTAAATGGAGAAAACTGAATGTATAACAAGAAAAAAAATAATTTTCCAGTTATTCTTTGTCCAAACTAAGCTTATAAGATATCGTTATAATCTGCATAAAATGAACGAAACTTTACATTTCTTGCAAATAGTTTGTAAAATTAACGGTTATCATGGGATTTTGCATCAAATATTAAAAAATAGTGCCATATTTAAACTGTTTTTAAACAAGATTTTTATTCATATAAAGTCAAACATAGTGGTCAATAAAGATAAACATTTTTACAGAATGTCAATGCTGTAACTCAAACAGTTAAGGAGTTATGAATGTTTTTGTAAAATCACATACAGACAGATAGACCTAAAACGGAATGACATAGGACACGATATACTACATCTTTTGTTTCTTTTGACATGCTGAGTAACGTGACAAAGTTTGTTCATAAGGTTGCAAGACACCATGTATAGGTCTAAATATGTATATATAATGGTTTTTACAGGCAGAGAAATTAGCTTCCAACAGCTGGAAGGCCTTTCGTAAAAGCGGTTTGCGATAGCCATTACAAAGGTCCCCCCACCCCCCTACCCCCATACCCTATTGCATACCCCCTGATTTAAGCCCCCGTCCTAGCTGGGTGACCATTGGGATGCATGCCACACACACAATACACGCGACGCACCTGATGCACGTGTCTACCGGGCCTATTCGGTAAATTTGCCCTGGATGTAGGCTGTAATTAAACCTGTTGTTTAATTGTGATCAAATAAGCATACTGGATTTTTTTTAGAAATCTATCCCGAATCATCTTCATAAGCCTGTACACATCATGTAAATTTGAAATCTATATAAATAATTTAAACTAAAAACTAAATGTAGCCTTCATGAACAGTGGTGATTAATGCATAAGAATTATTCAGATTGACAGAGAAATATTGCTTCATAAACAAATTGTTAGATGATGACTAAGGGATTGTTGTTAAAGGAATACAATTTTCAACAGTAGAGTAAATGCTCAAGGTATAGGAGGCATTGTAGTAGTAGGTACCACACATAAACCTCGCTGCCACTCCACATATTTTGTGTAGCTTTTGTATCTTTTCTTTAGAGAGAGTTGATTATCTACAACGTCATATGTCCAAAACGTCAGTGATTTGCCGCCATCATTTTTAAATTCTCACAATGTGCAGAGTATTGAGCAACTCGCCCACCTTTGCTTATCATAATTACTTAAACAATTTGATGACTCCTCGCCTCTGGCTCTTTAATTAGTTTGGATAATTGACTCTTAGAAGTAAAATGTCCTCGTTACACTATCTTGTGAGTCAATTTGGATGGTTTTTTAGTCACCCAAGCTAATGAGATTCAACTGTAGTCTTAACTGTAGAGTAGCTTGCTAAAAGATTATCAGTATTGGTATGTTTACAGATGGTTTTGGTTGGCGAGGCAGAGGACGCGGAAGTTTTTCATCTTATGAAAATACCCTCAATCAAAGCGACAAGCTGCAGAATAAGATTGAAAGACACCCTCCTGGTTAGTTCTTTGTAATGTTTAATGCAATAAATTGTATCTAGCCTAATTTTACCTAACACTAACTATTGGAAACAAACTTAGTAAAAGGTACTTTATGAGGAAGTCATTTTTTAATTATATAAATAAATATGGAGCAATACTATATAATTTATAATTTCTTAACTGTTGTAAATGATTAAGACCAGACACTGAAGAAAATGCACAAAAGTTATGACCTGACTTTGGCTAGCCATGTGAAGATAGTATTACATTTAGTCTTAATTTTTATGTCCCTACATTAATGTATAAAAAGTTAATCAATTGACGACGAGTCACAAGTGTGTGTTTAACGATGAGGTAGGCATAGTATTTTTACCAACCCACTGGTGCTTGAGTAATTTTTTGAATCTACTCTGCGAGCGCTAGTGTAGATGTGAGCTCATAGTTTCACTCATTCTGGTCGGCTGATGGTATCTCAGTTTGCTAAGGTGTTTCACCTTAGTGAAGTAGTGTTGAGTTCTTTCTACATGCATGGATTTGAATCCATTACATGTGCAATCCATATTAAGCTTACTAATGTGTTGTGAACAGTCCAGCTTGAATAAACGTTGTCCAGCTTGGGTGGAAGTTGGCGGCATTAGTGAGTTTTAAACATTGACTATTGGTTTTAAAGGGATTGCACGCAACACCTGTTTTGCTTCTTTTTTAGTATTGAAGAGGAGAAAGTGGATTTTTCTGTTCTGTTAAAACACATAATTGCTAAAAGACAAACATGACATAGCCTAAAAAAATTAATTAATAGAAAAATAAAATGCAAAAGAATAATTCTGTGGCAATGGAATAAATCTTTTTTTGTGACAAAATGTTTCTTTGACTATTTTGACGGTCCTATGAGATTTAGAAGCTGAACAAGAGAGCTCTGAAACTATTCCTCTAATAAAAAATAATAGATTGCTGATTACAAAAGGTGTATAGCCTGATATTATAGTCATTGTTTCAATCCCAGCGGCAAAAATGAATTAATAATTTCGGTTGGTTACACGGACAATAACGCTTGAACAGCAAGTTCAAGTTTATCGTTGTAGATCATAGACGGAGACGTTAGAATTTCGAGAGGAGTCAGTTGTGGGAAGGTTGGATATGAGACTGAGAGTTTCTACTGTAATTGCATTTTCAAAGCCTAATTTCAGTAGCACTTTTTAAAGAAAAATATCATTTTATGTCCCTAAAATAGGCACGCAAGCCTAGACAAATAATAATTTGGGCTTGGCGTAAAGGAAAATTCCATACACCTAGTAAGGTAACCTTATTAAAGTAATGGTGGTAACAGATTTTTAGTATGTGTAAAGGCATCAGGCGTGAAGAGTTAAATACAATTTGTTTTCAGATTCCAGCCAAGAAATTGAAGAGAAGCAACCAATCTTCACTCCGCAGCCCCAGTTAGATTACCACTCAACGAACTTCCTGACAAACCTGAGATCAGTTTGGAACTTATGTATGTTTTCTTTAGTGATAAAAAACTAAAATTTTGAACAAAAAACCTTATAAAAATGAAAATTTAAATGTGTGAATACACTGTACTACTCAAACCCCTAAGAGCTGAACCCCTCAAGAGATGAACATCCAGTTTGCAAAGTTTTAGTGATGTTTATAAGGAACTAAAAATAAGGCCTTTGTAGGAACCCTCGTACGATTACTTTAAAATCTTGTAATTAGAATTTCTTTCTATGTACGATTGTGTATATTGTTTTCATTACTCACTTCTTATTTAGATAGAATTAATTATTTATCAAAATATCTATGTTGAATGTAATCTCTAATGTAAAATTTTCCTTATTTGATTTGCTAGTTGATTGTGAGTTTCCAATGCTATTTGCCGATCGGTTCCCTCTTCTTCTCAGTCTTCTTTTGACTTCTTTGTTCAGAAGCACTCTAACCTGCGATGATGTAATATGTGAGTTGAACATGTAACGTAAATGTTGGGCTTTAATCCATTTGATTGCTCAATACCTACCATTGATTGTTATTATGTTTGGGGTGCATGAGTTTTTGTTTGAATGAACATTCACTGTTAAAGATATCATTTTAAATATTATTTAAATTACTCTATACCACTTAGATAATTTCCATCATGTAATTTGCCAAACAAAGCTCATTACATTTACTTGCATGTTCATTACTCGCTAAGTAGCAACTCTGTCTTATATCAAAACTTTCCTATCCAAGCGAGTTTAGTAAGACAAACTTGTTTGTGCATTTGATTATTGTGTGCAATAACTGTGTCAACTTTCTTTATCGGCCTCTTACAACTGTTGAGCTGTCTGTTTATAAAAAAAATATTATAATAAAAGGTTAGCGGATAACTTGGGCCTAACTTAAAACTAACTTAGACTAACTTGGGACTAACTTAGAATAAATACAGGTAGGTCACAGTACCCACAGACATACTTGGGAATAACGAATAGAAATTCTATCGAATAGCACTATTCATTAGTTTTTTGGCTAACTTCTATTTTATTAGTTTGTTTTTAAATTAACTAACTAATAACTTCTATCAGTTACTTTTTACGGGACTAACTAATAACTTCTAACTAGTTAGAATTTTCAACTAACTTTCCCAATTATGCGGAAGCATCTCAAATACTGGTTATTTATTTCACATGATCAGTGAGGGTTGCGTGCGGCCGTGAGAGGTCAGCGCCCTTGTAGACAAACAACGCGGGGGGTGGGGAAAGAGAAAGTCAAAGTCCAGTTGCTTTGGAATGCAGTGAGCCTGTGGAAGGGTAGTGACGGCCATTATCTACACCCCAAGCACTGATGGGTGGGAAGGGGAAATGTTTGTTTGGTGATTGATATATCATCTCAAGTGTCAAAGCATTGTCTTTAGTTGATGTTCATTATCTGACAAGTTTTATGTCATTTGTTTATGTTGTAGTAATGTAAAATGTGACAATGTTTGATTAAAACACAAGTACCAGGGGACCGAACTTGCTCGAGGTGTTTGATTTGTTCAAGAGGTAAAAAATAGAGCTTATAAGCCTACAAATATTTTCAGTCTTACTACGATTAATTAAGTAGTAAAGTCAATTCGTTTTTGTTAGACATCCACTTATCCTCAATTTAGTCTACAAAACTTTTTAATTTGGACGATCAATCTATAAAATGTCCACAATAAGCTTCAATCAATATAAAACTCATGATACATAACATCTGTTATCTGACGACCGTTATTGCATTAAGTCACTGGGATCGTGGAACGTTGCAACTATAATTACGGGATGGTGTAATAACGCATCAATTCGTGCGGTGCATCGTCGAAAAATACAAATCTCCTTGGCCTTTCCTTTAGATTTTTAGTTCAATGTCAGTGTATATTGTTTTGCAGTAAAACACTTAATGTTTTAAAATCCATATTTTTAGCCCATGAGCTGTGATATAACTAAAAAATTGTTTTTACCTTTTGTCTACAGCTCAATAAGTTGTAACTTCCGTTACGGCCGTTTTGACTTAATGTTTTTGAACAGTCGTAATTATCCCTTTGGTTAGTAAGACATCATACAATGCAAATGTATTATACAAGCAATTTTCAATAGCATTGAAATTGGAGGAAATCGTAGGAGCCATTTTTTAAATCATATCTTGCGCAATCTTTACTCATATTATAGTATATATTAGTAACCAAGATGTGACATTAAAAAATACTTTAAAACAACTGCCCAACGAACAACTAATTTCTACTAAAACTAACTTTATTTTCTATCAGTTAGTTTTTCAACTAACTAATAACTTCTATCAGTTACTTTTTAAACTAACTAACTTATAACTTCTATCAGTTACTTTTTACGGGACTAACTTATAACTTCTAACTAGTTAGAATTTTTGACTAACTTTCCCAACTATGCCCACAGAAAACAAACAATTTTCCACACTCTGTGACACTCTGTCATGGTAGTTTAGTCCAATTCTCTTTGTCTTAACTTGAGAAAATCACGAAAGGGACAAACTATTGTGTGTTTCCTTTCTGTGTACTATGCCCTACCTTCATACCTGTGATTTTAAAATCACAACACAATCCTGGCCTAGTGCCTTTCCTTAAACATAACCAATTAATAACAATACCTAGTTCTTAAATTGTAAGAAATTTGCTCAATCCTCTTGATTTTAATAATGTCTTCATTAGTTCTTAAAACTCCTTGTTACATGCTAGGTTCTTTTTTATTTGAGACTGTGTTGAAAATGACAAATGCATTCTTACAAACCCCACATTTTTTTCAGGGAAGAAGAGTGAAAATGTCTCAAGAATGCTGCAGGAATATTTTCTATCAGTTGAAAATCCCTACGATTCAGCCTTCAAAGTTGCTGTTACCTGCCCTGACTTTTATCAGGGGAAACCTATGTCTTTACCTTTAGCAGGTACTTGTATGGTTTGTTTGCACCTCTGAATCATTGTATGGTATTACACTGGCGTAAATTATCTTTACCATAGTAGTTCTGTTAAAATGTCATAAGTCATCAATAAACTACTTGATCATCATCAGACAAGGTTGTAGTGATATATTGCAGTCATAACTACTAACATTGGAAATACATACCACAAATGTAACTTGGAAACAATAAACCTCAATTCATTTTATAAACCCAAATCCAGTGGAGTAGGCTTTGTGATAGAATTGCAATACATTACACACTAAAGACTTGCATGATGAGGATTCTGTGATGGATTAAACCAGTCACCTTTCAAAGGAACAAGGAACTCCACTAAACATAATTTATAGTAGGAAACAAAAATAAAGTCCCATTTCTGCAGGTAGAGTGGACCCGTCCTAATCCAGCTTGTCAAAACAACGCTATTGTTAAGAGCTCGGCAATGCAGGCGAGCCGGGAATACCGCCATCCCCACGCTGTTCCTAGAAGAAATTCCGTGTTCTACTACAATTTGCATAAATTGAACCATAAGACTTGGAGCATCATGTGAAGACTCATTTTGTTCCTCTGAGAAAGAGGAATAAAAAAAATTTTGAGTGAACGCTCTACGATTTCCCGTTATAAGGAAAAATGTAAAAATAGAAATAAGCTGATTAATGAACAAGTAAATTTCGACTCCAGTTGTACTTATAAAAATGTATTGGCCGGTGCTTCCGGTAGGCAATAGGATATAAGTAGGGACGCCATTCAAGATTCTTGTCATTTGCCTATTGGGTCTGATGATGATTGGAGTGTCCAATCGAAATCGATCACCACTTACCATCTTTTTTGTATATTTACCGTCTTGTGAGTATCAGTATAAGCGTAAATATATGTTTTAAGTGTTATAAGACATTTCATTTATTTACTTTCCGTAACTATTCTTACTCAATCGAAGGTATTTTTTGTTATGTCGTTACACATATAATTTAGAACTCTTAGTGTCTTTTTAATGAGAATATACAATCATTAGCGATCATAACATATTTTGAAGTAAATGTAACTGTTAGGTGGGGTAGGCTAATGTTTCTTGTGATTTGGTAATTTAGTAAGGTAGAATTTGAAACTATGACAATAATCCTGAGCAAAGCTTTATCTTATTTACTAGGGTCAATTGTAATTGCATGACTAAAAACCTAGTGATTTGTTTAAATAAAATAACTTTTAATTGAATAAGAGTGGATTATTTGGCTTGTTTCAGTTATTGAAGAGTTGGCTGTGTTTTTAAAACCAAATAAGGAGAAATACGCTTCGTGCCTTACTTTAGATATTAAATTTGATGTGTTTGATATATTCACCAAGCAAAGAAATGGACTACTCACAAAAATGGCATTTGAGGTGTACGAACTTCAATCCAGTAAAGAGATGTTTGTGGAAAGAATAAACAGTTTTATACAAAACCGACAGTACAAAGAGGTATGAATAGTTTGTAACAGTCAAACCTTGATACAATAAACCTGAAGGGACAGAGCAATTATCTTTTTGTTATCAAAGAATTTGTAATGATTTCACACCTTAGACAGCTATTAAAGAATTAAGAGTGCTCAGTCTCTCACTCACTGGTGTATTTTGTGAATCTTTTTGGTCACGTTAGACTTGAATAGAAGGTGGAAGAAATATGTATATAGGCCTAAAGATAACTTTTCCGAATATGGAGTGAATTGTGCTTTAAAGGGTATCTGCTTTACGCTAAATTTGATAAACGGTTAAAACTGGTGGAAAAATTGTTACCATATTTTTTAAATCTAAAGAGCTAATAATATTACACTTTTTTTAATATTATAAAAGTGTTCAAACTTTTAATGGTTTTACATTCATAAAAGTCACTAATAAGATTTGTTTGGTTGTAGGCATGCCAGACGGCGATGTACCTGGGACTCGACCAGTTCGGCATAGAGGACTTTGTTGTGCCGCTGTTGTTCCAAGACAAGTTGACAATCGCTGAGGACTATCTGCGTATTAGTCCTGCCGCGCAGACAGCCACAGCTCAGTACCTCGATCAACTGCTGCAGGGTCGAGTCAACGAGAAGATCATGGATGTTATTAGGTAAGCTCAGCTGTTATTCATCACCGCAAGTACTTTTGTTTATTTCGTCGTACTAATTGGTTGATAAATAAAATTAATTAAAAGCATTTTTTCCCATGAAGTTACATTTTTTTTTCCACCGTATAACATTATCAAGCATACCATTGTAACAATTGTGTAAAATTTGTGACACTTGATATGATACATTTACAAAACACTTGCTTGCAATTTCAACATAATATGATTGTGTATAATGGTGGTTAAAGATCATATAGGATAAATTATAATGACACAATGTTGACAAGCCAAAAACATTCCTTTATGCAAACAAAGTCAGAATGCAATAAATAAATGTATTCAGTAGTGTATCACTATTGATAAGTAGATAGATCATCACTTAGATATATCATTCTTTTACCAAAAGATATAAAAAATGAATTTTATAGCAGACAATTTTATTGTAAACTAAAGACATTTTTAGTAAGAAAGTTATTTTACTCCTATGAGGAATTTTAAAATTTATAATATTGTGAATAGACGATATGTTCCATTTCTCACTTACTCTATTCATTGTACTTGTGTACTTATGAATAAAGGTGATTTTGATTTGATTTAATTTAATTAAGATAATGGACTCTGATGTTTGCTGTGAAACCTGAATTTTTTCATCTCTGAAATTTGGTTAGTATTCCAGTCATTGTTAATTGAATTGGTTATTATGTAGCTGATTTAATGACATTAGGCCTGCTCTCACACAAATATATCCTATCAAATAGGGTTTGACCACAGAGTGTAAGATCTGCAGTGTTGTCGATACCTTACAATCATAATCACAAATTTTAAACGTTGTACTTGTAGCTTATGAGATGTTAATTTTTGTATGAAACTATTTTTGAATATTCATAGGCGAAGGACCAGTCCCTGGTGTTAGGACAAATGAGAAAAACATAAATGAAACAGTACTATCTTATTAGTCAATTGATTCACACCAACATGTTGACGCACAAGGTATTTATTCTATCATATTTTTGATTTTATATCCCAGTTTTCATTTGATATTGTGGTGTGGCGAATAATAGCTGTATTACATCAGAGGAACTGTTTTGATTTTTCGGACCTTAGACTGTAGCTTTTAACTAACTGTTGGTGTTACAGACAGCTGAATATCCCAGAACCAAAACAAGAAAAGCTGCAGTACAAACCCATGTCAAAGCTATTGGCAAGGTTTTTGAAAATATTCAATATTCATCCTAGTAGCTGCCCAAACCTGACTCGCAAGAAAAGAGAGGGAGCTTTGCATTTTGTGATTTGTAAACGCTACAAGTACAATGAAATCGGTGGGTATTTTAAACTGTCCTTTTAACCGCTTTTATGTTGGTTTTGACTTTTGATTATAAGTTGTGTTTTTTGTCTATGAGATGACTTTGATGCTGCTAGTCTAGTTGCCAGTTGGTTATGTTCAAAGAGCTATCTACAGTAAAGTTAATGTAGATTATTTATTTTCTCTTCGGCCACACAAGCTGAGCAGTGTATTTTTTCATTTTTTGTTATTCTTACCTTGTAAAATCAATTAGGTACCACAATATTGTGAGTATAATCTTTAACAACTTATCACTCGACTGCTTTTGATTGAGCTCCTCTATTGTTTTTTATATTTAAAAAGTAATTTTTCTTTTAACTTTAAGAACCTACATAGGCCTACAATATTTTTGACAAACAATTCAGCATGTAGAACAATGAATTTAGGCTTAGCTTTAGCTCAAACAAACGAAACATGTAAAGGAAACAGAAAAATGGAAAAGACTGATAAACCTTATGAAACCCCGGCTTCCAAGTTGTAGTTGTCACAGTTATGATTTGCCTGTACAGAGGGTGAGTGTTGGAGGGAGATGGTGTCAGAGGCTGTATGTGGAGACTCGTATCTGGAGGAGGAGCTAGTCGCTGCAATCAATCTGCACGGAGACCTTGTGGAGGCTGCATTCTTTGCTCGCAAGTTGTAGTTGTTATAGTTATGATTTGCCTGTACAGAGGGTGAGTGTTGGAGGGAGATGGTGTCAGAGGCTGTATGTGGAGACTCGTATCTGGAGGAGGAGCTAGTCGCTGCAATCAATCTGCACGGAGACGTTGTGGAGGCTGCATTCTTTGCTCGCAAGTTCAACATTCCTGCACACAAGCTGCCTTACAATGTAGTGACATACCTCAGGACTGGCACTTTGTAAGTACCAGTGTTCTGTATTTTTTAACATAGAATTTGTTTTGCAATCTTTATGTTTAGGCCTAATCTTAACTAATTTTTTTTAAATCTCATGAAGGTAGGGATGCGACGGTTGTTGATATTGATTCTGGATACCGGATTCTAGATACCACTGATTCTTGGACATTAGTATCAATATCAATATCGAGGTGGCTACCTACACACAAATCATAAATAGCATTTTGCATTTGGCCCTTGTGACTTACTGATTATTTTTTTGTAGTACATAAATCGGGTCCGCGGAATTGGCTAACTCTGGAACTCGCTAACCCCATGTTAAATGCCCTATCTTCAAATTTGGTCGATGAGAGGAACTCGCTAACTTGTTCGGTTTCGGAATTGGCTAACTCCCAATCAGAAGCCTCGCGGGCCGTCCAATGGGAGCCAAGCACGAATATTTTTGGCCAGTGTTGCCGAAAGTGTAGTACCTATATCGTATCGGCACCATAATGTCGTATCCTACGCTTAATTAGGAGTAAGAGCAACGTAGTCGATAAAATAAATATATTTTGAAGTATGTTTAACCACAGAGAAGTTCTTATGATTATTAGGGTGGAAAATGCATTATAGTCTTACCATAGACTAACCAACACAAGTAAACTTTACATCCCATTGTAAACTTTGAAGCTCGTTTTTCGTGTCTAGTTCATGTCCGGTGACACTGATCGCTAGTGTCGACAAAATTGTGTTTCTATTATTTTATAGTTAACTTCATGATTTGTTCCTTACCGTTTGGTTATATAACTAGGGGACGTGTTATTAGTTGTGATTAGAACGTTTTATTTGGTTAAACGAGGTTTTAAATTACTGAAAACAAAACACGACCTCTAAAGACAGTACACCGGACAGAACTAACAATACAACTGTCTTCAGATCATCCATAAGGATGAGAAATGTACTAATATAAGGGAGTATGTTTTATATGTGGGTTTCTTACTTAAATAGTAGCTTATTGGTATGAAAAAGATAAAAATGCACATTTAATTTGGATCTATTACATGTTATGAAATAAATATCTATTTTCGTAGTCCGCCATTTGTTTCTTTTATTCGAATAAATACCATTTTGTGAACTTCGGCAAATAAAATTTTTGAGTTCGTATTTTATATACTGGGCTTGTAGTAACCTTAAATCATAAATCATAATAAAATTTACACGTTAAACGTCATTACAGAATTACATTGTAGTGGTTATGTATTTTTAAATAGAGCTATTGAATTTAAATAAATATTTATCAATACATTATAAAGTGGTAGGCCTAATGTATTCATGGATTGCATTAAAAGTTAGTCTATGCATAAATACAACTTGTAAATTTCTTTTATCGTAGGCTATTAGTGTAGAACCCGGGTCATCCTCTTAATTTTGTTGAATTAATATTAATTTTACGTCTTTCAGTAGGCTTACTTTTTAAAAGTCTGGAGTTTTTTTCCAGGCTGATTCTATCTTATCCAAAAACAAAGCTATTGTCTATTGTGTAGCTCAGTACTGGGGAACGGTGAACCGAGCAATGGCTTGGTATAGTTTATATCGTTTGTGAAAGCAATATAAAGGAAACCCAACACTCAAATCAGGAAACACCGTCAATTAGTTTATTAAAAATCGTGAATTAAAATAACCCTGTCACGTTTTATTATATGAATATTATATCTTCTCCTATTTTTTACTAGTGGTGCTTAGGTGTACAATCTAAAAACTGTTTTAAAACATGTAACATTATTGCTAAAAAATTCATCACATTTTAGAATTAGGCAACTATTTACTAGTAGGCCTACAATGCTTTGGTTCAAACTATTAGGCCTAGATAAAAACTTAGTCTATGTCATCATATTTGTACACGTAAGTTGGACGGTTCAACGACGAACATTTAATTTAAAATCTATGAATTAATTATGAAAGTTACAATGGTTGATGACTGTATTAATTAATGGTTTTGGTTTATTACGACATTACAATTAAATCTGTTTTCCGTGTTTAAGAACTTGCGTGTATTTTAGCTTATTTTCGTAGAGGTTTAATTATTTATTACCAATTAAACTAAATTTTGAATATTTTTCATATTCTATTATTTTCTTTTATACTGATGGCATTTATATTTAAGATCGAAATCATAAACATTTAACTGGCCATTGTACAGTTTAATAAAAAACACTTTTTCATGATTTTTAATTGTTTTTTAATTACTTTGGGCTAGTTATCTGTTAAAAGTGGAATTGATAAAAAAAAAAATAACATTTACTGTATCTTTATAGACACTGACATTTTGAAATACGGCAGTGTACGATTATTTTGTCGTACAAGGCTGGCAACGCTCCGAGCAGTGGGCGCGGCCGGGTTAGCGACTTCCAGAGTTAGCGAATTCCGCCGCGAGACAAAATCGAGTTAGCGGGTTCCGGAGTTAGCCAATTCCTGACTGAGACGGTTAGCCAGTTCCAGAGTTAGCCAGTTCCGCCACACGACCGAGTTAGCGAGTTCCTGAGTTAGCCAATTCCTACGTCTCCATAAATCTAATGAATAAATAGCTGTATTAAATAAAATAATTAGTCCTGGAGTTAATTGAAATGTACTATGTTCATCTCTGATCAAAATTATCTAAATCTAAAAATAATAGACAAGCCCTGCCTTGCACAAAAACTGTCTGTAAATAATATGTGTTCCTTTTATGGTAAATGTACCAATTTGGAATCTAGTGTTGCATTAGATAAAAATGGCTAACTTTCGGTCCAAACTTGAAACTTGCAGTATTTTCAAACTTTTTCATCTGTCAATAAAACAAGAAATTGCAATGGTTATACTATTCTACTTTTATCACTACTAGTACGCTCAGTAGTTTGTGAATCAGCATCATCGGACTATGGGAATGGGGTTTTATGGGGTAGAGCTATAATTTTGTAGAGCTAAAAAAAAATTGTAGTAAATTGATGCGATTTTATTATCATACAATATGGAGCATATGAAAAGTTCAAAATACCGTAAGTTTAAAATTTTCATGCTATTCTTATGGAGATCTTATCTTATCTTATCTAACAGGAGCAGGTCCTTATGGAGATTAAGTAAACTGTTGTAGTTTGCTTGTTTATAAATGTATTTTGAACAAATTTGTCATTTTTTGTATTTCACACACTATTAACATCGCTGCTGCAGGGGTATTATTTTAGTGATAACGCGACCCTCTAGGCTTAGCCTGAAGTAATGTGACAATGGTTGTGGAGCCTAGCAACCTTAGAATGAAGGGGGCAACGTCGTTACTTAAGATTCACAATGTGATGTTTGTCAGAGAGTACCACTACTCGCCGCCACGAGTGACTGTGCCGAGGAAGGTGCTGCAGTTGCCAGAGAGTCACATAGTTATGATGGTAGACACAGATGAGTCACTAGCCCGCTGTGTGGAGGCTGTGTCCAACACTCACGTCGTGGGGCTGGATGCTGAGTGGAAGCCTGCGTTCTGCTCTGAATCTGAGGCACTCTCACTACTGCAGGTTAGACATTTAGTCCAATGTGTTGTTGTCAGTTTTAAAATGCCACCTTACAGATTATGTTGATGTCCTTAACTGATTTCTGTTGTGTCAACAATGCACTTTACAATTTTAATGCAGAGTTTATACTTAACTTTATATTTTAATTTTATTTGTAAAAATACACAAGCAGATTTTGTAAGATTTCGTTAGTGAACGGTCCAAACCCTTACTTGTTACTATCTAACGTCGACCTTTTGTTTGGTATCATCATTAATCAATAGCCCTGGTCCAGAAATGATATCGATATCGCTGTGAATCAAACCAGCTCAGATTTGAAGGCGAGCACTATAACATACTCGGCTTCTCAGACGATTTCATAGTGTCAAAAAAACACCTTGTTGCTTAAATAATGGGACTTATAATGGCACCTTACTTTGAAATATATTATACTACATATCCCTTAAATATATTTGCCAAAGTCAATTTAATTCATCACATAGCAAATTGTGAATTGCATACTAAATGTGAACATGATTCGACAGGTGGCCACTCATGAAGAGACATTCCTGGTGGATGTTCCGGCTCTACAACACAGTCCTGTGTGGAAAGACCTCAGCCAGGTGCTGTTCTTGAATCCAGACATTTTAAAGTTGGGTAAGTGGTTGGAATCAAGCTTTAGAAAATTAATTTTCTTCATACTGCAGCCAAACGGCTGTTATCAGTACATGGGTTATTGGGCTAAAATAGCTCTTTTCTCCCTAGGGCAAAAGTAATCAGGTTGAAGTGAGGCAGTTCAGTTTTCTGTAATGTTTGTCCACTGATTTTGCCCATTTTGAAATGGGTACAATTGACAAATTAGTTTAATTCTGTTTTTAAATCTGTGAATGAATGAGTTTGGTACTCTCTTATTATATTTTAACGATAGTTGATTGGGAACTAAGTTTATTAATGATTATTGTTTTTCAATACACTAAATTAATTAATTAAAATAGTTTAAGAAGTAAGGATTCCATGGCCACTAGCCATTAACCAACACTGTAAACTAGGATTTCTGGTTATAACTATAACTTATTTCTTAATTCTGTGACATGGCCGTACCCAGAAAACCTAGTTTGTAGACAACTAGGCAAGGCATGGATCATGAACGTAGGCTTTTCTCAATTGAAATCACTGTTCAGTGTTGCTTAGAATATGCAACTTTTAGATTTATGTAAATTGTGGGATGTTTCCAAATAATTCTTTTATTTCTAGGTTTTGGACTATCAGTGGACTTGTTGAAGCTGAAAGAGAGCATAAACATGAATGATGTTAAGATGGCAGGATTAGGTTTCCTAGATTTGAATCTCTTATGGAAAAAATTGATGAGGGAATTCAATATTACACTACCATTCAAAGGTAACGTAAAGAAATGTTGTATTAGTAAGTTGTGTCACTCTGGAGTCATCAATATTCAAGATGTATTTCCAACTTGCTTATTTGCACGCGGTGGAATAGCACCCAATTTATAATTTTGAATGCACCAAGTTCTTAAGGCATCCATCTATTGTCAAGTCAATCAAGAACAAATCACCACTGTTTAAATCTTGTCTACATTTAGTTTTGGTTAATAACCAACAAGAAACCATTATTACCATTTTACATTTTTAAAATTTATTGAACACTTTTGAATTCTTTGCTTGTCTTCCATTTTTATTCGTATATTGTAAGGTAATGTTAATCATGTTGTGTTTGAAACATTTCTGTATTAGCAAAAATGATTTACTTTTCTCAACAAAATTCTCGATAATCGACAATAATAAATGTTAATAATTTATCGTTATACCCGTTAGGGGTGGACAACTATTCAGTACAACAAACACTACATGGTCATTAACATCTACTACTATTACTCGTATAATCACTTTAACGTCTAAAAAATATCACTAAAACAGTTAGTTTCTTACTCTCTACAACATTAGAGACATGTTCCAGGTGAGGAAAGTGACACGGTGGAGGGTCTGTCAAAACTGGTCTCATTGTGTGTGGGTTTGCCATTGGACAAGTCTGAGCAGTTCTCCAACTGGGACCGCCGACCTTTGAGGGATGCCCAGAGGAACTATGCAGGTAAAAATATCCCTACATGCCGTAAACTATTTAGTAAAGCTTAACCGCAAATAAATAGACACATCAAGTTCTATAACTAAATTGTTTATATACATAATTCAATTATTTTAACCTTTTTAGACACTGTAACCTGTCTCACTGGTCAATAAATTTTTTAACCTAAAAAATATCCCATTAAATAGTTTAATAGTAGAGTGGATATAGTGATTGCGTAATAATCAGAAGATTGCTGGTTCGATCCTGAGAAAGATCAGTAGCTTTTTGGTGGTTCATAATTGAACCCAGCTGTCCTTTATTATCGTGCTTTTAATGGTCCTTGCTAAAAAAAAACCAGCTGATTAAGATCAGCATCGAAGCTATCAGCTCATTTATGAAACACTTAACTTCAACCCATCTTCTGGTTGAATAAAATACTGACTGGGGATTTGGTAGTGATTCTAAATAATATTACCGGTTCAATTTCGAGTGGGATCAAATCTAGACCTAGTTATCATTTGTCCAAACCCCAACAGATCTTTCCTACACATTGTAATAAGGTTGGTTTACCTTTTCTTTAGGGCTATCAATTAATGATGCTATCTAACAAAAGTTCAGATAGAAAAAAGACCAGGGTTTGGACCATCATTTACGAAATACGTGAAAAACCCTGCTGTATAAAACTCAAATCTAATCTCAAGTACGCTGTTTTCTAACCATAATTGTTCTATCCATGCCCAAAAGTTCTAACATTGTTTTAGAACAGGAACTTATTGAATAGAGAGGTAGAAAGATCTAAACATCCACACTATATGTTGCAGCTTTAGATGCCTATTGCCTGATTATTGTTTATGAAGTGTTGGCCCGTGAGTGCATCAATCAAGGAGTACCATTCCAGGATGTTTGTCAAGATCTTATGATAGCTGGAGCTAACGTCACCAAAAAACCTAAGAAGAAACCATTACCGTCTCGTAAGGTATGAGCGATTTGTTCAAGTTATAAATGTACATCGGTGTTGGAATGTGCAAACTATTTAATGTTGTTAAATATGTGTAATTACCATCAGTTTGTTGTATTTTTACAAATATATTTGTTTTCTATGTTGACTTAAAAGAATCAATGATAAACCCCACCAAAAGTTAATCTAAATGGGAAGTTCACATGTTGGTTTTGATTTGAAATTGCTTCAACCAGTAAATTTATGATTAATTTTACCATTGATTTGATACAAATCAATTTTTGTGAACTAATCAACAAACTTAATCAAATTTATCTCATTGTAAAATAAATAAACTCAAATCAAAACCAACTCTTTAATTGATATTGCTATCAGCTATGCAATCAAAACATAAGATAGCTCAAGTCCAATATCAATGTAGTTCAAGTTCTGAAATTATGGTGTCTTCATTTGTTTTGCTGCATTATAACTTTAAAGTTAAATTTAATTTGTTTATGTGTTGTTTTTAAATAGTGTTTAGTTAATTCTTTTTCAATCAAATACAAATACTCTTATATAAGGTCAAGATGGGGCAAGTGCATTTTTGGGGCAAGTGTGTTCACTGACCACTAACTTTTTTTAACTTTAAAAATATGAAAGTTATCACAAAACCTTAACTGTTTCATTGCTTGCAAAGTTAAAGTTTAAAACTACAAAAAAACTAAAATTATAAATTTTATGGAAAAAATTCAAAACGTGTCATTTTTAGACAATACAAATACTAGACAAATACCAACAAATGTTAAGAAAGACTGTATGAGAATATCTCAAAATCGTCTCGAAATGGCGATGTTTTTAATGTGTTGGACTAAATATATTTTTGTTTCGTAAGTTTGTATTGTTGTGTATTATGTTGTGTCAAACCTTTTCCTGTTATTTTCTATCTAAGTCTACTTTAAGAGGTTTTTAGCATCAATTCAAATAAAAAATAAATAAAATCATGTTTATTAGCACATAAGCGTACAGAGGTAACAGATAAATGCACAGGTGCTTCGTCATTCTTCTTATAGCCTAATAATATATAATGACCTTTCTTAAAATGAAATAACCGTCTTAAAAGGTATTTAGTAATAATGAATAAAATAGTTGTTTAACATTTGAGGAACTCTTTGTATAGACTAACCAAAAGGTTCAACAAGAAATAATGTCAAGCTTAAAACTTAAATAACAGGATTTAAAGAATTTAATTATAACATACGTAAAACATAACTAATGTACAAAACATTTAACTGTAGTCAATAACTAAGTCTTCATTAAAATTTCACAAAAAATATATATATATATATTATGTAACATTTAAAAATCAACAAGGTTAATGGAGAAGGAACTTTTTACCCTATAAAACATTTTGGAAGTAACAGGACCTGCTTATAATATTTGAGAGTCATTTAGAAAATGGTCTTAAACTTAACTTTATAACAGGCCTTTCTGATCAGAATACACTTAACATTATCTGCAAATTGTGCTGGACTCATTGCTGTGCTTTTAGGTGTTTTGGAAGTTTAGTGGACAATTTAATTCATATGTAATGAATACTCTTTTCTAAAGATGTCATAGAATGATGAGGGTTTGTAAGTAATTTCTAGTGTCTAGTATTGTAATTGTGGCTATTTTGTCTATAGAGTACTAATTTAAATTATTTTACATGACACAGAACCTCAAAAATGTAAATATAAATGGTACTGTAAGTATTTTTAAACTTTTAAATGCTTCTTTACATGAGCTTCCAAGCTGTTTGAGAGTCATGACTCTTAGGAATTTCTTTTGCACTTTTAATACTCTTTTTATTAAATTTGATGTGTCTTAATTAGTATTTAGTACACTCTTCTGTTTATTTAATCAATCCTTATTCACATTGAGTACAGTTTTCGTCAAGACAACCTAGTTATTACATGTTGTGTAAGTTACAACATGAAATATAGCTTGAATTGACATACACAGTTCAATGATCGTTCCTCCATTTGAGAAACCCCCTTTTCTAGTATATCGTTCGGTCCAGTAGCCTATTCGTTGTTTTTTTTTCCTGGCTTTTGCAGCAAGCTTTGTTTATGAAATGTTGTTAGATTTTCCAAATAAATTAAAAAAAAAGGCTGTCAGATTCCTTTCCTGGGAAAGTCAAGCAAATTATAAAGTCAGTTAAGTTATCTCTTAGAACTAACAGTGTTACAAGTGAACTGATAAGTAATCAGATGGGCCTTTATACTTTATAATTATTACTTAGCCATCAAAACTACATCAAAATACTTTGCCCACTGAACTGCTAATAGTTAACTTGATGTTATGATGTTACTTTCCCTTAATAAACCATCCATTACACACACCATTACCGTTACATCCATTACCACACATTAGGAAGAAATGTCAGTGACTTTTAGTGTGTGATAACGATAACACAACAGCCATTAGCAATACGCTGAGTAGTGCTACCATCTTAAAATGGCTGTTCAGTAGTGTTTATTTTTGAGAAAACAATAAATTAATAAATAAACATAAACATTAATGATGTAATTCAGACACAGGGGCTCAGGTTTCAAGGATGTGTGTTTGAATAGTAGCTTTGCCTGGTAGGAAAGAGGCCATCCTGCAACACAATACCCTCAATAGAAAGAGTGTAAAATATTCTTCTTGAACATTTGTGGGTTGTAAATAACGATGTCAGTGACCGTAAAATATGACATTGTTCTTTATAGTTTAGTCGTTATGTTTATGTCAGTATTTCCACTATTTCCAGGATCGACTGTCTCATTTAGTTATATCCTCATTTAGTGCATTATATCCTGAAAAAACTGATAATTGTTGATTAATTCAGCAGCAGTGACAAAGGTCACCGGTTCGATACTGAGAATAGTTGTAACCTTTCGAAGGTTCAAAGCTGTCCATGATCATTAGGCTTTTAACTAACCGTCCCGGCTAAGAAATAGTTTGTCCTAGCCAATAACAAAATGGAATCCACTCACCCTAAATTCATATTCACTTAGAAATAAGTACTTAATTGTGTGCGATTACAGGTATTTGAAGAGCCAACGACTCAGTCCTCTAAAAATCGGCCAATCAGAGTGGCCGATTTTAAAGTGGTGTGCGACACAATGTTACAAGGACTCGGCCGCAGTCTGCGCTCTGTGGGTGTGGATGCTGAGATCCTCAGCAATACGCAGAACCACAATGTCTGTGTGGCCTTGAACAGAGAACAGAACAGAGTCATTCTGACCAAAGGAGCTGTCTATGATAGAGTGAGTACATGTAGTCTGATACCCACTCTTCATCACATGTTATACAAAATTTCACTTACGTGTTACTACATCACTGTGAATTTTTGAATGGAATTTGTGCACTGATAAAAACAATTTACAAGATTGTAAATTCACCAATGAATTATACCAAGTGATGATTTTCCAGTTCCTACAGATTATTATTATATATTTCTCTAATGTTACAAATTTGTAATAAAATTGGTTGAAATAAAAATAGGGTGTTCAATTAGGTGCGCTCCATTCGTATTAGAATAAAAACCAACCACGAATCGAGTCAATCCGAAAATATTTGTTTATGTCTTAAATGAGTCTTACTAACAAGATGAAGTTCTAGTTGTAAGACTTGCATTTAAATGGGTTAATATAATGGGTTAGGGTTACCTATTTTATCTCTGTGGATGATTTTATAGTACCGGGGACCTGAGCCTTGTGGTAAATAGGGTTTAATAGTTACAACAATATAAACATAATAATTTTAATAAAAAAAATAATGTTTTTATTACATACCACAGAAATAATAATAACTTCGTAAAGTAAAAGTGTGCAACAAAACAAAATAGAGACAAACATAAGTATATCATCTTACTCAAGTTAAAGTACTAGCCTCTACTCATACAGAATTTTCCTTCCCTTCAGTCATTGAAACCTTTGGTTCATTTTTCACGCTCACCGATGAATATAAAATAAACATTAGTTTAAAAATGGCTCTCCTTTTCATCATGTTATCAAAGTCTTCATTTTACGGTGGTATATTAGGTGAATAACATTTTTTTTGTTTTTGCACTATTACTTCTAAAGAAATTTAGATTCTTCTATTTCATTGGGGTTTGGCATACGGTAATAGTTTTATTTCAATTAAAACCCCCCATTAATCATGAATCTAGTTGGATTTTTTTCATATAAGCTGAAATCTCATTCTGCTTCTGTAATTTTGCTGATCTAACTTCATAAGTCCAGTGCTATGACTTGTAGTTACCAAATGAGTTTTTTCAGCAACATTCAAAGTGTTCCCTGTGATACCAGTCCACCAATACATTTGTAGCCCCAAAATTCTCCATTCTTAAAATTCCAACCAAATTCTTTCCCTATTAAAAAAAATAAATGTTGTTAGAAAATCCAGAAAAAATCAGACATTGCTTGTCAAATCATGAGATAGGATATAAAATAGTATGCCTGGAGATTAAGCTCTCTTCTGGGGCGTTCTTTAGTGTGCTCTCAAAGTATTGTTTACTCAAACTATAGGTCTAATTTGAACAAAACCACAAAAATTTGAATCTTTTCTGACAAATTCAAATATATTTTTAGGGAGAATTATGTTGGAAAACATTATTCTTTATGTAACTAAGGAGTGTGATTTGTTTGCTTGGCATTAAACTAAATAAAAACTTCAGCATACATATACTCCTTGAAGACAAGTAAAAATACTCCATGAATTAACTTAAAAACTAATTAAACTCGTTACAGCTGTCTACTTGTAAGCTATAGAAAAAAGAGTGCATGATAAATTGTGAAATCTTTGCTGAAATAAGATAGAAACATTGACTTGACACTCAAATGTCGCCAACACGAAACACACATCCATGTGTTTTTTCTGCTCTTCAAAATGACATATAACCTTATTGGCAACCGACTGGGTCAGTTGGCCATTTTCCAGTTTTATGCCCTCATTTTGAAATCAACATTTTGAAGATTTCTTAGTTTTTTATGACACTTATTTGTGTTTCAGCTGCACACACAAGTGCCTGAAGGAATGTGTTATCGAGTGATGAAGCAAACATCCAAAGAACAGATGGTGGAAGTTTTGAGGTTTTATAACGTTATGGTGGCTAAAGAGGATATATTTAGTCGATGTCAGGTAAATGGAAAATCTGATTTAGAAGTCATACGTTTCAAAAACAAGTTTTGAATTTCCTAGATCTATTTGGATTGTTTGACAAAAAAAACATCCATTTTGTACTACTAATACAACTTGATTTGAAATCAATTTTGAGTTTTACAAGTATGTTTTAATGATTACTAGAACTACTAAGAAAACATGGCGACATCTGATTACGCACCTTGCTAGACTTGAAGTGACGATCATCAAGACGGAAAACTCCTTGACCGATCGGCAGCCAATCAGGGAGCTCCACGCCGATGTAGGCAGTGCAGCCACCCAGTAACTTAATCTGTTTCCGGTTACTAATAATCTAATATGGTCCTATTGCTACTATATTACACTCGCCACCATTTAGATTAGGCCCACACTACTGCTGTAAGACCACAAATAACATACTCTTCAAACATAAAACTTTCTCTTCATAATAATTTTTTTTTTCATTTTTATTAATTAAACCTTGATTCCAACTTAAAAATTCTTCTCATAAAACTAAAATAAACTCTTCTCACTTCTGCCTGAATAGCTTAAAGGTCTAGCTTTTCAGGCTTTTGTATTGTCCTTTTTGACCTTCTAAGATTGGGCGGGCTGCACTGCACTACCGCAGGTGAGTCTTCATGTCTTGGCTGGACCGCTGCAGTCTCAGAGTCCTTCAATGGAGATTGCCGCCTGGGCGAAACTTGTTGCCTCTCCTTGTCCTCTGAAGTTTCCCCTCGCTCAGGAAGTACTGGTTTCATGGGAGACCTCGGCTCACAACTTGGCACTGCTATCCCCTCCTCTTCCATGATCACTCTAGACCTGAGGTGGTCAGCATGACAACGCCTAACTTTTCCCAATACACTAACAAGATATATTACAGAACTTTTTATCTCCTGAACTTTTCCAGGTACCCAATCAATTTTCTCCTGCCTGACAGTTTTGACGAACACTTTCTCTCCAACTTCAAAGGATCTTGCCCTTCCCCTATGCCTATCCGAACTCTCCTTCTGTCTGTCCAGGTTCGTGTCAATACGAGCGTTGAGGTTAGGTTTGAGAAGTGCAAGCCTAGTTTTAGGTTTCCAGTTGAGAAACAATTCTGCCGGGGTATGTCCGGTTACAGTGTTAGGTGTATTTCTGTATGTCATTAGGAAGTTATCAAGTTTATGTTGCAAAGTCAGAGAACCAGTACCGCCTTCACTCAACACCTGTCTCAACAGATTCTTCTTCACTTCTTGAACGCACCGCTCGGCCGCACCATTTGACGCAGGATGATAAGGAGGTGATAAGACAAACCTTACTCCATTCTTCTTTAAGAATTCTTTGAACTCAAAACTTGTAAAAGAAGGGCCATTATCAGATACTAGAGTGTCCGGAAGCCCATACGATGCAAAAAGTGAACGGAGACGCTCAATGGTCTTGAGAGAACTAGTAGATTTCATAACAAACACCTCGATCCACTTGGAAAAACTGTCTACTAGTACTAACATTTGTTGCCTAGAATTAGTATCTTCAGCAAAATCTATGTGCACCCGTTGCCATCTGCCATACACACGGGGCCACTGTTGGAGAGGGACTTTTGGAGCTGCATTCCTCGTACACTGACAAATATAACAAGAAGACACTGTTTCTTCAATACCTTGTTCTATACCGGGCCACCACACATAGCTACGTGATAACAGCTTAATCCGTGTAATGCCTGGATGTTGATCATGAAGCAATTCTAAAACTTGATTCCTCAATTTTGTCGGAATGACCACACGGGCCCCCCACAGAAGACAATTACTATCCACAGAAAGTTCATCTTTCCTTTTTACATAAGGCAATAACTCTTTATCCACAGCGCCATACCAGCCGTGCCAAACATAATCTCTTACTTTAGATAATATAGGATCAGTACCAGTGAATTTAGCAATTTCCTTAGAAGTGATAGGTGATTCGGTACTCACCGTGCTGAAGCAGTTTAGTACCTCCACGCATTCCTGAGTGTGCGAGATAAAGTTGTTTTCCAGTTCCAGTGAATCACTTGCCGGTAACGGCAACCGGGATAAGGCATCGGCATGTGGCACATCAGACGCCTTGCGATATCTCACTTCGAAGTCATACGAAGCCAAAATCAGGGCCCATCTCTGTAGGCGCGCTGCGGCTAGGCTTGGGGTTCCTCGCTTTGAGCCAAAGATAGTAGCCAACGGCTGGTGGTCACTCTGTAATATGACATGTTTTCTCCCGTAAATATACTTATGAAATTTCTTAGCACCAAATACTAATGCTAAGGCTTCCCTATGAAGCTGAGAATAATTTTTCTCACTTTGACTTAGAGTTTTAGAGGCGAAAGCAATAGGCCTCTCTTCGCCATCAATCAAATGGGACAACACCGCCCCCACGCCTCGAGGGCTTGCATCACATGTAAGCACTAGTGGCTTATTGACATCATAATGTACAAGAATATCAGAAGATAACACCCAGTGTTTACTCTGTTTAAAAGTTTCAGCACATTTCCTAGACCAAACAAAAGGAACATCCTTTTTCAACAACTCATAGAAACAGTTCAGCTTATCAGAGAGATTGGAAATAAATCTACCATAGTAATTAATGAGTCCTATATATGATCTCAACTCCTCCTTACTTGATGGTTCCGGGGCATCCTTGATGGCTTCCACTAGCCCTTCTCGTGGACTTATACCTTCAGCCGACAACCTATAACCTAAATAGTCTACAACAGGTTGTAAAAATTTGCATTTACTATCGTTAACCTTCACTCCGAATTCTTGGAAGCGTTGAAGAACTTGCTCCAACCTAGACACTGCTTCAGGGTATGAATGTCCGCCAATCAAGACATCATCAAGGTACGCTACCGTACCGGGAAGATTTTTAATTATCTCATCAATAGCTGCCTTAAACAAAGCAGGTGCACTGGATAGGCCATATGGCAAACGAGTAAGACGAAATAATCCTTTATGTGTTGCCAAGGTTAACAACTCCTGTGAATCCTCAGCGACCTCCAGTTGAAGATAGGCTGTCTGTAAATCAATAACAGAGAACACAGAACAACCAGATAATGAAGCAAAAATATCCTCGGGTTGAGGTAAAGGATAGTGTTCAGTTTGGATAACTTGGTTTAACGTTACCTTAAAGTCCCCGCATAGCCTAACTCCTGTAGGCTTGGGCACAACAACCAGTGGGGTTTAGTCGGAACTCAAAACAGGATAAGCAATTCCATCATCCACCATCTTGTCTATTTCCTCTTCCACTTGTTTGCGGAGTGCAAACGGCACTGGACGAAATTTGCAGAACTTCGGTACAGCTCCATCTTTCAAAATTATATGTGTCTTCACACCCTTGATTGAACCTAATTTTCCTTCAAACACAGAAGAAAACTTTTGCCTTAAATGCTTGACATCTTCCTTGGCCCTAGGCTGAACCGAGTCAGCTGATTGAAGTGAAGTTAGGTTAGGTAACTTGTCAATAGAGTTTAGGCTAGGCCTATTAAAAACGTGCTCGTCGGAGCGGTTTCCAGTTTTATCTTGAGAAAATATAGACTTCCAGTCTAAGGTTACATGTTCAAGCCAGTTTCTACCTAGCAACATTGGTTGACCCGTTTGGCCTAACTCTACAATAACTAACGGCAAGTCCTGATAAATTTGGTCGGCCGCTTTTACTCTAACCAAAATCTGTCCCAACACACTTACTTCATTTCCTGAATAGGTAAGTAGTTTTACATAACAAGGCTTTAAAGCCAGATGTGAAAAATATTTCCGATACGACTCAAAGGGGCAGACCGTAAGGGCGCTGCCTGTATCGAGCTCCATGGTCACATTATGGTTTTCAATCAGCAACCCTACTTCATAACCCGCCTTTCCATCTCCAAGGCCTACACTATACAGACATAAGTCCTGTAAAACTTCCGATGTCTCTTCAACATTGTGAACCTTAAACACTTTTTTGTTAGTCCTAGGCCTATCAGACACATCCTTCGACTTACACACCTTACCAAGGTGTCCAATTTTTTTACATTTATTACATTTAAAATTGATATAAGGACATTCATGAGCCTTGTGCTCTTTCGCACAACGATAGCATTTTAGCTTATGAAATTGGCCAACTAGGCCTACCTCAGCAGGTGACCTTGAAAACTTAGCTGATTTAACTCCATGCTTGGCACTTAGGCCTACTTTACGTGGACCTAGACTCATTTTATTTAAATCATGAACATGGTTCCCTGAACCTACAAAAAGACTAGTTTGTTTTTCAGCTTGCTCTAAGGTTAGTGCTAATGAAAAAGTTGAATCCAAATCTTGATCATCACTGAGAAGTTTTTGCCTAATTGCCTCATTGTGGATTCCAGATATTAATTTATCCCTGAGTGCATCCTTAAGAAAGGCTTTGAAGTTACATGTGCTTGATAAATGTCTAATTGCTACCATAAAATCAGCAATACTTTCATTGGGACGCTGAACACGTGAATAGAACGTGTAGCGTTCGGCTACCACTAACCTTTTTGGAGAATAATGTGCTTCCAACACCTTTAACAGATCCTTATAATCCTTGGAATCTACCGAATCTGGTGATACTAAGTCCGTGAGAACAGCCAGAGCTTTTGGTCCAATTACAGTAATCAAAATGGATAACTCCGATCCTTCCTTTACGCTGTTGGCCTTCAAGTAGTGTTTCAGCCTCATTAAATATGACGAAATATCCTCTTCATGAGGGTTAAATTCCCCCATACTCCCTATTGAACGGGACGACATGGTTCCTCAAATTAATTTTTCAACAATCCGCACTCGCGAAAAAGAAGTTGAACAAAATTAACTTTACTACGACTGCGCCATTGTAATAATTACTAGAACTACTAAGAAAACATGGCGACATCTGATTACGCACCTTGCTAGACTTGAAGTGACGATCATCAAGACGGAAAACTCCTTGACCGATCGGCAGCCAATCAGGGAGCTCCACGCCGATGTAGGCAGTGCAGCCACCCAGTAACTTAATCTGTTTCCGGTTACTAATAATCTAATATGGTCCTATTGCTACTATATTACAGTTTTGTTATATTTGTTGAAAATATTCTTTGTCAACCACATGGCTTACCGCAAGATGGCTGACCGTGCTTCAGTTGTTACAATCTTGGTTGGATAGGCATAACTAGGCATCTGTTGGTCTTATGTGATCGTTGGGTCGATCTCATCATCCCAACCACTGACATGTCAATTATCCCTAAATAAGGATACGCTGTTCAACAAACAGAAAACGGCAAAACAATATAACCTACACTATCATAATATCAAATGGTTAGTTGTGTAACAGTTATGAACAGTAATAGGTCAAAATCATGAGTAATTGTTTTATTTCTGATGTTTTATGAAGTAAAATTGGTTACAGTTTGTGATTTATTTATTTTGGTAGCTTATAAATAAATAATAAATTTACTATAAATATTTATCTTTTGAAGCAGTTGTATAACTATAGAATAAAATGTGTTTTCTAAGTTACAGCTGTATTATACGTAACAGTTAAACTGATGGGTTAATGTTGATGCCTTAATAATGTCTACAGCCCAAAACCTCATATTATAGTCAATCCTGTTACATATTTTTGTATTTAGAGATCTGAAGTGACAATATTTATTATGTTTTTATAGCTATGTAATGGAGCAGATTTCAAGAAGCTGACCCCTCAGGAGTTGAGGAAAGCTATTGATTCAACTTACAGAACACACCGGCATGTTTCTGCTCACCAACTGGATATTGCTGACGATGACTACGATGATTACAATGACTTTGATGATGACAGCTGTTCAGATGATGATATACCAGGTCCAGTTACCCATGCCCCATCAGGGTATGTCACGTCACAGGCAGGAGCCAATCATACACCAGTTGAAGAGGATACCTTTTATGGTTACAACTGTGAAACGAGCACAGGAGCTCATATCAAGGTAAAAAATAGGGCTACTGCTGGTATTTCTAATTCAATTTTACACTAGCTTAGAATTTTCACCTAATGCTCAAGACGTCAAGGCTTTTTTTGTGTTTAATTTCTTTTAGCCTTTTCTTTATAGAACCATCAACACTTGACAGTTTATTAATCGGCCCCAGATCTTCCCTCCTCTCGTCAATGTCCAAAACGAGACCTGTTTGTAGTTGAAAACCTTGTCTCTAATTTATTAGCAGCATATAACTCATCTACTCTAGTAGTCTGTCTTGCACTTTCGCTGCTGTCATTCTAATATGAGCCCTATAGTCTAAAATATCTTATGCAGTAGAACTACAAGCAACCGAATCTATCAAGACTGCAACACTTTGGCATTGTAAAAAATCCAGAAGATTGGATCTTCACCAAGACTCTGGGGGATGTTTTCAGAAAGTCATGTTTTGTCATGTATATGCAAAGATTTTGCGAAAAGAATTCACGCTTTTGCCGCCATTGTGGAGGACGGTTATGATTTTCCTTGACCCCTAAAGAAAATGATGATGTTTTCGTGACTGTAGGAGATAGATTTCTATAGCCTGCAGAAGATACTCAGGATTTTCCCACAATCATGGTAGACGATGATGATGTTTTAGTGATTGCAGAAGACAGTTTCTTGTCACCACAGAGCACGATGATATTGTCTACACGACTGCAGATAATTGGGATTCTGACACAATCACGGTGTCTGCCTCTTTTAATAACATTGCTTATTACTGTAGTTTTAGGTTTTAAAATTTTTTCTCTAAGTGTTTGGATAATCAATGTTCCAGATAGTCAGAATTCTACTGTAATAGCCCAAAGGAAAGGACAGTTCCTGGTTTTAGACACAAAGTTTGTTTTTACTGTCCAAGTATCATCTGCTGACTTCAGCTGATTCACCCTAATGCACCACAGTACAGTTTGTGGTCTTGAGGAGAGGGCCATTGACTCTCAACAATATGACATTACAACATTACACATCATATCACCCTTCCTTCCATCTGGAGGGTTGACATTTTATTGCTCTCTGATTGGAACATTGAAGCTCTATCCCTCTCTGAAACCAGTATTTTATCTGTGGCAAAACTTTTATTCATATATTAGACATCTATAAAGCTCCTATTCTAATCTTATTTACATAGTAATATTGTTGAAGGGAGGTTGTCAAAAAACTTGTATTAGCTTGTGTCTTAATGTTTTAAGACTAACTCAAAAAACTTTTGATTTCAGCACGAAAGCATACCCAAAGACAAGTTTGACAGTGTGCCGTTGTTCTACGTATGTGATAATTGTGGCCATTGTTACTGGGATGGCAGCCACTTGGTGCGTATCCTGGACAACTTGCAACACATTGTCGCCAAGTAGACAATCTTGTGATACACATGTACAGTGGACCTCCTCCGGAACCTGACAAATAGTATATGTAAGGACACTGCATTGTAGTATAACATTAAGGCATTTGAACATTTGTAAGGCATAGCACAACCTTGATTAAACACTGTACTGTTCTGTTCTTGTGAATAATACAAATAGATCATGCGACTTATAATACACCTAGAAAATAGGCTTGGCACATTTTTTCTTGAGAAGAAAAATCTAAATTGCAACAACTTTAAGAAACCCTATGCCAAATTATAACTCAAAACTATCTGGGGTTTTGCCTGTTATTGTTGTGAAGTACTCGATTGACTAAAATTTCTTCAGTCATGATGTTAGTTTTTATTTATGTCATGCCCGTTCCTTCTTTATAATTGTCAAAGGACCGAAGTGTGGTTAAATTTTCTCTAATTGTCCAGTAATCCGTGTAGTTCTGTTGTTAGTAACCATTGACGTTTTTGTCAAACTTAAATCTCTCCAAAGTGGTTGGAAACATAGACATAATATGAAACTAATATGAGGAAATTGTTGCACTTACGTATGAAGAATTGTCTGGAACTATTTCTAGCTGTTCTCACATTTAGTTTTTTTTTATATTTTAACTCTGTTAATTTATTGTTAAAAGTCTTGTGATAAATGATAAATTACCTCAACACCCTTAAGCTTCTTTTCTTCTGTCACCATCAAACACTAGGATGACTATTAAATGGTCATTTTAGATTCAGTTTTTGCAAGATTCTTTGCACATGGATTCAAGATTCTTTAAGATACATAATAGTTTTAAGATACATAGGTTATATACAGATATTATGTGATGGTATGGTTTTGTAACTTATAAACTAAGTTATCGTAAAATAAAACATAGTTAATAGCTTTCACTCAATTGTTTTATATATCGCCGTAGATTTAAGTAATTTGGAAGACAAAAGTTTGGAGGGGTCCACTGTATCACCATTCTGATCTTCCACAAGATCTAATGTTCAATTAGTCTTTCTTCTATTAGATTTAATGGTATGGTATTGTGATTGTGTATTAAACTTGTATCAACTTTATCCTGTACGTGATATATAATAGGTATCTTTAATATGTACCTACATAAAGTATCTTTTCCTACCTGAATATTTTTATATGTTATGTTTCAACAATGACAAGTTACCACAAGTTGGCCAAATTATGTTTGTTGTTTTTTAATTTTGTACCGTTTTGTTTCAAATGCAAGAAGTGTTTTTTCCAACACTTGCTGGATTATAAGTTTAAATAAATGCTAGTTTTGACTTAGTTCACCATATCATTTTCCCTTTATGAATAATTTTTACTTAGGAGATTAAGAAATTTCATGAATTAATTGAATAAAAAAAAAATACTTTTGATAAATTATTGTCACAAAAATAGCCTTTGACAATCTTCTATAAAGCTAATAAGGATCATGAAATTTTGAGAAACCGATAAGCTAAACACCTATGAACCGCATAATTGATTGAAAGGCCTTGATTTGAAACTTCCCCGAAAAATATAAGTTTTCCATAAACCCCTCAAAAGGGGTTCACTGTTGTATAGTGCAGTGTTATACCACGATGCTCAATTAAAGGGCTTTTAATCCAGCATCTATATGGTGTTGAGTATGCACTGAAAGTGCAAAGCTGCTTTAAACAAAAACATAGTAGGCCTGCTGTTTGTCATTGTGCATTGTATGTTTTTAATACATTAAAATCTGTTTATTAGATAATTTAATCAATATATTTCAAGGTTTCCGATGAAGCAGCACGGAGACGCGGGTGACCGCTATTGTCAACATGTAATACAGACTTGTAAAACTTGGGTATGCACTGAAAGTGTAACATTTTGACTGTTGTTGGGGGCATCTTGGAGATGAGGGGGGGTAAGGAGCGTTCTAAAACATCACTCGTATTTTGTGTACTAGACACAAAAGAAACATGCTCTAAACTCCATGTTAGAGGTGGGGCGAAAACAACGCAACGCTTGTTGCGCGGCAGACGTTGCACAACTAAACGGTTGTGTAGAGCTGGCAGTTGTCGACAACGTTTTCAGGGAGTTGTCGTTGTCGTTGTCCACAGCTGCGCGACTGCTAAACGCAACACTCTACAACAACTGTTTGGTTCGGTTGTGGTTGTGGGATAGCCAGTGGCGGGCGTTATCCAACTAAACGGTTGTGTAAAACAGGCTGAGGCAGTTGTATTCAATTGTTTCGCGGCGAAGTCGTTGTCGTTGTTTGTATAAGACCGATGTTACCTGAAAAACTGATACCTTTCTTATCGTTACCATATAATAAGATGCAATTCTATTCTAAGTTTGTCGTTTATTCAAGATCAGTTTAGATTTACTCTAATTAAACAATTAAATTTCAATAAATAAAAACAATAAATCAATTTCAATAAATTTTAAACAATTAAATTAAATTTCAATTAAACAAGTTAAATTTATAATATTTGAAATTAAAACCGGTTTTGTTCACAGAGGACATCCATGCTTAATAGAAACTTAAAATTATTTTATATTTATGAACTATATAATACCTATTCAATTATCTCTAGGTTTCACACGTAAGTCATGCATAGCAACAGGTTACTAGGCTAAGGCCAATTTAATTTATACAAGCATTTACTTTCTATAATTATAGTCTAGTAAAATTATGATTTGACCTGGGCAAAATTGCTTCATAAGCGATTGAAGTGGTATTCTACTCAACAAATGTCGCTTTACAACATATCCAAAATCCGACAAAATCCATCCATGGGAAAGTGACTAAAATCAGAATTTAAAATGGCGGCTCTTCCCAACATTGGACAAATTGAAAAAAACATATTTCACATGCATTTGTTATGCACATTTTTCGAGATATTGACTTAGGACCACCGCCTGTATTTATTGGGTGGTTAGTACTTCATTTTGATAGGGAACATGTTTTTGGCCGCCATCTTGGATCCGCCATATTGGACATACATAATTTTTTTTTCAATTCAATGATAGTGTTGTGAGACATCATTACCGACTACATTTTTACACTGATTTAAATGCCGAAATCCGTTTTTAAATATCTTTATTCATTTAGAAGATATATTCAAACGAAAACTCTCCACCATACATTTCTTATGGACGTTTCGTAGTTTAATAATTGTTTTAACATTATGTTTCTTATATCTCCAGTTCTTATTGACGCTTGTAGTTCGTTCTAGGCTTAAAATATTCAGTAATGTAAGGGCTTTCATTTGAGCTCTTGATCATTAAAATCAGACGAGTTGAAGACCAGCAACGAACCTCAGAACAATATTAAATTTAACTTTTTAGAAATATATTTTTATTAAAAGATTTATAACTCGGGTTGTTAATACGTCACAAAGTTATTTCTGGTCTCAAATTACTCAGTAAATGTTTGGCTTTAATTTTATTGATCATTAAACAAAATCTGACAATTTTAAAATGAGTCATGGACCATAATTTAACATTAAAATGTATTTATATTGAAATTTCTCTTTAGTTAAAGACGTATATCCCCAATTCTAAATAACTCCCAAAACTCTTTATAGTCTTAAATAATTCGCCAAATTATTGACTTTTATTTTAGCTATGGATTACTTTCCAGGAGTTATTAGGGTTTGGGATATATGTCCTTAACTAATGACAAATTTCAAAATAAATACATTTTAATGTTAAATTAAGAACCATGACTCATTTTAAAATTGTCAGATTTTGTTTAATGATCAATAAAATTAAAGCTAAACATTTACTGAGTAATTTGAGACCAGAAATAACTTTGTGACGTATTAACAACCCGAGTTATAAATCTTTTAATAAAAATATATTTCTAAAAAGTTAAATTTAATATTGTTCTGAGGTTCGTTGCTGGTCTTCAACTCGTCTGATTTTAATGATCAAGAGCTCAAATGAAAGCCCTTACATTACTGAATATTTTAAGCATAGAACGAACTACAAGCGTCAATAAGAACTGGAGATATAAGAAACATAATGTTAAAACAATTATTAAACTACGAAACGTCCATAAGAAATGTATGGTGGAGAGTTTTCGTTTGAATATATCTTCTAAATGAATAAAGATATTTAAAAACGGATTTCGGCATTTAAATCAGTGTAAAAATGTATTTGGTAATGATGTCTCACAACACTATCATTGAATTGAAAAAAAATTATGTATGTCCAATATGGCGGATCCAAGATGGCGGCCAAAAACATGTTCCCTATCAAAATGAAATACTCCACCCAATAAATACAGGCGGTGGTCCTAAGTCAATATCTCGAAAAATGTGCATAACAAATGCATGTGAAATATGTTTTTTTCAATTTGTCCAATGTTGGGAAAAGCCGCCATTTTAAATTCTGATTTTAGTCACTTTCCCATTGATGGATTTTGTCGGATTTTGGATATGTTATAAAGCAACATTTTCTGAGTTGAATACCACTTAAATCGCTTGTGAAGCAATTTTGCCCAGGTTTAAGGGTAATTTGTCTTAGTTTGACTGGACTATTAAAACAAAATGCAAAAAAGACATTCACAACAGTCGACGACAACGCAACCGTCTATTCACAACCGTTGAGCTACTAAGCGTTATCGTTGTAAACGTAAACAGTGCACAGCCACAACGCAACGCCAAAGCCAAGGTTGTCGACAACCGTTTAATTAAACGGTTGTCGCTCCGCAACGGTTGTGTGCACAACGGTTGTGTGATTTTGGCAGTTGTGCCCATCCCTTACTCCATGTTATCTTTCCTCAAAATAATACGAGGTTCCTGAGTTGACAAGAAAATATGTATAAGTTGTTTAACAGTGAGGCATTTTTTAAATATAAAACTCAAACCACCAATGAAAACACTTAAAAAACATTTCTGCACTTCACCCTCACTCACTGCATTAGGGAACATCTCCTTTAGTTATAATTATTAAGTACTGGAAACATTTGATTGCACAGATATCGATAAATGTTTGATATTTATTTTAGTGACATAACAAATAATATTGATCTTTGTAGATAGGAACTAAAACAATACACAAATCAATATTTGTCAACATTTATTATAAACAAAGGTTTTTATCAGAGCAATAAACTTCTCATCCTGTTGTTAGATTGGAAGCCTACTTCATGAGTATATTGTTGGCAACATTTGATTGAACTGATGTTACCTAAAAATTTTTCACTCTAATTTTAGCCCATAATATCAAAGATTTGTGATGTAAATCTAAATACAATTTTTTTTTTATAAATACATTACCACAAGAAGACATGCAATAGTCTAGCTGACCCATAAGGATTAAACGCCTCTACGTATTTCACAGCATAAGTAAGAGGAGCTCCCAGCAAGCCAAAAGGTGAGTTTTATGTATATATTCAAAATTCCTGTAATCCAGTTTCTTGACTCGCTACCTTCGCCGCTCCACTATGTTTTCACCCTAATTGAGCCATACTCAATCAGAAGAGTTAGTGTTATGTTTAGCAAATTACCAAAAGCTAGTTTAGAATGCTAACGTCAACTGCTAGACTTTTTAAAAATTAAAACTTAATTTCTAAACATCTGGGACCCTAAACTAAAATTATGGCTTCGACATTCCCTAGTTCTTAAAACTTTCTTTCTTTCAACACAAAAGTCATGAAAATCCGTCGAGTGGTTGATTCAGAATCGTGAAATAAAAAAACCCTGTCACGTTGATTAATTAATTGTTGTCTTATTTATTCGTTCCGTTCAATTGGCGGCCTTTAGACTGCATACCTAGTATTCCATTGTGGGTGACATGATGCGCCCAAAATAATTTCAGTAACCTGTAGGCTAACAGAACTAGCCAAACAAAGAAGATAGATTTTCAAGCCTAGACAATAATCAAAACACGGCTGACTTGCACACTATGCAATATGCATGAAGATAAAACTTTAGTAATTGAGGCACATCATGAGAACTTCTGACTTAGGTAAAACTATTATTGTTCACAACACAGTAAAATTTGACTTATCAAGGTTAAATATTTAAAACCTTCAACCTAAAAAGGTAGGCTACTTTAGGCATGATGATTAACAGGGAATGCAAGGGGATTATGAAAATTTGGTGTTATTGAGGTCCCACAGTTGATAGATTTTACCTAAAAGAATAAAGGACATTCATAACGAGTCATGATTCATTGTTAGACTTTATTTTTATAAATTAACCAATCTTCTAAAATAAACAAGTAGATAGTAGGTAGGCATTGACAATACATATACACACAATAGACTCTGAACTAATAATCTAATAATTTTGAAATAAAATGAAATCGTCAATTACATTTTAACGATAAAAGCATATGCAATTAGGCTTGTTCGTTTCCTGGATACAAAAACATTAAATAACATAAATAATTACACACATAATTTAGAGATAACATTGCTACATACAGAAGTTTTTAAATATTTTATCACAAACTTTAAAAATAGGTCTAAATGAATAAAATATCAAAGAAATAAAAGAGTCAATAATATACAAAAGCTATACAAATATTATTGTCAAGTTTATCAAAATTAACTTTACAGGCACAATAGTATTAAAATATATTAACAATAAATTTACATTTTGACCTAAGGAGGTACACTATCAGTCTAAACACTACAATTAATTGTTAACATTAAATTCAAAAAGTAATTATTCAACAGACAGTTTATTCTTTTTCTCCACTTCAGATTTTCAAACCCTTGGAAATTTTTGTTGTCGAAGTTGGGGTGGATCTGAAACATTAGTGGATGATATTTAGTTTTTAATCATTCCAACCTAACAACACGGAATATATCAAGAACAAATTATACATATGGTAACTGGTAACATAGCATTACTTGAGGTTGGAATGTTCAATTCTGCACCCCATTGCTAGTACCCATTCTACTACATAAAAAAAACCACGGAACCAACAAAACTGACAAAAATAGGATTAAGCAGGCATGCTGGCATGCTACAACTTTCTCCAATCCATATACTATGTATAGTGGGAGAAGGTAAAAACCAAGCAATGTTGATTCTATTTACAGTCAAAGAAACGTAACAAGACCACGAATATCTGTTCCTTTAAACAAAATTTGTGACTTCCAGTGTGACCTATTGCTCCACTGAATCATTTGTAATACAGTATATAGATAATATGTTATACACGGAAAATAACTTGAATTTTTAAAAAAAGCAATGGTTGATCACTAAGATCACGGTGATACGTGATCAGTAAATTCTTTTTATTTTAAATGAATAAATAATTTATAAAAAATACTATATCACTTTTTCCATAGTTGGAAAAATCACAGTTTATAAATGGGGTGGCCCACGAAGAGGTTGTTTTTTAAATTGCGGGACATATCAAACACGCAAAAACTTGAAACTCTTCAGTTGTTATGAATAGCCTACATGGAAAAAAATACCACCGAGTCTCATTTGTTAATTTTAGAAAAGTCTACAAACTCATGTCATCAAGGTTTGTTGGTAAATAAATTGTTCTTTTGGTCAACACCAAAGTTAAGCTTAATACGTAAGATAGAAGTAGTACTGTAAATCTTTAACACTTAACTATTTCCTCTAATATTCAACCTATATCGCATAAAATGATTTGTACCCATATTTTACTTTAATTGGAGATGTATCTAAAAAGTTATTTCATTTACTGCTCCTGTTTACTTCTAAATTTCTTAGAGAAAGAAGAAATAAGGAGATATTTAGGCTATAACTGTTAGTCACTACACACAGCAAGCCTATCATATTGTTTAAAATTAGAACACTTTTAATCCCCATGACCTATTAGGTGGATAGAGTCCTTGAAACATTTCAATTTGTGTTTTCAGTAACCGTAGGTACCCTGTTAGAGGAAAGCCGTATTTATTATTTGATTTGGATACAAAAAGACAAGAACTGTATTAGTGACCCCATGCTAGTTACACATGCAGAAGTATAAACTTACCCAAGACGTTTCAATTTGGGTGTAACATAATGGTGGACATTGTTGCGATGGATTCTTTGCTTTTCCCGGGTTATTTTATAACCATTTAAAGACACTGAAAAGCAGAACAACACATATGGATCTTAAGTGACATGAACAGCCCAATATACTGGTACTTGCATCAATCCAAGCTAGCAATGTCAAGTTTTAATTTTTAAAGTACATGATGGAATAAAAAGTATATGCTTTCTTCAATAGTTTGTTTTGTTTTATTTTGGATTTTGATGTACACAGGGAACACAACTGGAAAAATTATTCCAATATGGGTTACAAAAGGCATACTGGACAAACACAATAATAATTGATAAAAAACAATTTTGCGCTATCTCATAAGATTTTTTTCTTTAAGCACTTTGTGTAGTTTAGATAAAATCATTTTTTAATATTAAATACCCCCGCCGCAGCAATCCTGCCGACTAAGCGAATTTCCATTTGTCTGAATTGATTTTCAGTTAAATATATTTTAATAACATTAGGTTTAACGAGTACCTAGGTTTGCTGCTACAAGGAAACTAATAAAGCGTGTTTTTGAGTAAAATATTGATAGCTTAGTACAAAATAAATAAATTTGCCAAGTTTGATCAAAATATATCCATAAACAAGCAAACTACAACATTTGACAATATTCTCCATAAGAATAACATGGGAATTTTAAATTTACAATTTTTTTAATTTTCTCCGTTACTAATAATTGAACAAAAATACTTTTATATACTAAATTATTTGTTTTTTTAAGCTCTTTAAAAAGGTCTAAAGAGAAATCGGGAAATTTTGTGTTTTGAGGGTCAAAAGTGAGAAAACCCAATTTTTACCCCATAAAACCCCCCGTAAAGCCCCGTTCCCATGGTCCGATCGTGCTGGTTCGCGAACTCATTCAAGTTTATCCTGCTTTACACCTTTAAACCAAATTTCATCAAAATCGGACAAAAATTACTCAAGTTATCGCGTTCACGGACGTATATATATATATATGTCTATATATATATATATATATACATATATAAAAATTTGAACGAATGGTGTTTTTGGCCTCTGGGGACATCAAAATGAAAAAGTAAATCGGTCCCGGGTCTAGGTCTTACCGTGCCACCTACGGTAATAGCTACTTCCCTATAGGGAAATTCGCTAAAACACACATTTTTTTAGCATGGTTAAAAACGGGTCCGCGGAATTGGCTAACTCTGGAACTCGCTAACCCCATGTTAAACGCCCTATCTTCAAATTTGGTCGATGAGAGGAACTCGCTAACTTGTTCGGTTTCGGAATTGGCTAACTCCGGAACCCGCTAACCCGCTCTAGAGCCGGGTTAGCGAATTCCGTCCTCGTACGGAAGTCGCTAACTCGGTCCCTCGGCGGAACTCGCTAACTCCCAATCAGAAGCCTCTCGCGACGTCCAATGGGAGCCAAGCACGAAGATTGTTGGCCAGTGTTGCCGAAAGTGTAGTACCTACGATCGTATCGGTACCATAATATCGTATACTACGAATAATTAGGAGTAAGAGCAATGTAGTCGATAAAATAAATATATATTCGAAAGTATGTTTAATATAATTCTTATGAATACTATTAGGGTGGAAAATGCATTATAGTCTTACCATAGACTAACCAACACAAGTAAACATTACATCCCATTGTACATTTTGAAGCTCGTTTTTCGCGTCTAGTTCATGTCCGGTGACACTGATCGCTAGTGCCGTCGAAATTGTGTTTCTATTCTATTATTTTATAGTTGATTTCATGATTTGTTCTCTACTGTTTGGTTATATAACTAGGGGACGTGTTATTAGTTATGATTAGAACGTTTTATTTAGTTAAACGAGGTTTTAAATGACTGAAAACAACAACTAAATTGTAAACAAAACACGACCTTTACAGACATTGCACTGGACAGAACTAACAATAAAATTGTCTTCAGCAGATCTATAAGGATGAGAAATGTACTAATATAAGGGAGTATGTTTTATCTATTGTCTTCTTACTTAAATAGTAGTTTATTGGGATGCAAAAAGATAGTACTGTACATTTAATTTGGATCTTTTACAGGTTATGAAAACTTGTCCTTGATGGGTTATAAAATTTGTTTCTTTAAAGGCCTATATTATATCTGTCGTGCGAGTGTTAACAATAGTTTGGTTCTTCGTAATATTTCTGTATTTATTACCAAAATAATTCCGAATCATAGTATTAGTAAACAAATAAAATAGTTTCGATATTTTTGTATAGCAGGCACATGATATACCTAGGTACATTAATGAATAACGAAAATCTAAAACGTTAACACTCTATTATAATATTGCGTCTTTACTTTAGCCAAGAAAATCTATATATACAGCCAAAAGTACCCATGAACTTTTGAGAAAACTATAAGTCACACCCCCATAAACCATATACTTAAAATGTTCGTCATGACGAGAAACCTTGCGCAAAATTGTCCATTTTTTCATAAATTGCCCTTTAAGGTCATAATTGCTTCCCAAAGGGAACTTTCCATATACTTTATGTTAAAAATACCTCAGCTGTTCTTATTTGTATGTTATTGTTTGTAATGCTGTAATCTGTTTTGTTTATTTCAGCTTAACTTAACCAATCAATAGTTTTATTAATACTTATGAAGTCAAACGGGTTGAAGCCCGTGGGTAACAGCTAGTTAATTTAAATGTTGTTACATTATGATGTTAGGAAACATATGATCTATTAACCAAAATTGAAGCAGTAATGTAATAGTCTATCCTATTCGAGGCAACCAACAATTAGACATTGTAAAAAAGCTCCAGTAATTGCCGTAGACTTTAAGGACCTTGAATTTTGAGGATTAACTTGCCGATAAAATTTACACGTTAAACGTCATTACAGAAATACTTTTTAGTAGTGTTAAATATATTATTAAATAGAGCTATTGAATATAAATTAGTATTAATCAGTACATTATAAAGTGGTAATGTATTGATGGATTATATTAAAAAAATAGTCTATGCAAAAATACAATTTGTAAATTTCTGTTATCGTAGGCTATTAGTGTAGAACGGGTCATCATCTTAATTTTGTTTGATTAATATTAATTTTACGTCTTTCATTACTTTTGAAAAGTCTGGAGTTTTTATGGTTCTAAATGGACCCAGGCGTTCTTGTTTGCTATCATTTTGATGAATGGTGGCCATAGCTAAAATTAGCCGATCTTATCCAACAACAAAGCTATTGTCTATTGAGTAGCTCAGTACCGGGGAACAAGGAACCGAGCAATGGCTTGATATAGTATATTTCGATTGTAAAAGTAATATAAAGGAAACTTAACACTAAAATCAGGAATATCCGTCAAGTCGTCGATTAAGAATCGTGAAATAAAATAAGCCTGTCACGTTTTAATATAAGAATATTATATATTCTTCTATTATTTACTAGTGGGGCTTAGGTTTATCATCTAAAAACTGTTATTAAAACATGTAACATTATTACTCAATAATTCAACAAATTTTTGAAATAATTAGGCAACTAGCTTTTACTAGTAGGCCTACAATGCGTTGGTTTAAACTATTAGGTCTAGATTTACAGCTATTCTATAAATTGTTATGAAACGTAGCCTATGTCATATTTTTTCACGGATGTTGGACGATTCAACGACGAACCTTTAATTTTAAATTTATGAATTAGTTATGAAAGTGGTTTTGGTTTATTACGACATCACGATGAAATTTGTTTTCCGTATTTGAGAACTTGCGTGTATTATAGCTTAATTTCATGGAAGTTTAATTGGTACTACTGGATAATCAATAATTTTTCATATTCTATTTTTTCCTATAATACTGGCATTTATATTTAAGATCGAAATCATAAACATTTAATTGGCCGTTGTACAGTAAAATGAAAAAAACAATAATTAATGATTTTTTTAATTGCTTTTTAATTACTTTGGGCTAGGTAGCTGTTAAAAGTGGAATTGATAACAAAAAACAATAACATTTACTGTATCTTTATTGACACTGACATTTTGAAATACAATTATTTCGTCGTACAAGGTTGGCAACGCTCCGTGCAGTGGGCGCGGCCGGGTTAGCGACTTCCAGAGTTAGCGAATTCCGCCGCGTGACATAATCGAGTTAGCGGGTTCCGGAGTTAGCCAATTCCTGTCTGAGACGGTTAGCCAGTTCCGACACACGACCGAGTTAGCGAGTTCCTGAGTTAGCCAATTCCTACGTCTCTTAAAAACTACTAATATAACTGAGGTCATCTTGTCATTGGAACTGCCCAAGTAACGTCTAATTGGGTGGATAGACAATTAATATCATTATCTTGACAGTGCTGGCTGGACTATATTAATTTACAAACACACCTTTACTGAACATGAGAATAATCATCATCTATACTCCATTCTTGGTTCACCGTGCAGTAATGAGCACCATAGGCCATGTATTTTAAATGGCAGCCAGCAACACTAGCGGTTCTAAAAACATTAAGACCGGGAAACGGTCCTAAATTTTATTAACTTTTTCTTAAGATTTTTTAGTGTCTCCACTTGAGTATTTTGTAACAAAGTGACTCAAATAAAATACCTTTAAATGAAAGCGGTCTAAGCCCCTCTAAATTTACCCTTAACTTTACCAAAGTCGAAATCAAGCTAAAAATTCAATCTATAAAAGCGCATGGTCATCACAACCCACATGTCAATACACATGTTTCCACAACTATATTACATAAAATCTGTACTGCACTGTAAACGTAGAATTGAGTCTACTGGGAACAATTTGATGAAAGTAAATATCACTTGATGTTTCATTAACATACTTTTAGTTTCATGCAGGACTGTTTTTTTTTAGTTAGGTTAGCACCACCAGGGTTTTTAGGTTAGCATTTTACCAGTAGTCTCTGGAGTTTTCATCTGGTTATTAATCTCACGTAGAGCTGTCTGAAGTCTGTTGGTGGAGGGGAGAGTTTTCTTGGCCAGCTTGGAAACCATGTTCTCTCTGTTGGCGTTGGCGAACCTCGGTCGAGCAGGAGTAAACTTCCGCAGAGGCACTTTCGCCGTCATAGTGTGAGAAGGCACTTTAGGAAGGATGAAGCTTGTCTTACCTGTACCAGGCAAAATACAGACTAAATCAAACTATTTGACATGATCCAACAACTTGTTCCACAAATGAGAATCAGTTTTACAGTGATAAGGAAAAGTATAGAAAGATGAGTAAAATAAGTATTGGGCATAGTGTAGTGGTATCAGTTTTGATAAGTTAATCAGTGAATAGGGATACAAACAACTTTACTGGAATGTTTTTAACACATTCACTACCTGGCTGGTGACACAAGGCACATTCAGAGGAGTGACTACCGGTAGGCAACATGTTAAAGAAAACCGTTGAGAACGTTAAACATTTTTTGTAAGTAATATTAAAAGATGTAGGGAAATGTTATAAATTTGTTTAGATCAAATTTTTATGCAAGCATTACCTAATACATAGTTATATTTATATTAGTTATATTACCAACAAACATAAGCTTGTGTGATTGACAAAGTGGTTATTGGCCATGGAATATTGAAATTTTGAGTTTGTTCAAAAACCAACCCAACACTTAAGTTTTGATATAGTATTCTCAATGGGAAACACAATTATATAATTGTGTTTCCCAATGAGAATACTCACCCACTGTACAGGAAAGTCTCCTCTTCCTACCAAAAATAAAATCAAACCTGTTCTGGCCTTGAGTCCTTTTACTGAGAATTTTGATCATTTAGGCTACTTGGATGATTACAAATCACAAGTTTATTTGATTTGCACTTTACTCAAAATTTTAAAGGGACCTCTACTATTTTTGTGGCTACCTGGGGGCAAAACCTGTACAAACCTTTTGGTAAAGACTATGTTTAGACATTTTGAGTCTTTAATATAGTTTTGGGCATTATGGAACTTAACATCAAATGGAACTAGACATTAAATACTTAGGCATTAAGAAGAGCCCCTATTGACAAATAATCAAGATGTTGTTAAAACTTACGTGACTTTTCTTGGTTTTCTGGTTCATCAATGGGATGATCTAGGACGAATGTTCCATTCATATTTGATGATTCTTCAAATGTGAGCGGTTCAGTCGCTGGTTTGTGAGACTCAGGCACAAGCTTCGGCCGAGACTCTGCTACCATGAACTGTAACAGTAAAGGTTGCTTCTGATTAATCCATATGACCTGTTATGTTACATTAAGACTGTGATGAGATTATCACAAATGTATAGAATCAACACTTTCACACTGCAAGCCTCAGGCTTAACCTTAAACTGTTTTAGTGTTTGAGACAAGCTGAAGTGTGAATAACAGATGTAAAGCACCTCACAATGGAGACTTTGATAATTTGACATTTGACTATTGATATAAGTAGATATCTCATTTCCATGTTAAAGATATAGCCAGTTTGAGAGTAAATTTGTTGAAGTCGAATGAACCACCAACAACTGACTTTGATTACTAACTTATTCCGACTGGCAAAAAGACATAACTTTTTAACCAACCCAAATTGAAAAGATAACTTATCGTATCGTAAAATATAAAATTGCTTATGTTTTTTACATCAAATCAAATATCATACTACTGTAGTAGTCTAGTAAAATAAAATATAAAATAAAGGAGAAAATTGGATTTTGATTTGCTGTTAGTGAGTGGTTCATTTAACTATCCTCTAAAACAAATGTCTACAGGGATCCATCTTTGGAAACCAAACATCAATGATTTAACTGAAAAAATAAGAAAAATACCCCCGCCGCAGCAAACCTGCCGACTAAGCAAATTTCCATTTGTCTGAATTGATTGAGCGAAGCTCTTATACGTCGACTTTTATGCATTTCGTAATACGCAAACTCCTCCTAGACGGCTGAATCAATCGTTTTCAAATTTTGGATGGTGATACTGATAAAGACCATATCGGTGAGTGCCAACATCTATATGGCGTTAAAAATAACTCTCAGGAATCCGCCCCACTGGGTCTCAAAGTTTCAATGTAATCCTTATGGAAGCAGTATTTGACACATAAACAAAGACATATGATCAGCTGTTGACTTTTGAATGCAGTAGAAAAAGAAATAGCTGATAGCATTATTCCACAGATATTAGAATAGAAACGGTATGAATCATAAATATAATCAAATGACGACACTAGCTTGAGGTCCGTGACGTAGGAAGAGCTAAAGGATGTACTAAAGGGGAACAGTCTGGAGTGTGGAAACTGTTTATGACGATTAGATTTAGGTATCTGCATTCCAAAAACTATAAGGGAAGGGAGGAAAACGGGTCCGTGACGTAGGAAGTGATGAAGGAAGTAGTCAAGGTGAGCTGTCCGGAGTGTGGGATCTGCTTATGACCATTATATTAAGATATTTGCAATCCTATGATGCTATGGGAAGAGAGGAAAACAGGTCCGTGACGTAGGAAGTGGTGAACGAAGTAGTAAAGACGAGCAGTCCGGAGTGTGGGAACTGTTTATGACGATTAGATCAAGGTATCTGCAATCATAAAATGCTATGGAAAGGGAGGAAAACAGGTCCGTGGCGTAGGAAGTGGCAAAGGAAGTAGTAAAGACGAGCAGTCCGGAGTGTGGGAACTGTTTATGACGATTAGATCAAGGTATCTGCAATCATAAAATGCTATGGAAAGGGAGGAAAACAGGTCCGTGGCGTAGGAAGTGGTAAAGGAAGTAGTAAATGCGAGCAGTCCGGAGTGTAGGAACTGTTTATGACGATTAGATTAAGTTATCTGCAATTATAAAATGCTGTGGGAAGGGAGGAAAACAGGTCCACGATGTTGGAAGTGATGAAGGAAGTAGTCAAGGTAAGCTGTCCGGAGTGTGGGAACTTTTTATGACGATCAGATCAAGGTATCTGCAATCCTAATATGCTATGGGAAGGGAGGTAAACAGGTCCGTGACGTAGGAAGTGGTAAAGGAAGTAGTAAATGCGAGCAGTCTGGAGTGTGGGAACTGTTTATGACGATTAGATTAAGGTATCTGCAATTATAAAATGCTGTGGGAAGGGAGGAAAACAGGTCAACGATGTTGGAAGTGATGAAGGAAGTAGTCAAGGTAAGCTGTCCGGAGTGTGGGAACTTTTTATGACGATTAGATCAAGGTATCTGCAATCCTAATATGCTATGGGAAGGGAGGTAAACAGGTCCGTGAAGTAGGAAGTGGTAAAGGAAGTAGTAAATGCGAGCAGTCTGGAGTGTGGGAACTGTTTATGACGATTAGATTATGGGATCTGCAATTTTAAAATGCTATAGGAAGGGAGAGAAAAGGTCCGAGACGTATGAAGTGGTGAAGGAAGTAGTCAAGGTGAGCTGTCCAGAGAGTGGGATCTGTTTATGACGATTAAATTAAGGTATCTACGATCTTAAAATTCCATGGGAAGAGAGGGAAACATGTCTGTGACGTAAGAAGAGGTGAAGGAAGTAGTAAGGTGAGCAGTGTGGAGTGTGGGAATGGAAACCGTTTGTAGCGGTTAGATTAATGTATCTGCAATGCTGAAATGCTATGAGAAGGGATGGAATCATCCCCACGACATAGAAAATGGTGAAAGAAGTAGTAAAGGCTAGCAGTGCGGAGTGTGGAGAATGTTTGTGGCAATTAGATTAATGTATCTAAAATACTAAATTGCTATGGAAAGTGAAGAAAACAGGTCCAGGATGTAGGAAATGGCTTAAAAAGTAGTAAAGTATGAGCATAGTGTGAAAACCGTCTATGGCAGTTAGATTGATGTATCTTTAATCCAAAAATGCTATGAGAAGGGAAGGAAACAAGTCTATGACGTAGGAAATGGCGAAGGAAGTAGTAAGGCTTGCAGTGCAGAGTGTGGGAACTGTCTTTGGCAATTACATTCATGTATCTGCAATCCTAAAATGCTATGGGAAGAGAGAGAAATAGGTCCACGATGTAGGGAGTGGTGAGGAAGTAGTAAAGGTGAGCGTGTTGAGTGTGGGAATAGATTAATGTATCTGCAATGCTAAAACACTATTGGAAGAGACTGTAGACTATAAAGGAACTGTAGGTTAAAATAATTAGGAAGCACGAATCTAAATATATAAAAGGCAAAGCCCTCACTGACTGACTGACTCACTCACTCACTCATCACTAATTCTCCCACTTCCCATTTACCTAGGAGGCTGAAATTTGGTACACCGATTCTTTGGGCATTAAATAGGAAAACTAAGTAGTTTTTATTCTCATCGGGCTTTCGGGCTCTGCCCCAGTGGCTCTGGAGTTTCCCATGTTAACCTTATGATTTTTCATAATTAAAAGGAATTTCTTAACAGCTGTTTCTATTAAACAAGTTGGTTCTGTCACAGTCTAATATTTTATTGTTAGACTGTGGTTCTGTTCTAATGATGTTCAAAAGCATTAAAGTTACAAGGATTACCAACAGGGAGCAGCACTATTATTTTTATTTATGACTACAGCCAATTTGCAACCAAAAGGTGAGTGAGCGTAGCGAACGTACTTCAACCTGGAAGCGAGTTAGCGTAGCGAACGAGCTAACCTGAAGGCAAGTGAGCGGAGCGAACGAGCTCCAACCTAAAGGTGAGTGAGCGTAGCGAACGAACTTCAACCAGGACGTGATTGAGCCATGCGAACGAGCTCACTTGTGAAGTTAAACGGGGCAAAGCCCGCGGGTACAGCTAGTCGATACATATTTTGATACATGCAATCGTTTACATACAGTAATTTACAACTGAGTTGACAAAAGCTGATTTTTACTCCATAGAGGATCAAAACTATTTTTACTTCCTAATGAGTAAAATGCTACTTTAGACCCGCAACGCATGCATTAAAAACGACTGGTATTACTGCAGTATGACCAAAACAATATAATATAAACCCTTGATGACTCCGCTCAATTTTGTGGATGCCTCTGCGAACGCCACCTAGTTTTAAATTAAATATATTTAACACGTTCACTGCGTTACATATTTTCCACCATTATTCCAATGGTGCGTTACGAGATCTATAGGTCTCGTCCGCTATGATTACCCAGGTGCGATACGAGACCCCGAGATTACGTTGCGCAGTAATCTTTTGCGCATCATAACCTCGTAAAGAAAGGCAAGAGAGCGCTGAGTGTTTGTTTATCTGAACCAGTACAATGTTGACAATCTTCAGCCAGCCCAGGAAGTAAATATGACGTCATTGTACGAGACCCCGAGATCTCGTACCGCACAGCTGTAATAGTTCATTATTTATTTGTATTTATTCTTTTCCTACAATAACAAATAAAGAAAAATATATGTTACCTGTTTATTTACGAATTCCTTATAATCGTAATCGTTATAAAAAATATATTTTATCTTTCTTTTATCACTTTTTATATTAATGCGTTTCCTTACGGCTGATTTCAGGCTAAATAAAATACAAATGAAATATGTTTACAAATTACCGTACTGTATTTATTTCGTTATAATTTTGGGGTTGGGCTATGACCTCGAAATGAGTGCGTGCCAACAGTGGGTCGAGTGGGCGGGGGGGAAGGGATGGGTGCAACCTTGAAGCTATATTTAGACTTGCACCACTTCCCTAAAGGGCTGGGAAAGGGATCCCAATCGCAAAACAAAAACTAATGATACAAAGTTGTTTATCGGAAATTTCTTGTCCGGTTTTTGTATGATTTAGTAGGGACCAGGAGAAACATTCGAATTAATGTAAATGATTTGCTTGTTTACATCAAAATACAACATTGCACAATCGTGATATTTTAGGTAATTTACCAGTAACCTTTATTACGCATCCGTTAGTGCTAATAACAGTATAAAAACGCCATTATTCTTTCTCTTTGTTCTTGAATTATTTATTTGGTTTCCTTCTTTCATCCAAGCATTCAACAAAGGTTACCATGGTTACTAATCACCCCATTAGCCTCATGTAGTGCTTGGAACAACTATTTTTGATACGAGACCCAGGGGTCTCGTATCGTAATAAAGTAAAAGATTATTACTTCAGTGCGTTACGAGATCTATTTATCTCGTTCATTTCATAGTTACTAGTTGATACATCAAGAAAAATGCATTATATATGTACAAGTTTCATTTCTTTACGATAACTGTACGCCGAAATATCGATGTCGTAATTTTTGGAAAGAAGCCAAATTATGGGTCCCGCACTACGGGCTAGGTACGATACGAGACCTCGGGATCTCGTAGCGCAGTGAACGTGTTAAATAACACTAGTGTACATGTTGCTCGAATTCGAGCAATTGTAAAGTATTACAGGATTTGCAAACTAATAACAATCATACTTAGCTATCAACATTTCAACAAAAGCACACTTACCTTCCCTGTAGCAGCAAACCTAAGTACTCATTAAAATTAACTTAATAATGTTATTTAAATAGGAAAAAATTACCATTTTAAGGGAATAATTAATCTTTGAATTAATTAAGCCAGGTAAATGGAAATTCGCTTAGTCTGAAGGTTTGCTGCGGATACACAATTTTAATAACAGCAAAGTTTGAAGAATCTGAATTATTACTTATATCCATGAATTTATCTAACAATTATTCCCTGTAAAATATTATTACAGCAGTTCAAAAAAAAATATTGAAACAAACTCGATCAACAAATGATGTTGAAAGAACTCCATACTAATGACATTAACATATAGTTTGACAGTTCCATTTAATCAATGTTAAATGTTTACATTCGGGCATAGACAAAAATGATTCAGGCGAATGACATATTTGATTAATGTTTATGATCCCTACCGTTCCTGTTCTAATAATCATGCAGTATTTAATATGTTTGAACCAGCTGTGTGGAATTGTGAAATCAAAATTAATTTGAGAGTTAGTTTTGCTTGTTTACATTTTTAAATTTTGTGGGTTTGTTCTTTGTTACCATGGATACCATCAATAAATATTTCACTCTTAATTTCTGACAACAGCTGGAGTTCCATAACAAATTTTGTTTCCCATGTTAATCTTATGGATAAATACGAAACTTTAAAGGGCTCCAGGGCCTCAATGTCTCATTATTTCCCTAAAAAGAAAGTTTCCTGCACAACTTCACGTTACCCTCTTTCCAATGACACCAAAAACATGTCAATCGGTTCAGTAGTTTCGGAGGAGTAATTGTCACAAAAAACCTGCTTGCGTATTAAATAAGTAATAGATTAGGTTTAACGAGTACCTAGGTTCACTTGCTGCTACAAGGAAACTAATAATGTGTGTTTTTTAGTAAGATATTGATAGCTTAGTATAAAATAAATAAATTTGCCAAGTTATCAAATATCCAAAAACAAGCAAACTGCAACATTTTACAATATTTTCCATAAGAATAACATGGGAATTTTAAATTTACAATTTTTTTAATTTTCTTCGTTACCAATAATCGAACAAAAATACTTTTATATACTAAATTATTTGTTTTTTTAAGCTCTTTTAAAAGGTCTAAAGAGAAATTGGAAAATTTTGTGTTTTGAGGGTCAAAAGTGAGAAAACCCAATTTTTACCCTATAAACCCCCCGTAAAGCCCCTTTCCCATGGTCCGATCATGCTGGATCGCGAACTCATTCAAGTTTATCTGGCTTTACACCTTTAAACCAAATTTCATCAAAATCGGACAAAAATTACTCAAGTTATCGCGTTCACGGACGTATCTGCAAAGTGAGTCGGTGGCTCAGTCTGTAGCGTCGCGGACTTCGGCCCAAGGCAGTAGTGTCGTGGGTTCGGATCCTGGTCACTGCCGATAACATTTTATCAGTACAGTTCACCTTTGTACTGTACCGGCTCACTCCTTGCTTTGCTGTAAACGATCCACGCACGGGCGCTTAGTCTATGTGGACGGGCAAATGCAAGGTTAAAAGAGGCCGCCAACCTCTTAAAAAAAAAAAATATATATGTATATATAAATCTATATATATATATATATATATATATACATATATAAAAATTAAAATGAAAAAGTAAATCGGTCCCGGGTCTAAGTCTTACCGTGCCACCTACGGTAATAGCTACTTCCCTATAGGGAAATTCGCTAAAACTGTCAAGAAAAGAAAGTAACAGATGTTCAGCCAAACCTAGTAGCTTTGACTATTAGACATTCCATCCCCACGTTAAATTTGTAGCCATTTTTTTAACCAAAATTGTCGTAGTTGATGTGAGCCACTTACAGATTGTGTTGATCTAAATTACTGATTTCTGTTGAATACACAATTTTTTTTTCCAATTCACGTCTACTTCAGTATCCAATAGTCAATGCTAGTAGATTGAGCAGCCCCCTTTTCCTCAATGTCTTCACCAGTGTTTTATTTAACGCTTTTAATGGAAAACAGTTCAACTCGCTCAAAAATATGTACAGTACAGCGTATGGCTTCTTTACCCAGTAGCCCAGTAGCATCCGAGAAGAAAAAAATTTATCTTAGCAACTTAAGCTAACGACAAATGTATTTAAAACTGAAACAATACAACTGTACTGTACAACACCATGTAAAATTAGGGATGGACGGGATTGAATTTTTAGTTCGGAACGGGACGGAATTTTTATTTCCTTCCTGATTTTCGGGACAGGACGGGACGGGATTTTTTTCTGTGCATAAAAAGAAAGTCGTAAGTATTGCAGTTACCAAAAAAGACATTCGAAATCAATTTTTACCGTTTGTGGCACTGATCTATAAAAACCAAAAAATGGGTAACAATTTACAGGTACCTATAGAAACTTGTGACTCGCGGTCACGGTGCGATCGTCAAAATGACCGTGGTCACGAGCTGATCGTCGGTATGACTCACGGTCATGGCTCAATCGTCGGTATGACTCCGTGGTCACGACGTGATCGTCGGTATGACTCCGCGGTCACGGGGTGATCGTCGGTTAACTTGCGGTCACAGCATGATATTCGGTATGACTCACGGTCACGGCTCGTTAGACGGTGGACTCTGCGGTCACGTCGTGATCGTCGGTATGAGTCGCGATCACGGCACGATCATCGGCAACTCCGCGGTCACGGCGCGATCGTCGGTGGACTCCGGGGCATGATCGTCGATATGGGTCGCGATCACGGCAAGTTCGTCGGCAACTCCGCGGTCACGGGGTGATCGTTGGTTAACTTGCGGTCACAGCACGATCGTCGGCATGACTCCGCGGTCACGGCGCGATCGTCGGTGGACTCCGCGGTCACGTCGTGATCGTCGGTATGACTCACGGTCACGGCTCGTTAGACGGTGGACTCCGCGGTCACGTCGTGATTGTTGGTATGACGGGGTGATCGTCGGTATGACTCCGCGATCACGGGGTGATTGTCGGTATGACTCCGCGATCACGGGGTGATTGTAGGTATGACTCGCGGTCACAGCATGATCGTCACTATGACTCGCGGTCACGGCATGATCGTCAGTATGACTCGCGGTCACGGCATGATCGTCAGTATGACTCTGCGGTCACAGCGCGATCGTCGTTATGACTCGGGGTCACGGTGCGATCGTCGCCCAATAATCGCGGTCACGGCGCGATCGTCGGTCCAATAATCGCGGTCACGGCGCGATTGTCGTTATGACTCCACGGTCACGGCGCGATCGTCTTTATGACTCCGCGGTCACGGCGCAATCGTCGAAATGACTTCATCTCCTGCGTTCGCGGACCTATCGCTTGCAATAGCGGCGTCATCGGCACTCGCGAAGCGGCAAAATCGCCGACGATCGGACCAAATCCCGTCCCGATAATCGGGAATATTTTTTCCCCAAAAAATTCCCGAAATTTCGGTAAAATAAATTAAAGTTTTAAATCCTTGTTTCAAACAAAGTTGTCCTCTGCTGGTTTACTCACCGGAGGCGTAGAAGAGTTAAGAACTCCCAGAGTGAGGTTGATGAAAGGACGGACACTGACAGAACTAAGTGTCACACCTTTGTCCTCCTCGTCATGGTCCTCCAGAAAGTCCAGCCACTTGACAGCCTTCAGCCCCTTGATCTTGGCCAGGCCCTGAGACAACCACAGCCCTTCAAGAGTAGGTAGTTATATTAAGTTTACTATTGAACTAACATTGGTTAGCAACTGCTAAGATTGTTGAACATTAAGAGTCAATTCGATTCTGGGAATCTTGGTCGTATGTATATAATAATCAATGACAGTTGTACAGTTGTACTCATTGTAAATATTCATTTAACTTATATAGAGTTGGCAACACTGCTTCCATTACCAGTGAAAGAATCCAGAATCGAATGTGACTCTCAATGTTGAGAAAGGGGCCAGTGGCCTCAAAATATTCTTTGGTTTCTTTGTGCTTTCTTTTGTGTTACTTTCTTGAAATGGGATGCCTAAAATTTATAAGGTATGTCTGCTTATCCTGTCCTTTGTCTCCTCAATTTTCCTGATTTGAAGGATTTGAACTCCGGACTACCACTAGATCAAATTTATCTCTTGTATAGGCCTATAGTAGAGACTATGAACCGTAGTTGCTAAAGCACCTTAACCTAGTAAGTACCTGTTGGTATGTGTTGTTCATGTTGTCAGTGACCATGTTGAGTCCGTTGAGCAGCTGGTGGTACTCGCTACAAATGGCCGACACGGTGTCCACAGCCGCTTGCAGATCCTCTAGTCGCTTGTCTTGCATGTTGATGATCTTCAGACAGTGGTTCAGCTGGATCTTGACTCCAGCAAGTTCACACTGGGACATAAACATCAAATGTATCAATCTAGCACTTATTAAATCTTTAAACTGCTTAGGGTGTTAATTGATGGGAAATTGCACACATTATCTATCTCATCACAATTAACAAGTTTCAAATTTTCGAGATCTGGAATCTGATCCCATCCTCAGGTAAGAAAATACTTTTAGACTAAAATGTAACAAGATTAGAATCTAAACCAGCCAAAATTGGAGGGGTACAAAGGTAAAATACACAGAGAATTGAAACAGTAGCAAGAACGGGACATAAAACAATCCTGAAGGTAAACAATATTCAGAGGGTAAAGGTGAGTCGATGGCACAACGGACTATTAATCTATAGCAGTGTTGATGTGCGTTTGCATCCTGGTGCACTTCACTAAATTTTTATTAGTACACTTCACTCTTTATACCAGCTCACTCTTTACGCCCTCACCAGAGGACTATGCGTAAATGCAAGGTTACAATAAAAGAGGGTGCCAACCTCTTAAAAAGAACTACAAAATTGAGGATGGCCTAGCAACCTATACAACATGGTCACTCAATCAAACTCCATTTTTTTTCTTTATACATATTTTTAAGATAGCCTATTTATTTAACTGTTACCAAATGGACTGATAAACTTTATTAATTGTTCATTTATTTTGAGCACAGCATTTTATTATTAAATTTAATTATTTTGGGGGCCCCTAACTAGTAATTTGTTACAAGATTTAAACATTTTATCAAACCTAGAAAGAATGTTTTTGGTTATTGCTGTAATTTTTTTCAAAGTTTTTATTTATTTTTTAAAGAATTTTGAAAGTAAATTTGTGTACATTTTTTTTAGTACAAATTTTATGCTTAACTAAAGAAATGGCCTTGGAGCTAGTAAGATAGATGAGAACTCCAAATTTTTACTTAAAAAAAATCTGAATAGCATGTATCAAACCTAGCTATTCAAGGGTTCAATCAACAGTAGGAGTGGAGTGAGTTAAAGTTGCATGACGTGTCCGATTTCGGTTGCCAGTATTTTTAATATTTTAGTGGGTTTATTCCAATTTTTGCACAAATAAGTTGCTGGATATGGTATTATAAAGCAAGAAGATCATTTTTGGAAACATTCAGATCATTTCGAAGTGGGTGAGTGGCAAATATCTATGCTGGAAGTGTGCATGAGAGAGCTATGGATGAAACTAGCGCACCATGTGCTGTTTGTGACGTCACGATTCCTAGTGATGGCGAGGGACTGTATTGTGATGGATTTTGTCACTCATGGTACCATCCCAGTTGTATGAATGGAAATAAAGACTCATATAAATGGATCAACAAGATGTCCAAAAATGTTAAATGGTTCTGTGATAAATGCTACATTCAAGTAGATAGGCTAATTAAGGGCACGAATAACATTGACGATTACATATCTTTGCATGAATCTTTTAATAAGTTATTGATTTTGGTTACTAGTATTGCTAGCAATAATGAAAAAACAGACATTCGACTAGATGAAGTCGAGAAATCTATTAAGACTATGACAAATCAAGCTGCTGCTAGCAGCCAAAGTAATAGTAATAGTAAGCAGACGACGCATGACGCTACTACTTGGAGTAAAATTGTAAAGGGGAACAAAGGAAATGGTTCAAAGGCAGAGGGGGACAGAGCGAAACGGAATGATGAATCTGCACAAAAATTGGACAGGCAGAGACAGGAAAATCAAAGTGGTAGTGGAAGTGAAGAGGAAGAGTTTGACAACGGCTTAAACCTAAGCAAAGCAAATGACGAATCTGGAAAGATGAAGAAAAATGGAGAGTATGTTTCAAGTGAAATAAGAAGTGTTTCAGACGATGATCAAACTGTGATTGAAAATGAAAACTGGACGGAATATAGAAACAGACGACATAGGAGGCCTAATTACAACAATCATGGGAAGCACCAATCCACGTATAGGCCTAGTAATGGTAACGGTCATTCAAGTAGGCCTAGGCCTAGGCTGGATCACGTACAGAAAACTAGAAGCAACAAAGCTATTTATGGAAAAGCTAAAATTAGTGACGGGTTGGAAGTGGCCGAGAAATACTCATGGCTCTTTATATCAAGATTGAAGGCCACTGTAGATGTGGAATCTGTGAGCCTACATGCAAAAAGTGTGTGTAATGGTGAAGTTGAGGTTATCTGTGAGAAGCTGCCGACTAAGTACAATAGCTATTCATCATTTAAGGTAGGCTGTAAATCTAGTTATATTAATAAGCTACTTGATGCAGAAGTATGGCCAGAGGGGGTGATTGTATGTCAGTATGTGCCAGCAAGAGGAAGTAGACAGTCTGACCTGGGTAGACCTAGGCCTAGGATTGGGAACTGAAATGAAATGAAATGAAATGAAATGAAATGAAATGAAATATTCCTTTATTGTCACAATACATTTCAAGTTTTTCAGCAATGCTGATGAAACAGGTGACATTGTCCATTATTAAAACTAGATTTACAATTCATTCCTATAAATTAAATAAATGTAATAGAAAAATGTTTAACTGTTATTTAAATATTCAGAGACAGATTCAAACTGTTTTTGTAAGAGATACATTCTAAACTCGCTTTTGAATTTTGATATACTGGTAATTTGTCTGAATTTGGTAGGTAGACTGTTGTAAAGCCTGAGACTCATATAAAATGGTGATCTTTCATACAGACAGAGGCGATGTCTTGGATATTTCAAATTATTTTTAAAACGAGTAGGATATTGATGGATGAATTGATTGTTGTCATATGATTGGTAGTTACTTTTTAAAGAAACCATCATTTTAAATATATATAGAGAAGGCATTGTTAATATGTCGTATTTTTTAAAAATAGGTTTAAATGATGCTCTTTTTGATGCAAAAGATAGGATTCTTAAATACTTCTTTTGTTTTTTAAAAACTGTGTCGGCATATGAAGTTGAGCCCCATAGTTCAATTCCATACTGCATGATGGAATAAAACATTGCATAATATACAGTAAGTTTAGTTTTCAGATCAATTATATTCCTTAAAACATACATTTGAGAACAGGCTGTATTCAGCCTCTTTAGTATCATGTCTATGTGTGGTTTCCAGGTTAAATTCTTATCAATAATTAAGCCTAAGAACTTTGTATCTTCAACGAATGGTAAAGTATCGCTTTGGTAGCGTAATTCAAAATTTTGATTCTCTCTATTTTGGATTGTTTGAAATAACATAACCTGTGTTTTAGAACTATTGAGTTGAAGCCCATTTACTGTAAACCAACTGGACAAATCTATGAGTGAGCGGTTGAGTTCTAATTTTAGATTGGGTACATATCTTTTGCTTTAACTATGGATGTAGTGTCATCTGCATATAATATGAGGCTAGAAGATACATTTTGAGGTACATCATTCACAAAAATTAAAAATAGTAAAGGACCCAATATCGAACCTTGTGGGACACCACATTTAACTTTGTGCCAATTTGAGATAAACTTTTTGCCATTTTTTATAACTGATGTTCTTTGTTTCCTGTCAGTTAAATAAGAATCAATCCAAGACAAAGCCATGCCAGAAAATGAATAATGTTGAAGTTTGCTCATTAAAACGTCATAATCCACACAATCAAACGCCTTGGATAGATCACAGAACACCGCCGCAGTACTCTGTGATCCATCCAGGCCAGCCGATAATTGACTTATGAACTCTGAGACAGCCATTGTTGTGTTTCTTCCAGATCTAAATCCAAATTGTTTTTCTGTGAATAAGAAATTATTTTCAAAATATGAATAAATTTGGTTGTATGCAAGTTTTTCAAAAACCTTTGATAAACATGGTAAAATGGATACGGGACGATAGTTTTCAGGATTTCCCGGTGAACCTTTTTTATACAGTGGTTTTAGTTCTGCATTTTTCAGTTGATGTGGAAAAATTCCTTCATCAAAGCATTGATTAATTATCAGACCAAGTGGTTGTGCAATAAAATTAGTTACATTCTTAACTATTTCGATAGGAATCTCATCCCATCCAACAGATTTTTTGTTTTTTAATTTTTTAATAGTTTTTTTAACATCTGACACTGTTATATCTCTGAATTGAAAATTTATATCTGAATTAATATAAATTTTATTTGTTAACTCAGTTGCTGTAAGGATACAGGAGTTAAAATTATTATCTTTGGACACGTTAGCAAATTTTTCATTAAAGAGGTTAGCAATGGTTTGACTATCTTTTACCTGTTGATCTTCTACATACACATCCGGGAAGTCTACATTTTTGGCATTTAATACTCCAAGCTCAGACTTCACAACACTCCACACCGCTTTACTTTTGTTATCAGCGCTCGATATTATCTTACAGTTAAACAATTTCCTAGCTTTATCACAAACAGCTTTAAATATTTTCCTGTAGTTTCGGTAATACTTTTGAAAATTAATGTCCTGGTTAGTTTTGGCAATAATACTCAATTGTCTTTTTTTGTTGCTAGATACTTTAATTCCTTTGGTTACCCAGCTTTTTTTAAATTTGTCTTTTTTGTAATTTTTTTGAGAAAAACTTAAGTGGAAAACAGTGGTCAAAACTAACTAAAAAGTCATGCATGAAACTATCAAAATTTGTCTGAGCGTCTTTTACAAGTGATAAGTTCCAGTTAATTTCTGAAATACATTTATAAAATAAAGCCTTATTTGTTTGTGAAAACAACCTTCTTTTGCCACCTGTCTTTTCATCCAACAATTTATTTCTTGGAATTTCAATAAAAAGTGCCCTATGGTCCGAAAAACCTAATTCAAGATTCATTTTGGACCTCTTTACTTCTGGTCTCAGAACATCATTGGTTAAAATATTGTCAATACAGGTACTTGTGTCATGTGTTATTCTGGTTGGTGAACAGAAGTTTATATTCAAGCCATACATATTAATTAAGTCTAAAAACTTTGTTCTATTATTAGGTGAGTGTGAATTTGGTAAAATATCTATGTTGAAGTCTGCTGCTATGTATATCTGATGTGTTTTTATATACTTTTGCAGTTTACAAAGAAGAGATTCTAGCTTATCTAAAAATTGTTTTAAATTATTTTCATAAGGAGTTCTATAGATGGAAATTACAATAATCTTAGTAGAGGGTATTTCAATACTACAGACTTCAAAAATGCTTTCTTCGTTAAATATATAAAAGTCAGTCATTTCTTTAAAAATAAGGGTTTGCTTTAAGAGAATACAAGACCCCCCTCTTGCACCTGTATTTCTACAATAATATGCTACCAAACTGTAGTTTTTAAAGCCAGATAACATACTTATTTGATTTGAATTCAAACAATGTTCATTAAAACAGATAATATCTACGTTCGAGTCTTCCATAATAATGTATAATTCATGCATCTTTTTGAAAACTCCTTCTTGAATATTTAAGTGCATAAGAAAACTAACGTTTTTATTTATGTTGCTGCTGACGTCTTTACAATATTCCCACCTATCACATGTTTTATATATATCAAAGTGAGAATGTTTACAGTTAAAACAATAGTTATCCTGTTTTAAAAGACCTGAATGTAAAAATACCGGTAAATTTAAATTAGAATGACTGGAAAGATCTAAGTTATTTTGATTTTCACAATCCTTCAAACCCAATTTGTTGCTTACAACTACAGAATTTTTTGCTCCTATTTCATTGCTACATTTTGACTTAATGTTAGTACCTATTACTATGTCATTGAGCAAAAAGGATACTTTCTGTGATGCCCTTCCATTGATGTAATTACTTTCTGTTAAAGGGTTTTGATTGTGATTCAGCAAAACATTGTTAGTAAATTGACAAGCCAATGATATATCTTCATTTTCTAGCATAGTATTTGAATTAAAAGTTGTCAGGCTGTGATGTGAAAATATCCTTTTTGTACATGACGTTTTACTCATAAAAAACCACCCTCACTGCTGCCAGAAATAGGAGTCTTTGGCAGTTTATCTGAACACTCAAAAGCACTGGTACTCTGCTCTGCACTAGCACTATCACTGTTTTCACTGGAACATTGAACTCTGAACTCTCAGCACTCAGAAAAAAACATGCCCTAGACTCTAACAAGTATATGGCGTTAGAGTCTAATGTAAATAGTTTAATTAAGGACGGTAATAAATGTAGGTTAAGTTTTTTAAATATTAGATCAGTAAATAAAAAAATGGATGAACTGGAGGTAGAATTAGAACAATTGTCACCGGAAATCGTTGCTTTTGCAGAAACATGGCTGAATCCTACAAAAAATCAACATTTTAAAATAGCTGGATACAAAGTAATCAACAACTCGTTCAGAACAAAATCGACTGGAGGTGGTGTTGCCATAATGATTAAAAATAATATAAGTTTTAAAGCTAAGCCTCTGGCTTTTGAAAACTCGATGGCCGAGGGAGTATTTGAGTCCAGTGCATGTGTTTTATCCCTAAATAACAATATTAGTTTTATGTTGTTGGTTGTGTATCGACCGCCATACGATAATAATTTTAATAAATTTATTGAATAGGCCTATCTAGAAAATGCATTGAACAAACTAACAGATTTCAACCTGCCCATAATTTTTTGTGGGGATATAAATATTGATGGGAAAACTGACTCACTTCAAAAACTTTATTTGTTTGATGTTCTCAGCTCACATAAATTAATAAATGTAGTTACCGATGACACAAGGGTGACTGACACCACTGCCAAACAAATTGACTATATTGCAGTCAACGAGGACATAAAGTTCACAGACCACGGAGTAATGGCAACACCTATGTCCGATCACCGGTGGCTTTTTGTAGATTTGACCTTAGATATTAAGAAGAATGTTAACTTAAAAATAGAAAAGAATAAATTTAACAAAATCAAATATGGAGGAGTTTATTTTTAGATTGAACCAAGAAGAATGGATCAAGGAAAATGATGATAGGCCTAATAATTGTGACTTAGCTTTTAAGGATTTTTACGATAGTTTTATGTACTGCTTTATGGTTAGCTTCCCCAAAAAGGTAGTTAGGTTAAAAAATGAAAAGGACACAGCTTGGATAGATGATGAAGTGGTTGATTCCCGAGAGAATCTTGTAAATATTTATTGGCAAAGTAGGATAACACAGGATACTACAGTAAAAATGGAATATAGTAAAGCTAAGAAATTGCACACTCAACTTGTAGCAAATAGCAAGAAAAAGTTTTTTAATAATAAAATAATTAATTCATCCAATGTGAGTAAAGAATCCTGGAAAATTGTGCATAGCCTAACAAAAGAAGTGGTAACTCATGATAACCTAACAATTAAATCCAATAACTTAGTTCAAGAAAACCCTATTGTGGTAGCTAACCTGTTTAATAATTAATTATTTTTACGAAGAAGTAGACAAATTGGTTGGAGCCAATTCAGGTGGGCCTATATCCTCGGACCTTCCAAACTTCAATTTGGTAGATTTACCCAATCATGAAATATTAGAACTAAAACATACAAATGAAAAAGAAATAGTGGAAATTGTACAAAAAGTATGTCGTAAATCTAGTTCAGGTGTGGATGGGGTTCCGTGCAAGGTACTGTTGGCTTGCGTTGATGTAATCGCAAAACCATTATCTGTGATCATTAATAAGTCTTTTGACGAAGGAAAATTTCCAGACATAATCAAAACTTCAAAAATCGTTCCTATACACAAGAAGAATAGTAAAGAGGAGGTAAGCAATTATAGGCCAGTGGCCATACAGTCAGTTTTTTCAAAAATTTTTGAAGTGGCATATTTAAATAGATTAATACCATACTTGGAAAAAAATGACATTTTAAATTCTAATCAATATGGATTCCGTAAAAATAAGTCAACAATTGATGCTGTGTTCTCGCTGATTAACCATGTACATGAAAAGGTAGATTGCTCGGAAGAAGTACTTGGACTATTTTATGATATGACTAAGGCTTTTGATTGCCTAAATCACTCGATCCTAAGATTAAAACTACAAAAATTGGGTATAGTAAATGCACCTTTAAATTGGATTATGTCATTTAAATAGATCTCAGTTAGTAGCCGTAAATAACTTAGGTGCTGATAATGTCATAAGGCAATACAGATCAAAAATTCAGAATAACATCAACACTGGAGTCCCGCAGGGCTCAAATATGGGACCTGTGCTGTATTTGCTATATGTCAATGATTTACAAGAGACAATACAAGAGGGAGCTCTTTGGCTTTTTGCGGATGATGTTTGCCATATAGTTAATAATAAAAACTCTGAGGAAACAATACGCAAGTCCCAGATAGGCGTTCATCAGATGGAAGAATGGTGCAACGACAACAAATTAGTACTAAATGAAAACAAAACATCAGTTTTAAATTTTTTCAACACAAAGGCACCTGACCATAGCCCTCTCTTAAAATTAAAAAATCAAAACTTAAAAATAAATGATAACGTAAACTATCTTGGAATCAAAATAAGCAATAACCTTAGATGGAATATCCACATTGGTCATATAACCTCAAGACTTGTGGTAGTATGTTGTCTTATGCGCAGACTACAAAACATAGTGGATCATCATATCCTGATGAAAGTTTATTATGGCTGCTTTCATAGCGTATTGAGTTATGGCATCGTACTTTGGGGCAACAGCAGTGAAGCAAACAGAGTCTTTCTACTACAGAAGAGAATTATTAGAATAATTTGTAAAACCCATTTTTTGGAACATTGCAGACCACTTTTTATTAATCTTAAAGTTCCCACCCTTACCTCCGTTTATATATTGGAATCAGCTATGATGATATGGAAATTTCCGGAAGTCTTCAAACGCAACCACGAAGTACATAATTACAACACCAGGCAACAAAACCATATACACCTGAATTGTCACCGAACATCATTAGTGACAGCTGGACCACATCACACTGCAAGTAAGATATATAATAAATTGCCGGAAGAAATAAGAAGCTGCCAAGACAAAAATTTATTCAAGAAAAATCTCAAAAATTATTTAATAGAAAAGGCCTATTACAAGCTGGAAGAATTTTTGGAAGATTAAGAGAAGATAGGCCCTACCTGAAAATTAAACAACTTTGACGACCACGGCTGGAAAGCTACTAGTGGGATCAACACAAGTATACAAGTAAGTATACCTATGGTGCATTTTGTGTGTTGATGGTTTGTTATTGTTTAAAGATTTATTACAGCTTGTTCCTCTCAAACAGCGAGTTGTTCTTGAGCCTTTCCTCCACGGTTGTTCTTGTTTTTAGGTAGAGCTGTGGGTCGGTCCTCGTCCCTGCACATGGGATCACGCTCCATTTGGGTTCACTTGGGTGCAAGTGCGAGGGCGTGGTTCAGTCTTAGATTTTGTTAGCTCGGCACTGATGATGACAACATACCACTTACTTAGTAGCCGTGATTGGGGTTATTTTTGGGTTATCAAGTAGCCTAACCATGGCAATTTAATTTGTTATTTTATCTTTGTTTTTCAATTTCAATTTTTATCTTTGTATTTTTATTAACTTTGTATATGTGTTATCAATTGATTTTATTGTTTTTAACATGATTTGTTTTCAACTCAACATAGAACATTTGTCCGTTCTGAAATGGCATCTACCGGTCTTAGGTACCAGTAGCCTTTCTCTGGCGGTGGCTTACTAAACGTTTAACTCTTGTCCTTTACAAAATTGATTTGTTAAGTACTTGTACGTCGACCATCCAAATCTGAAACACTCATTATTGATCCGATTCAAACTAAAATTTCACTATCCGAACACCTCTACCTGGAACCATGGTGAAAACTTCCTTACATTTTAATCATGCTGGAATGTATCTGCGAAATCCCTCAAATATTATGAACTTGTCAACAAAACTAAACTGCAAACAAAGAATTGCTCAGAGTTGTTCCTAAAACATTAGAAAACACACTGTGGTAAACAAGACTTTATACTCTTTTTTTGCACTTTTATACCTGTGCCTCCTTGAGACTAGCTTCGGGCTGCAGCAGTTTAGTGACCTTGGCCAGATCCATCTCCGAAACAAATTTGTTGTACTCTTCCTGATGTAGCTCTCGTCGCTGCCACACCTCTGCCATCTTCTCCACCAAACTGGTCGATCTTGCATTTAATTGTGCCAGCGAGTTCTCCGTTACTGTCAAGTCCTGCCACAAAATACAAACATAAGTTAAGCTCTAAAAAGAGACCATTAGGTATGCAATATGAATAAATAATACCCCCGCCGCAGCAAACCTGCAGACTAAGCGAATTTCCATTTGCCTGATTGGATTTAGACTAAAATGTATCCTTAAAAATATCACATTTATTCCCTATTTAAATAGAATCAGTTTAACACATACTTAGGTTTGCTGCAACAGGGAGGGTAAAAGTGTTTTTTTATGTAAAATGTTAATAGTTGGTAAGAAATAAAAACATTTTCCAAATTTGGGCAAAATATGTTAATAAACAAGCACACTACAACGGTTTACTTATTCTCCATAAGAATAACATGGGAATTTTCAATTAACAATTTTTTGGAATTTTATCCATAACCATTAGGCGCATTATAACGCTACAATATACCAAATTATTTGTTTTTTTAAGCTCTACAAAATAGTTTGGAAAGAAATTTCAAAATTTTATGTTTTTTGGGTCAAAAATAGGAAAAACCCATTTTTACCCCATAAAAGCCCCCATAAACCCCTGTTCCCATGGTCCGATCATGCTGGTTCGCGAACTCGTTCAAATAAACGTAGGTTTACACGTTTGTACCAAATTTCATCAAAATCGGATCATTTTTGCTCGAGTTATCGCGCTAACGGACACATATATATATATATAAATATATATATATGAATTTGAACGGATGGTGTTTTTGGCCTCTAGGGACCTCAAAACGAAAAAAAAAATCGGTCCCGGGTCCAGGTCTTACCATGAGTACTACGGTAATAGCTTATTCCCTATATGGGAAATTCGCTAATAAATGTGTGTGTATGAATCTGAACAGATGGTGTTTTTGACCTCTGGAGAGATTAAAATAAAAACGTAAATCGGTCCTGGGTCCAGGTCTTCCCATTAGACCTAAGGTTATATTCCCTATTTGGGAAATTTACTAAAGCGCTAAATATTTCAACAACTTAAAAATGAATTATAAATGTAAAAAAAAAAATAACACAACAAAGTATAGACATAGACATATTTTATTTGCACATAACATTCTTTACATGTGTTACATACAGAATAGGTGCATTGTCAGAGTTAAAATTATCAGGATATAACAAATAAAATAGTAATCAAGATGATAATATAAATTAACAATACCCCCGCCGCAGCAAACCTGCAGACTAAGCGAATTTCCATTTGACTGATTGGATTTACACTGAAATGTCTACTTAAAAATATAACATTTATTCTCTATTTAAATAGAATTAGTTTAAATAGTACTTAGGTTTGCTGCATCAGGGAGGGTAAAACTGTTTTTTTTTTTGTAAAACGTTAATAGTTAGTAAGAAATAAAAACATTTTCCAAATTTCATCAAAATATGTTCATAAACAAGCAAACTACAACAATTTACTTATTCTCCATAAGAATAACATGGGAATTTTAAATTTAAAATTTTTTTGGAATTTTCTCCGTAACCATTAGGCGCATAATAACGCTTCAATATACTAAATTATTTGTTTTTTTAAGCTCTACAAAATGGTTTGGAAAGAAATTGCTAAATTTTAAATTTTTTGGGTCAAAAATGGGAAAAACCTATTTTTACCCCATAAAACCCCCCGTAAACCCCCGTTCCCATGGTCCGATCATGCTGGATCGCGAACTCGTTAGAATAAACGTAGGTTTACACGTTTGTACCAAATTTCATCAAAATCGGATCATTTTTGCTCGAGTTATCGTGCTAACGGACACACATATATATATATATATATATATATATATATATATGAATTTGAACGGATGGTGTTTTTGGCCTCTAGGGACTTAAAAATGAAAGAAAATATCGGTCCCGCGTCCAGGTCTTACCATGAGTACTACGGTAATAGCTTATTCCCTATATGGGAAATTCGCTAAAATTGAATGATAAAACTATTCTAAACTAAAGGGGCATTGTGAAAATCCGCAATTAAATAAAAGGCTCTGTCAATTAAGAGTTCACCTATTTTATCTTTAAAATTATTTCCATTTAACAATTTATAGTTTGAAGGCAGCACATTGTACAGCCTCAGCCCAGCATATAGTGGACTTTTTTCATAAAGGGTCAAATGGTGCCTTGGAAATAAAAAAATGTTTTCATTTCGAGTATTATATCTATGGTTGATTTGAATTGATTCTAGGAGGTCGTTTTTAGCTGAATGAATGTAGTTTAGTGATTCCAAAATGTACAGTCCTGTTAGGGTGTGGATTTTTAAATTTTGAAAAAGGTTTTTGCATGAACTACGTGGATGAGAGCTGGTCATAATACGGATAATGCGTTTTTGTATTATCCGTATTATGACCAGCTCTCATCCATGTAGTTCATGCAAAAACCTTTTTTGAAATTTAAAAATCCACACCCTAACAGGACTATATAACTATATATACAAACACCTCTGACCTCATTAGTTCCAAAGTTCCTGATCTGATTGAGCGCCCGATTCTTGCATCTCATGCGCCACTGCAGCAACTTCACTTGACCTTCCATATAGAGGTACTCAGCATAGATCTGCTCCTTGTCCCTGTACAGTTCTGAAAGTCTAGCCGAGAATTTAGGGTCGGCCCGGGGAGGAGACGTCACTGGGTGTTTCATGGCATTCTCCATCAATCTCATCTTAAATCCAATCCAAACATTAGAAAATAAAATATACAACGGAGAAGTGAGCTTCTGGCTTGACCAGATTGTAGTTATTAGCATTGACTATGGATAGAGCTAGAAAATGCATTTACATGTAGCAGGGATGGACAGGTCCAGACTTTTTGGGAAGATTATTTCAACAATTAGGCAGGATTAAATTCATTACACGATTGGCAATGATGATGTCTCCTCTATTACTAGATATCACGATTTCTCTACCATGGTGGGTGACAATGACAATGAAATCCAATTGTGGGAGATAGCCTGGTAACATTAATACCACGATCACTTAGGACAATGCAATAACAATTTAAAATTGATTTTGTTTTGTCATTGTTGCCAATTTACTCAAGATTTTTAAAACAACTACAGTTTTCCTTTTGGAAATCATGTCCTGTTCCCACCTGAAAACTAGGAAGAAAATAAAAATTCCATCCCGTCCCAAACTAAAAGTGAAACCCGTCCATCCCTAATTAGTAGCCAGTTTTTGAATTAAAAACTAACATAGTTCATTGAATTTAAAATAATCAAAAATCAAGAGAATATATGTTTTACAAAATTACAAATATTAAAAGTATTTAATCTGTATCCAAGTTATTAAACATCCATCGATGCAAACAAATTTAATCGCCATTTTAAGCAATACTTGTGACTAAGGCCTATAACACTAGATTTAATATTAACCTTCGACAGTTTAGATTTTATAGTTTACTTTTTCACCATGTTAAGAAATACTTTTTTTCTTGGTATTTTGTTTTGACCTGGAGACTAAATGTATGTTTATTTACTGCTATTGTTATTGTAATAGAAATAATGTAATTCCTTCATATATTTTTGTTTACCTTCAGTTAGAAATTATTCATTATTAGAATATTTTGCTGACATTGAATTGCATTATTTTAGACATTTTTGTATATATGCATTTGTGCATTTAATTCTTTTCAACAATTAGTAGAATAAATCATAATTCTACTATTATGAACAACCTTTGTGAGCAGCAAATAAAGTAGGCAATAGTTTGGTTTGATGAGGTTGTATAGCTACATATTTCAACACCATTTAGGTACTTGATATAATGATATGAATATTAAAACCAACATAAATTTATATTTAGCCTATACTTTGTCTAGACAATAGTGTAGTATTTTTGGGCAATAGCAGCTAACTGCTGTTTGCTCAGTTTATTTCTGAGTTAATGCGAAGCAACCTTTCACTAACTCTTTTGTAGGCAAAATAGACAAATATGACAAGGCGTTAAAGCCAGTAACCACAGAGAAGTAAGGTACAGAGGAAACATGCTTATGGGACAACTGTCTGCTTTCAGCTCTAAACTCCTAACGTACAGGGCTTAGAGCCTTCCTCCATCTGAGCGTTGTAGAACATAAGGGTAATGGGGGACTTTGCCCTGGACACCAGCACTAGGTGTCCAGGGCAAAGTCCCCTTATGTGTATCAGGGAGTCAATCCTCTGTCCCTTACTTCTTTGTGCAGTAACATAAAAGAAAATGTAAAGATTAGATTTCATACCTTCTCATTAGCCTCAGCTAATTCCCTTCGGAGATTGTTGTTGGCTTGAGCATAGTATTCGATGCTCAAATTCACCGAAACGTTCTTTGAAAGCTAGAAAAAATATAGTTTGTATTAAACTAATTACCATTTGTAATGAATTTTTATTAAATACTAGACTGAAATTTTCATACATCTACTCGGTTAAACCCAGTAAAGAATAATTTTACCTCAATCTTTAGAGGACTTTTATTACATTTTATGTTATATAAGTGACTGATCTTTCCAAATTTTCTCTAGAAAAGAAGTCTGACCTGATGTAGCCTACAGTTTTTCATGTTTATACATTTTGCTCTACTTTCACATCACCTAGAATAGCCTAAGTCTACTAAACATACATTCACTGTCAATATTTTATTTTATGACACATGAGGTAAGTAGGCCTACAGACTTTAAATTTAAGAAATACATAATAATCATATAAATGTTATGTAGAAAAAAAAGATTATTTTTCAGGAAGACATGAGATAAAATTGGTCAACAAAGATTCTTTTAGTGATTTCCATTAAAAACTAAATTCCCTTTTTCAATTTTTGGACACTTTATTTTCAAAAGATTGTGGTCTCCTCACGACATAATCCCTTTTAGAGCTTGTGCGTTTCCTGGTGGGAGTAGGTGGTTAAGAGTGGCTCAGAACCGGTTTTGTAGGGGCTTCAACCCTACCCAGGCTTCACCAGGAAACGCATGAGCTATAGTTACATTTAACAAAAGGCAATAAATGTACAAAACAGAAGCTCACCGCAGTCTTAATCGCCTTAGCTCTGGTGGCATACTTGAGTGTGTTGTAGGTGTCTTCGTATGAAGCAGTGGTGGGAGCAATGTTGGCAATCATCACTGTGAAGCAATTTCCACCAAGAGAATCTTTCAACAGACGAGTAAGCTTGGAGTCTCGGTAGGGAATGTGACGCAGGCCATCTGCCAAGTTGTTTATACAATTACCTGTAACATATATCAACAAGTATAAATAACCACCAACAAATTATTGGGATACAATTCTTAGATACAATTGGTACCTCACCTAAGTCAGAGGATGGAGAACATGCCTGAAAAAATTGTTTGTCTTGTAGGTCTACTATACTGTATTTTAATTTTTAAGATTAACTCATTTGTGAATTTGTTGTCAGCTATATTTTACAACTTGGTTTTATAGCTTAGTACATTTTGAACACATAACTACTAAACTAGTGAGAAAAATGCTATTATCAACAGATGAGTTAGGTATATGAAGCCGGCAGTATCGGTATCAAGAGTCGATAGGTCTTTTTATTGACACATCTCTATCATAGATGAAAGCTATTTGACTACACATACCAAGTGCTAAAAGGGACTTGTTGATGTTGGAGCCCTCCTTGAACCTTGCCTTGACTCCTCCAGTCGCCGACCCTCTCTCTGACCCGGCCAGGTCAATCATAGACAACTTGCTAATCTTCAGCTCTCCATTGTCTTTTGCTGAACTCTTTACATAAACCTGTTCACACAAATTTGATTCTGTAAAATGGTTATTTAAAAATCCATCCTACTTAAGATTGTATAGCCTAAGTGAAACAAAATACTGTACTTTTCTCTTTCAGTCCAGATAATGCAATACAATGTTTTTATTGTAAAAACATCAATACAGCCACATTGTCGTTCCATATTTCAGTAGAACCTTGATAAGAAGTGTCTCGAGGGAAATAGGAAAATTGAGGTCGTTGTGTTATTGAGGGCTGTGTAAAGAGTTTCTACTGTACAAAAAAATTGCTACTACTTAATGATTACGATGGGACAATTTATAGTAAAAAGTAGTCATAGAACTCATTCATATTTCAGTAGGGCGTGTCTTCAGTTCTTGGCACAGGAGTTGGTGTCTCTCAGCTTGCAGTCATTGTACAACATAACTCAACATGTGTAAAGTGTTATAAGGACACAGGTCTTGATTTCTGAGTGGATTGATTTGCTAAATGTATAAAACTGATCCCACTATGTAGAAGAATGTTCCAAAAAATGCTTACAATATTCAATGTTGTTAGGTCATACAAGCTGGTAACTGACCTGAAAGACAGCATGAGATCGAGAAGACTCAGCGTTGGCGTCAGTAGGGTGTTGAGTTCGGTTGGAGTTGCCCTTCTGTAGCAGCTGGAACAGCTGGTCTGCACACAATATCTTCTCCACCTTCATACCTGCCACCAGCACTCCACCACTAGAGTCATCTCTCAACTGTAGTGATCCTCTCGGGTTGATCAAGTCATGGACATTCTCATTGTAAACCTGCAAGACAATGCATCACAATTATCTGTTGCTCAACACAACGTTTAAAACACAAGTTGGCTCTGGTAAGGTTAGTTAATTTTCATAATTTCAAAAAAAATTTCTAATTAAAAATATTTTATATTTATACAAATAGCTAACCCAACTTGAATTCAAATATGAGTTTAAGCGGCTAACGGATTTTGACCCAACAAATTAGTAAGAAACCCCCTATTTTGACAAACATTATTAAAGAATGAAATAGGTGATTAGACTCATTGAAGTGTCCTCTAATTTGGAAGCCAAACTAAAATAATGGAGAGTTAACTATAACATATTTTTGGTTTGTTTACCTCAAGGTAGGATATGCCAATTTCAATGTTCTTAGTCTCTTTTAGCTGGTCTATTTGGCTGTACAGCTCGGTCATGGTGAGGAAGATGATTCCAGGACCTTGTTTGCTGCCCAACATTGTGTGAGTCTTGCCAGCTCCAGTGGCTCCATACACAAACACTGCAACAGTCCACACATACTGTCACAGAGCTCAGTGATATGTTGGTAAATCAAACAGCTTGATTGACTGTGTTGGCACCAACACATTACGTTGCATACTAACTGAGAGGAGGGATTAAAAAATGTACTGTCTTAAAACAGATATATTAATTTAAATAGTTTTCAGCTGACTTAATTGTTTGTTTGTTTTTGTTTTTGGGTTGTTCATGATTTTGAAATGGAAGTAAAAACTATGTAACATAATGTTAGTTTCATTTTATATTTAAAACTGTTCAATGGCGACGAGGATGAGGAGGAGGAAGGGTGAGAGACACCAGGAGCTAGAAGAAGAAGGTATATTAACACCCAGTCAACCTATTTTCTGTTCTAATTTTGATAAATTTGATGAAGACAATGAGACATGGAGTTCATACATGGTAAGGCTAGACAACTTTTTTGACCTAAACGGAATCACGTCAGAATTAAAGAAAAAGCAATATTTGATCAATTTATTGACACCTAAAGTATTTCACGACCTGAGAATTAATCTAAGCCCATGTGACATTGAGGATAAAAGTTATGACGAAATATGTGAAGCTTTACAATTATTACTGGAACCTAAGGGAAGTATTATTGCAGAAAAACATAAGTTCACTAAACGAATCCAGAATCCGAGTGAATCTGTAGGCAGCTTTGCCAAAGATCTGAAAACCTTAGCCAGTAAATGTGATTTTAAATGTCCAAAATGTAATGCATCAACATCTGACGTTCATCTGCGGCAACAGTTTATTTCGGGCATTCATGATGGAAAATTGCTGTCTAGATTAATTGAAATTCACGAAGATAAAACGTTTAACCAATGTCTTGAAATAGCAAGTAACTTTGAGCAAATCAAAAGTGAAACAACGAAAATCCAAGAATCAAATTTGCAATCAAAAGTTGGAGAACAATTTCAGATTCGAGGGAAGAAAAGCGCTGGATATTTGCAAGGAAAGGGTAGTAAAATATCATGTTTCAGGTGTGGGGGACACCATCACATAAGTGCATGCGAAATTCCAGCAGACATTAAATGTTGGAATTGTGAGAGGAAAGGACATCTCAGCAAAGTTTGTCGGAGAAAGAAACAAAACATGCGACAAGCTGATGACGCTTCGACAGGAAATGAGTATGAAGAGGAAGGTGAGTGTCAAAATCCACCTTTTATGTCAATGTTATCCATTGTGGATAGAAAGAAGAAATGTACTAAATTGTCTAAGCTCTCGGATGATGCATATCAACCCGAAATGGTAAACAGGCCGGGAAAGATTATGTTAGACTGCACCATTGACGATAAGCGTACCTCTTTTGAGTTAGATACTGGTGCTGCGGTCAGTACTATACCGCTGCATCTGTTTAAGAAATTATTTCCAGGTAAGATTCTAAATAGAACAAGAATGCCGTTAAGAACCTATACAGGAGAAATAATTCGCCCAGTAGGGTTTGCGACTGTCGAAATTTGCTATGAAAATCAAATATCTGTGGGCAACCTGTATGTTATTCGGGGGAACGTAGACAGTATTTTTGGAAGGGAGTGGTTAAAGTTGTTCAAAATTGAGCTTCCTTCATTAAACCAGGTATCAGAAGATCAAACAGATCATAAAAAAGACCAGTTTATAGAGAATCTTAAGAGCGAATTTCCTAATGTTTTTTTACCAGGAGTGGGTAAAGTACCGAACTATGAAGCTCATTTGAGTTTGAAACCAAACTCTAAGCCGGTTTACCTGCCACCCCGCCCTGTTCCTTTTGCTTTAAGGGATAAAGTCAATGATGAAATTGACAGGTTAGAAAAGGAGGGAATTCTCTCAAAGTTGACCTACAGTCAATGGGGTACACCTATAGTACCGATAGTTAAACCAAACGGGGATATTCGGCTTTGTGCTGATTACAAAGTATCAGTTAATAAGACCTTGGAACCTGATCATTATCCAATTCCAACATTGGATGACATATTTGCGAGCATGAGTGGCTGTAAGTATTTTTCGACTATTGATATTTCTCAAGCGTATTTAAACATTCCCATGGACAACGAGAGTGCCAGAGTACAGGCCATTAGCACATATAAGGGTGTATATGCTGTCAATAGACTCATGTTCGGAATAAAAAATGCTCCAGCTGAGTGGCAGACCTTCATTAGAGTCAACGTTGAAACCTACCTTTCGCACAGCCCAACAAGGATGTACATCTTTCAAAGGAACCATAAGAGAATTCAAAGAAGGTGAACATGTTTTGGTAAGAGAAATGGTGAAAAATGGCAAAATTGTTTGGAGAAAAGGCGAAATAAAGAAAAGAATTGGAAAGAGTTATGTACTCCGTTGCTGTTGATGACATGCTATGGAGACGGCACATAAATCAACTTCGGAAGATATAGCATCTACAGTATCCTTTGAATTATTTCATGGGGGAAGAGTTTGTACTGTCTTAAAACAGATATATTAATTTAAATAGTTTTCAGCTGACTTAATTGTTTGTTTGTTTTTGTTTTTGGGTTGTTCATGATTTTGAAATGGAAGTAAAAACTATGTAACATAATGTTAGTTTCATTTTATATTTAAAACTGTTCAAAAAATTAAATATCGAAGAGAGATTTAATTTTGCAAATATACAATAACACTTGTTACAAGAAAAGGAAAACTACAAAAAATAAATACAGGAATTCATCAAGTACATTACACATTTTAAAGCTATTATAATAAAAAACTTTTAAAGGTAGGATTGTAAAAATAATTTTATTGTGAATAGTTGTTGTTGCTTCACTCGTCTTTCTCTATATTAGCTATTTTATATCCAGGACTTGACGGGTTTGTTTAACACAGGCTACTCATGAAAGTCCCATTTCCTCAAGGTTGTAAAACTTATTTTCTGTTCCAAAAATTATTTGCTGGTCGAACGCTCAATCACAACTAGGACAATAATAATCTAGGACATTAGAGTGTAGTGTGTGTGTGTGTGTGTTTGTTATCATACTTGACAAGTCCCCTGGATATTAAAGAGCCAGAAAAATGTGAGCAATGTCCACAAAATACTTATCAATGATTCATACAGTCTCAAACTCCTAAAATTAAATGCCTATTTTGTTCAAAATGAACACCAACAAAAGCTAAAACCTAGACATGGCGGACTACCTTATAAATAATATCTAGACATTAAAACATAGTACTTCAATCTACCTGAGCAATTATATCCATCAAGCAACGTTGTGATAATTCCTTTGGTAGTTTCTTGATAAACTTCTTCATTGGTAGAAATCCCACTAAACACTCGGTCAAAAGCAAATTCCATGTCCTTGTTCTGCTTTTTTGCAATATCCCGTGATTTTTGTTTCACACCGTGAAAGAAAAATCCTTCTGATTCTTCTTTAGGATCAAAAATCAATATTCGATCATCAATTACTTTTATTATGTTTCTGCAAAAGATTGGCATAAAATAATGAGAAGGCTTAGGTCTAAGATTACTTAAATATCAAAGTAAAAAGTAAGATAAGTAAACGTATTCTTCCATTAATAATAAATTAACAAAGATAATTAATATGCTTAATGATCTAATATTCGAAATAAAAGCAGTCCCTCTGTATATTTATTCCTCATTTAACTTAAATAAAATAACATTAGATTGAACAAGTTCTAAGGTTTGCTGCTACAGGAAAGAGAAAAAAAAGTGTTATCTTTTTACCAAAATGTTAATAGTATGGAATGAGATAACTTAAATTTGCCAATGATCAAGGTACATCCATAAACAAGCAAACTTCTACAGTACCTACATCAGTTTTCTTTTTTTTCAATAAGACAAACGGGAATCTAAAATGAAAGTTTTTTAATCTTCTCTGTAACGTTTAATTTTAGAGCAACACTTTAATATACAATATTATTTATTTGTTTTTTTTAAGCTCTACTTGATGGCTGTAATAAAAATTGGGCATATCCAAGTTTAAAGGGTAAAACGATGAAATTTTGTACAAACATGTAAATCTAAGGTTATTCAAACGAGTTCACAAATCAGCATAAATGGATTATATGAAAAAGCAGTTTTAAGGTGTAAAACTAGGATCTAGGATTTTTGAGCCTCAAAACATAAAATTTTGCAATTTTGTAAAACCATTTGTAGAGCTTAAAACAATGTAGGTCAAGCAACAAATAACTTTTTTTTTGTTTTGTTGCATGTTTAGTCTATAAAAAGAATATTAAAAAAAAACTACCTACTTCAAATTTCATGATACATTCTTGTGGAGGATAAGTTTAATTAAATTGTTCCAGTTTGCTTACTTTTAAGCTATGGATATCTTATACTAAAAAGCATTTGCAAAACTTATGACAGCTAGCGGAGCCTGACCAGATCATAATTCTGGACCGAAATACACGCGGTTGGTACCAAATGAAAGATATTTTCATGTAGATGTGCAAAATCCCTGTATAAATTAAAATAGGCTCAAAAATAACCACAACAAATTATTTTAAAATTTAAAAAAGATTAATATGGGCTTTATGGGTTTCCATACTAGTGACGAAATATATTATTTAAACAGAAAATCAAAACAAATGGAAGAAATTCTGATCACATGTTTTATTTACAGCGTGGGTTGAAAATAGAAAAATAATAGGGATTTGATGAGAAATAGTTATAACCTTCTCAACTATATCATTGATTTTGAAGTCACGAAGTGACGCAGGTTACTAGTTTTGTTTCAATTAAATTGTCAATTCTAATGTTTTCTAAACAGGAAATAAATTTGACATGTTAAAGGATTAATATTTTAGTGAAAATTGAACTGCAGGTTTGCCGTAGTGGGGGTATTTTAAAGTATTGTGGCACATTACACATAGGGCACACAGATGGTTATTACTAAAAACTGTCTCATGTTAAGTTGAGGCAGACTACCTGACCAGAGAGTAGAGCAGGACAATAACTAGGACGGTCCTTCGACGGACCCTCCCGACCCTCAGAGTAAATCCCATTGACCACGCTTCACTGAATACTTCACTTAAAAGCGTAAATATATTGATTAATTGAAAATATAATCAATTCTTCATATCTGAAAATAATAATGTATTTTAGGTTATAAAAAACAAAATGTTTCATGTTCCTCCCTTGCAAATCGGCCGACTTGAAGTATTAAAACAAACTGCTAAATTGTCTCTTGTAGTACAAAATCAATTTAAAAGTCTGTATTAATAGTGCATCTATCAATATAAATAAAATTAGAGTTTTGTCTGTGGATTGGTCATAATTATATATATTTTGTGTATTTTTAAATTTTATACATTAAAGAAGTGAGATTAATAACCGTGTGGCTTAAATAACGGGTTTGATTAATCGCACGGGCAATATGTAATTGTAAATTAAATCAAATAACTAGCCACCATCCAGGTTGGGAACCGGAGAATCAGTGTGTACAGTATCAAGTTGTACCCTACTCGAGTTTTGATAACGGCGCCAAAAGCCTACAATCGAGGTTTTCACTCATTAACGGCGTTTCGAATGCTGTTGAGTCAAGTAAAAAATCACAACTAAGTTATACTGGGTGATCGCAGATGTCGCTGCTGTCTCGGAAGATCTTTGCGATTTTGCTTTAAACGTAACAATCCAATGTGTCAAATCACATATTTTCCAACGTTTGAGGTTTGAGGGTAAGTTCCCCCAACATCTTTTTTATTTAATTTATATTGATTAATCGCCTGTTGAGCTATTATTTTAAAGCTAAGGGTCAAGTGGAGGTGATAGATTTCTTCCCCTAAAACCGCCTAAATATTATGAACTAATTAATACAGAATATCATTTATTAGTAGGCCTAATTTAAAATTAAACATTGTACTTAGTTATAAGGGGAAAAGTTCTTGTTTTAATACTTAAAGTCGGCCGATTTGCCGACAACATTGATTGTCGGGACGAATATGAAAAGTTTTGTGGTTTTATAACCTTGAATAAATTATTTTCAGATATGACGAATTGATTTACATTTTAAATTAATCAATATATTTTCGCTTTTAAGTGAAGTATTCAGTGAAACGTGGTTAATGGGATTTACTCGAAGGGTAAGGAGGGATGGCCTAGCCAGTGTCCTGTTCCACCCTCTTGGTCAGGTAGGCTGCCTCAACTTAACATGAGCAGCCTTTAAATACTTAAGTAGCCTACGGTATGATTTTTGTTAAAAAAAATATTGTGTTATCCAGTTAGGCATATCCTGAATTTTTGTGCAAGTTAAGTTCCTATATTTACAAATTACTCAATACAACCTATGACTAAATTACCTACCGCATGTTCTGTGAGTTTTCTTGATTATTGAAAGGACGGACTCTCACAAAAACTTTAATGCTTGATGGTTTTTTTGGAGGAAGACTGTTTGTACCACTCCCCATGACCTTCTTCATCTTGGGTTTTGGTAAATGCTTATCATCAAGGGCCCTTTTATTTGACGTAGTGCTTGCCATGGCTACACTTCTAAAAAGATACAGGTACAAATGATTGTTGAGATTATAGCTTAACCCTTTATGAGTGTCTTTGATTCTAAAACACAATCGGTGACACTAAGGAGTTTTTTCCTGGTATTGAAACATTAGACAATATAATTTTAGGCCTACAGCTTACATGATAACTAAAAAAAGATACATAAAACTTGTAACATCAATGAAAGTTGTAGTAAACAAAAGCGGTAAATGAAAGCGGTAGTATACATTAAATCAATAAAACAATTAATTGACATATTATCAAAATATAATGGCAAACAAAAACAATAATACTGTAGGTGACACATTGGAACAACTACACTCCATGAACTTAGTAACATGCTAGTACCCTGAGCGGTGACAAATAGGAGTAGACTCCGTGCTTTGCTACTCTTCGGGGGTAGAGTTCCGCAGAGAACTTGCGATACATTATCGGATAGTATAAATATACTAGAGAAGCTGTGCGGCTCAATGAACCATGACATTATAGTAAGTATGAAATATAATGTCGAGGAAAATGTTATGCTTAAATTCAAGTAATTGGATCTACATTTTAGAGTTGCTTGAAAACTTGTTAGAAACTAATTTTAGATATCTCTATTTGTACGAATTTTCTTCGTAGAGAATTCTGAAAAGTGGGGTGATATCAACCGTTTCATATGCTTCAGTTTTTACCCACAAACTAGGCCTTACCAACTGGACAGCCATAACACTATTGAAAGTTGGTTAACGTATTTTAACGTTTTGTTTGTCAGTCAGAGTAGATGCCCGCATCAGAACATTCTCACGTTGTTCATTGGAGTTTCTCTTAATACCTGTCTTAAAGCTTTGAAAGATGGATTTATTTGTTGTAATGCGTTGGATAACTCTTGCCTAGCCTATATGATTTGGATAGCAATTTTCATTTTCTCTTTTTGAGTAGCGTAGCCTATAGGCCTATTATGTATTTGCCTCGGATCCTGAATCATAAAAATAAACTTGACCGTGTAACTACTCGATAGTTAAATACATAAACACTGATTCCTTCACTTAGCCTATGTTTAAATCTAAAATTACCACTAAAACTTTCAATAGTTTCAATAGCAAATGAGTTTTTGAAACTTCTTATTTTTGACTTTGTCTGGATTGCGTTGGTGAATTCAGTCAAAAAAATGTTTATAAGTTTGTCCGAGGAACTGGCAACATAACCTAGAAGTAAACAATCCATTTGCGTTTTTTTCTCAATTGAAGTAGAGCGAGTAATACAAATGTTTAAAACAATAAAAACATAAGGTCCGCCGAGATTTGGTATAATCAAAATACTTGAACTTATCATAGCCAAGGCATTATTATAGTTTTACTAAATGTTTTGAAATATCTCAACCTGTCAGTGTCGGATGTCTTGCATGCAGTGATTTAGACTTGAAATGTTTATTTACGTTATTTGATCAGCTGAAACATGTGAATTAAATTAAAATTAATCAAAAACAAACAAATATTTACTTCTTAAATCCAAGTGATTTGTTTTTATTTCATCCATGACGTAAAAACAACAAACAAACTTGATCAGGTGCTTTCTGCGATAAATAACCCCGGAGATGAAATCAGATTAAGTTATTCACATTAAAGTTTAAACAACAACAACTAAAAGTAGGCCTAAGTACCGCATGGATTCTTTAGCTTTTATATTTCTTCATTCACGACATGGTGTTCATTTTAACATGAACATGTTGTGTCGAATTTGTTACTGACAGGAAACGGTTTAAATATAAGTTTTGATTCGGTTCTTTACCAAGGGACGAAGAACACTCTGTTGTATCAATAAGAGTTTTTTTTTTTAACTAACTAAGCCCTTTAAGTTTGTTACCTCGTAAACCCATGCTAAAAAGAACTCTATTAACTTATCATGTTGATGAGAAACCTAAAAGCATGGGCCAAGATTGATTGTAGCTCACTTGGGCACCTAAACTATCAAAGCGAAGTTGGTTAACTCCAGTCAGTCATATTTACGCAATCGTCCGTAATCCTTTCATACTGACTATGAAGGAGTTTCTCTAAAAAGTTATCTTTACCATGACTTTAAATAACATAAAGCATAACTTATATGCAAATACGCTACAGAAGGAAGTATTGTACGTTCCAGACACTTCTTTTACACATTCAGTTTTTGTGGCTTTGTCAAGGCTGCACTTTTACGGTGAAAACTATGCCTGTGTAAAAACAAAGCCATCAAAATAATAATAATAATAATAATAATAATAATAATCGTATATGGCCATATTACTACTTCAAACATAGTGTTCAAATTAGGTCCTGTAAACATGTAAATACATCCTTGAAATAACTTAACATTAACTTATAGTTTGAAAAGGTTAATTATCTAAAATGTTACCTAACCCACATCTATTCCTAAAATCAATAATGCCTATGCAGAATTAACTGTAAGTTATTTTGTGTGCCTCAATAAGTGGGATTTGAAAAGGATTTAGAGCGAATGTTTCACACGGGTCGGCAAGTACTTTTATATAGAATAATTCTATATTTAAGTTAAGTTAGGCCTAATACGCTGTAGTCAGATATGAACGTTTTTCCGCAAGTTTAAGTGGAATAAGTCTTGGGCTATGTGGATTATTTTACAGATTTTTAACTGGCTACTTACCTACCTCCAACTCGTTCTTAATAAGTGTAAGGCCTGTTCCAGCAGAAGACTGTTATTGTTGTCTTATAACCCCAAAATCTCCTACCCTTTGTACAGTAAATTCACAACTAAGAAGATACGCCGATACACCCCCCTTATAATTAAACATCCATTTAAACTAGGCCTAACTAACTTAATAGCCATTTGTAAGTATTAGGCAAAGATACAAAAGCTTCAAATTGAATTTAGTCCTAGAAATCATAATCTAACTATTGCCAGATCAAACCTTTATGACTGCAATGGGGCACACAATCCTTAAGTTGCCATCTCAAAATAGGTACCGGTATGTCTAAGTAACTTACTGTACCTAGCCTAAGTAAACTTTTAATAAGCCCTAACTAAACATAGGTTACAGAAATGTTCTTTCAATGAGTGACTGAGTAAGAGGTTAGTCCTACAATCTTATCTAGCATAAGGTGAATAATCTCTTAAATAATTACCTGGTGATGCCAAAACAGGTTTTTTTCATGTTAGTCTAATTGAAGATCTGATGTGTACTTACAAACTTATTATTTAACACCGACACATCTACTGCAGTTGTCATTTATAGGTCTAATTGGTGAGACTCAAATAAAATCAAAATAAAACTTATATCGTCAATTTAATAAAATGATTTATAGCTGTACAACTAATCTACACATTCTAGAGGTGAGTCGGGACTGCAGTATCTGATACTTTGTATCGGATACTCGCCAGTCCCGTGTGTAACTGTTACTCAAAACCAAAAGTATCTGATACTGGAGTACTCGTTTCTACTATTGAGTACTGGTGGTACTGCTAAGCCTTCAATCCAGTACCAGGACTCGTCTCGGGTATCAGTTTAGTAGTAGCCTACTCGTTTAAACTTAACTGAGTATTATAGCTGAAAATACCATAATCATTTGTTAGTAATAGCAAATTCCACATATATGAAAACTGCTTTCACTGATCACTATAAATGAATAAACTGCTTAAGAACACATAGTAATCATTTTGTAAAGGAACTGAGTACTACCAGTGGTATCCACTAATGGTATTTGGTATTATACTGATACAGGAACACTCTACGGGTACAAAATCCCGTCGACCGTGATGAGTACTCATGAGTACAAAGTAATCATCAAAAGTAACTGATACTCGAGAGTACCAGTACCGGTAGTAATCAGTATTTCGATGTACTCATTTAGCCCATCTCTAACACATTCTACAACAGGTTGGTTCTACTAGGCCTGTACTTACAAGAAAACTGTTAAGTTACTAGCCAAAAGAAAGATTCATATCTTTGACTGACGATATGCCTACATCTGATATGGATTATTTACAAAATAACTTTTGTTAAAATTAGATGTATACGTACCTTAGATTTATAGAGTAGAGGAAGAGTAATTTTGTTTATAAAAAATCAAACTTTAGTGTAAATAACATAATGAATAGAATGGCACGTTTGTCGGTTACAGTTTAAAATCAAAACCAGACGAGCGACGAACGACGAGCGAGACGAGGAGGAATCTAGCAAGTAGCAAGGAGGAAGGGAAAAAGGCAAAGAGTATAGAGTGAGACGAATGAAGATTTTTGCAATATAGTAGTTTATGCTTCCCTTTCATATAAGTGCAAGAAAATAAATATAACTTTATTTAAATAAATTTTTCAACTTAGAGACGTTCTACATTGATGTTCTAGAAGTCACTGTTGAGAATATGGATACACATCCACGATTCTAGTGTGCATATACAGGCATTGATTATAAACATTCCATTTTTGGAGATATATAATCAATAATACAGTCGTCCAGATATTATGCGTTAAGAAAATGTTCCAAACCAACTTGAACTCTGTCTCTGTGTGGTGACTATTCCACAGCAGACATGCTTCTAAAAAAATAGTGTTCAGTGGTGAATTCAACGTGCATAAGGATCGTCTATTCAGAGAGGAGGCCAATTAAGATTTCCTAATCCACTGCAAAGCTACGGGCTGAGCCGACCCCTCGCACCGTTCCCAGACGAACAACTAACTATTGGAAGCGTGCCCCCCATAGTAACAGTGCGAGTGGTCGTCCCACAAACCTAACTAAAAAGTGAAAGGCCGTGGGTGAATTACAAGACAAACAAATTGTGAACAAAAGCCTATAATGCCAAAAATCAACAAATACAACAATAACAAAAAGCCATCCAAAGAATTATCTTTTAAATTTAGATAAAATATCAATTTAAGTCTACCCTTCTGAATTTACAAAACTGGTACCAGTATACCGGTGACTGAAAAAAATTAGGCCTAACTAAATAAATAGGATGGTAACTATGACGTATTAAACTTTAGAATTAATTAACAAATAAAGAAATAACAATGAAATAAATAACGTTGACTATCAAAATTCAATAATGGAATAATAAATTATTTTGGGCCCCTTTAAAAAAGCAATCCTTTTTTTTATTAAAAATGTTCATAAAGTTCAAGGCAACTTGAGCTTATGGTGGCACTTGTCACATCACACTAGTGATGGTGGGCGGCGGTGATCCATCTTGGAAGGTGGATGGTGGAAGGCGGCATAGTGGTCCCCGGAGAAGCTGGGCCGTTGGCGGCCCAAGGGCGACCATCTCCGAGGACAGCAGCTGATAAAGCCTCACATCTGGGACCTCATCCAACGTTCAGCAATCCGCTTAGTTCATGTTACAAAAATTTGGTTCGTACGAAGCACAGTAAAGAAATGTGACTAGATGTTAATAGATATAAATACAGCATAAAAACACAAATCTTGACATGAACCGATGACAGTTGCTGGACTTCTGCCCAACACATGTGTCAGGTGGACATTCACTCTGCAGGTCTGCTGCCCGACCCAAACCGACCGAGTTCCGGCGCAAAGCCAGCACTCGCACTATAAAAAAAACTTTTTCATCCTTAAATAATTTTAGTGTCTAGATATCAAGTTAGCTTATGTTAGTTTGACATTCCTAATTGTAATAATCGCAAAATTATACGTATGTTATTAAATTGGTAGTTTCTAGGTTAGGTAGGGGAGGGGGAAACTATATGATACGTATCGTTTTTCGATTTTTGATGATACGATTCGTGTATCGCGATACAGACGCTCGATGCAATACGGCGATACGATATTTTTTTCCGATACGTATCGTATCGCTGTATCGCCCATCACGGTGGTAATGAACCATGGTCGCTGCAGGGTGCCACCCTGATAACCCATCACTTCGCATGATGGTGACTAGGTTCCATTCCAACAACCCGCCATCACACAAATACTCGAGGGGGTGTATATGTAGTATGTACCAACAAATGGTACCTGAACCTGACAACATGTTGCCATATATTTATCAGAGGTGGCGGGTTGTAGTGCATGCTCCAGTCTTGGGTACTACACCGACAACCTGCAACCACGCATATATTTGAGGTTGTTGTTGTTGTTGTTGAATATATGATCCCGTCTAGGCACCACCACGAAAACCTGCCACATCACATGTATCAGAGGTGGGTTGTCGTGCGTCGCACGCTCCCGTCTAGGCCCACCCAACAATGGCAACGAACCACCTGACATTGTTCTTCTTTTTGGTGGTAGGTTGTTTTGGTGGCTCATTATCATGTAGCTCCAGCTATGTATAGTCGATGGCTCCAGCTCCAGGTAACCTTATGTCAAGGCTACCACCACGAAATGGAAAGTTATTTCCATATGCAAAATAGTTCATTCCCGCTGTATTTACTCAATGATTTTTCCAGCTTGCTGAATCAGCTGATTTCACTGATGGTTTATTTATAAAACAGCAACTACTACAGAAGTATTAAAATGAATAAAAAGCAAACAAAGCCTAAATGATATTTCATACAACTAAAAAGTTAATCTATGTGTTCTGTTATGTTAATTATGGTAGTAGGAAAAATCTTGTGTGTTTTACGAGCACAGTCATTGTCGCTATCGAAATGAATGGATGTAAGCTAAGCATCTAACAGTTCCCAAAAGGCGATTGACTTTCTTTGCGCTCTTACATAAAAAGTTATTCTTACAACACATTAATATTTTACAGTCGATGGTGAAAATAACTTTTTTACAGCCTATACTTACATAAACGTTTTGACAGTTTGTTAAAGTTAAAACAGCTGATTGAAAATATTTGTTTTAACACTTATTTACATAAAAAAATGTCATATATTTTAAAATATATTTCACTGTAAAACCAAAGTTTGCTAAAAATTGCCTCAATACTTGGGGGATCAAGTTTTAGTAGGAGAGAGCCAAGTAAAATAATCCGTATTTGATTGGAACTATTTTCACCCATGACTTTTGTCACCAGGAAACTTCCACCAGGATTTTCACCTATATTGAGTAATTTTCAGTTTTATCTTTGCTCAATAAAACTCAATAAAATATAGTTACAGCTTATGTTTTTCCTTTTGTGCTGTATTTTGTAATTTGCTAGTATATTGTGGATGGCTGGTTAGAGACACGTGTTACAAGTCTCTTGTTTGCCTTTTCCCTTGTTAGATAAAACATACTCACTACTTGGCAACCCATAAGACCATTATTGTTAAAAACTGTTATTTTACATTTAATTTTTTACGTACATAATTAGATTTTTATTGGCAATTTTAACTGCATTAAACACGATTTTAGGCCAGAAATAAATTATTTACAACATTTGAAGGAAATTGTCAAAGCCGTTTTCGAGGTATTTGTGCAAGCATACATACAAGCAAACATTGCTCATATAAGGGTATAGGATATATGGGGGATATATATGGTATAGGAGGATAGGATTGAAAACTACTTAACTACTTTCAAAGTGATAACGAGGGCAAGGGTGGATATTAGCAGTAAACGAAACAACAGACTGTATGGTAGTCCAAATTTAACCGTGATAATTTGAAATGTCAAATTTTCACATTATTGTAAAGCCTTCAAGCTGCAGAACACAATTTATACACACGTCATAGTTTGGATTGCATTGACAAATTTGAAGAAGACTGCAAGCGCCGCGTAGAAGGCCATGGCCATTAGGGAAGTCGTTCGGAGACAACAAAAGAACGACTCTCATTAACGATTCACCTGGACTCAGCCGAGCTCTGGGTGATATATTTGTCGAAGTTTCAGCTCCAACAGCATCATGAAGGTTGGTCAGGATTAACTTGGTGCGGTCACAGGTCATTTGCCTAACGTCGTGAGGTCGTTATGGTCATAACTCGCTCTGACGCTCTCACCTCTCATTGTGACGTAACAATAACTGGTTTACTTCCGGCGTAGCGTTCGTCTTCCTTTATAGCTCTACCTTTACCAGTTTATGTTTGAGATAATTCCCGTATCCATGAACAAGACTCCAACTTGATTAAGTGTGCGCTCCACCCCTGACGCGCAACCGAATGCAAGGGTTTGCAAGATTACTGTTTTCACCTGCTACATTGAAGGTAGAATCAAAGTTAAGGTCTCATATTAAAGAGGAAGAAATTTTCTATAGTTCTGCGTCTCATTATTTCATTTATTTTTAATACACACCTTATAAACTTGATTTGTAGGACAAGATAAAAGGTCTTTTCAACTAGCCCTAACTTATTGAAAAACGTTATTTGAAAATTTGAAAAACGCAGAACTATAGATTGGTATTTGCACTACTATAAGCCGTTTAGAGTGCGTAGCTATCATTATTGGTT